GCCGCCATGGCCGCGACCCCTAGTCCTCCTGTTCCCTCCTCTGTTGGCAAGCGTTATGCCGATCTTGCTAGCAAGGGCCCTGCTCCCGCCGCCCCCTCTGGTCAAGGCTCCAGTGCCTGGACCACGGTCGGTGCTAGTGGCAAGGTCAAGGGTGTGCCAACTGCGCCGCCCCTCGGACCCCGCACAGCTAGTGGAACCGTCCCAATCTCGCCTCTTATCGCTAAGCCCCGCCCTGCAACTACGAGCACTACCCGTACTGTGACAAACAGCAGCATCTCCCAGTCCAATCCCAACCAGGCCGTTGAGGAGTTCACTAAGTGGGCTACTCTGGCCCTGAGCAAGGGGTTGAACAGTAGCATCAATGGTGAGTTTCATCCTCTTTATTCAATTCCCGTGTCTCCATACTAATATTTCATTTCTAGTCGATGACTTCGTCCAGCAATTGCTCTTCCTACCCGCCGAGGCCGAAATCATCTCTGACTCCGTCTACGCCAACTCCCAGACTCTGGATGGCCGCCGCTTCGCAGAGGAATTCATCCGTCGCCGCAAGCTTGCCGATAAGGGCATTGTCGATCCTGTCTCACCTAGTGCTTTCGGTGAGCAGAAGAACGGCGGTGGCTGGAGTGAGGTTGCTAAGAAGGGCTCTGCTGCTACTGTTGCCGCTGCTGCTCAGCGTGAGGAGGAGGCTGCCAGCTCTGCGTTCAAGGTTGTCGCTCCCCGCAAGAAGGGCAAGCGGTAATGGTGTGCATTAGCGTTCCTATCCGAGTTGTTTCTTTTCTCGCATTGCTAGCTGAGTTGGATCTTTGGTTTCTATTCGTGAAATACGTGTCATGTTCGTTGCGCGTCTTCGCCATGCCTGTGTACTAGCATCATTCTCCCAGCATTGAAATAGGTTCTGAGTTGTGTATGATTTTTGCTCTACGTAGAGTTATCTGTCTTGTAGCAATACCCATAGACTCATCGAACATATGAAGCAGGTTCAGTTAATTAAATGTTGTATTTGCAGGATAGGACTAGGCTCCCTTGTATCGCATGTTAAACTTTCGTATAATTTCGGTACACATACCCGTGGACACCCATGAGTTGTTACTCCTGATAAGTACAAATTTGAAATCCGGCGAGGGTCTCTCACACCGCTGGAAGAGACAAACACCACTTTTGCTTTTGCTGGGGAATATGTTTCTCTTGCTGTGCAGCAGATACTGTTGAAAATGGGGCTGGTTGGACCGCTATGCTGAGGAGATATTGAGAACTAGAACTGTTAAGTCTGGCTAGAAAAAAAAAAATTCCTGGTTTATGTTATTCGTTTCATCTTGTGTTCGTTATTGCTTTCGTGCTCGCATGGTCGTTTAGTGCCATTCAGATCATCAGACCGAATTGATGGTTCCACGTTCAGATTAGTACCATTCAGATCATCAGACTGAGTTGATGGGTCCGGGAAGCATAGGGGCCTAGGAACCACTAGCTCAGCCATAATTCGGTCCGCAAAGGTGTCGTAAGGCTTGAATGGGATTTTTCTTCGCCAAATAGTAGGCCATTTTTTATATTCTGTGGCAGTCTTTGGGTTTCTGAGCACCTCGAGGAGTTCGGCAGAGATTTCAGCCTCGTAAAAATGGATGTATTCCTTGTCGCATATATTGGTCACAAGGAGACGCGATTAGATGACGAGGATAAGACCAAGAGGGGCCGACTTCCTTAAATGTAGACATACCGTGTAAGCTACTGGTTTTAATAACCCAATTTTGCGCTCTTGAAATTGCGCAAGAGCTAGCAAGACACACACGTAATATGGATCATGTGTCCATTCCTTTGGCTTGATCTGAGCTAGTCGTTTGTGGAGAATATTCCCACCAATCCAGTTCTGGCCGCCATTCGGGGCTGGACAAGGCTCAAACTTGCTTCTGCGATCCCCATTGACATCCGTGTAGTGCAAGTAGCCTACCAACGGGTATGGGCTATTGCGGATGTGTTCGTCAAGCTTTCCTCGATAAAACAGAGTATAGTGTGGCCGGTGGACAGGTTTCCCCGTAAAGAAAAAAGTAGGCCCTTTCCTGCTCAGCGAAATGGTCAGACACTTTGATATACTTGTTGGACATCGTACTACCACCCATCTCTTACCGAGTTTTTGCAAATGCGCGGCCCTCGCCCTCAAGAATGTTGGAGAGGTGAAGATGCTTTGCGACGGGGAATGGATGTGTTGCAAGCTGCTCAGCATCACTGGTTAATTTCGGGCAGGGTCTTTGATCACTGTTGGCCTTGCAGTCTTCTTGGATCGATGTTGTGCTGGCAGTGTCAACATCTTCAAATCGACAACCCACTAGGTTGAGATGACGATATGTCCATAAAAGTGGATCTACAAATATATCACGATGATGCTTGAGGAGTTCACTAAAAGGCTTTGGTTTCGTGTCAGTCACCATTATGAGAAGGAGAATATAGACAACGGTCAGGTTGCTAAAGGCATAGTAATGCCAGAAAATTACGTTTCACCGCCCTCCCCTGTCTTGACCGCCTTCATACAGCCTCACTACCTAGGGCTATCTACCCCGACATTCTCCATACAAGCCTGATTATCTTGGATGTGATTTGATTTGAAACTCCGCAGAGGTGAATGGCGTAAAGAGCCATGCTGCATAAGAAATAAGAAACCCCTTGGGGCCGAGGTCCACATAGGCATCTGGGTATGTTGTACTCCGTCGTGCTGAATGGCGAAATGCAGGGATCTTGGGGTACTAGATAGGTTCACAACATACGTGGACAGTCGGGTGCCAAATTATCTCGAATAGGTTAGTTGGGTAGCAATTGTTGGGGATTTCTGGGAGAAAAGGACATGTTCATGTTCTTCATCCTCTACAGAGTAATGTATCACAATGGCCGCAACTCCTTATTTTTCCAGTATCACATCGGAGTCCGCCTTCAGAGCTCGTTTTCAATCCGATAATGGAAGAGCCTTTTCCAAATTACCTACCGTCGCCGCAAGTCATTGGGACCGATCTCATCTGCTGGCATGTCGTGTAATACGACGAGAATCGCGACGCAATGTGCTTCCGATTTTGTCGCAACACATATATCCCTCAGATGTGCAAGGTTCGACAGCGGACGAAATCAAAGCATTCTTGCGAGGCCCCGAACCGGAATTTATGACTGAAAGCGAGCACCATTTGGTTCGGAGCTCTAACTCTGGCATCTCTCTGGGTCAAATTTGGGCCGCAATGGCCACGTTCAAAGGAAGCCAGGACCGACGCAGGAAAGACTTATCTGGTAACACCGAAAAGGGATACGGCGAGAGCGACGGCATAATCGATGACGAGAGAGATGACGAGGCTGAGGCGAGACCAAAGCGTGCCAGGCGATATATGTACGTTCCAAGAGGATTATGTCAACTCTAGCAGCATGCAAGTTGGCTCCAGTAGCCCACCGCACAGTGGCTCCTAGGGGACATCATCTTTGGACCATGTTGACTCCGATTCCCATATTTTGGGTATAGCACCCGAAGACGAAACTTTGCGGCTCGCATCATGTGTTATCCGACACATATTATATTTTGCACCGCCTCAAAATTCTACGTCGGAGCCGACAGTAGTTGAGTTTCGAGATGCTAAAACGAGACTCGCAGCTCGTACCTTGACTGAAAAACGGCAGATAGTAGCCATTGACGATGGTGGGCTATGTTTGCGGCGGAGAGAACCAGGGAGGGGCTTTCTGGTCGTGAAAAATCACGTAGCAATCTTGGAAGCCAAGACGCAATTTTAATGTCTAGAAGATGGCAGACCAGTTATCTCCGACGGGTGCTTTGCACAGATGGTCTGCGAAGCACTGGCAGCCAGGTTGTCTGATCCTGGAAATTTGCAATAGAGGTGCGCTATATGTGTATATCCGCTTGATGTTCTCAAAAGGTTTCCACGAGACATAAACTAACACTTTAGGGCAGTGTTATATTAATAAATGCCACACAGCATTATATGTGCTTCTTCCAATTTGATATCAGCAATGATTATATCCTGGATTTCGAAAATGCCACATCTACAGAATTCCTATTTGTGAGCTCCTCACCCTGGTTTGATATTAGCCAAAGAAGTGGGAGAGAAAATATCGTCTTGAACTTATGTGGTATAATGCGTTGGGCGAGAGCATAGCTTGGAAGGTTCTTGGGCATTGATTGGACTTTTGTAGTTGACCAAGGTGTGCTTATCATTGTCTGTTAATAGCACATATATATCAACACTTTTACATTCAATGGGACTAATATAGCAGTCGTAGTCTCAGTTCAGAAGTGGAAGTGGAAAATGCTAGAAAGAATAGGATAAAGCGGCTACCCTCATTGAAATTATAGTGATTTTATCAAGTCCAGTGCGTTCTTCCAAAATAGTTCTTTAAAGCTCAATACCATAATATTGCCATGTCATACGCCAGTTGAAAAGCAAGGCTGCAGATGCTGTGCTCTCTTCTGGAATCATGCAGCCCAGATAGAGAGAGGCATGTATCATGCATAGGATACGTTTCCCTGACTAAAAGCATAGTAATACAATTATTGCGCCTAAAACCGGAGCTATATCTCGATATTTTGTAGATCCCATGACCTATTGGTGTAGCCGATGCAGACTTGGTCCCGATCAAAACATCTCGCTAAATAGAACACACAACAACATCAAGGTTTATTAATCACGTTAAAAATTTGAAAGTAGATTGCCTGATGCTAAAAGAATGCTAAAATGCTGCAGAAACTGGCTAAAAGTGCAAAATACAAATCATAACCGTAGCTAAGTTCCACCCCTTTTTACACATATTATCATCAACAGATCAAATAAGATAAAATGAAATAAGTTCAGTGCTGTGCTCACCATTCCACGCCTGCAGGTGGGATGTAATGCGTAAGGACAGGATTGTGTCAGACTGGACTCTGCAGTGCGACTCGCCTTTGATTAAGGGGCCCAAATAGCCTCTTGATTCCCATCCAGGGTGTGTTAATTGGACTATCCATCCCAGTATACAGGAATAGATCATAGATCCATCCACCGAAGGTGCAACCTAATATTGGTGCCACCATAGGAACCTAAGAAAGGAACCTTTGTAAGCCGGGAAAGTTCACGAGGTTTGATATCATAGATATAACCTACCCAAAAGTAATAGTTTCCCGCAGCCCATACTTCATGCCCATATCCAATCATGTAGGATGTCAGTCGAGGTCCAAAATCTCGTGCTAGGTTGATAGCATATCCAGTCTCCCACCCAAAGCATGCGCCAATACCAAAGATAACAAAGAACAACGCCAAAGGTGTCAGCTGCCCGGCACCTAGATTGCCGTTGTCTTTCAAAGCAAAGATCATGAACATCAAGACCGCGCTGGCAAGAAACTCGGAGAAGAATTGTCCCGTCTTTGTCATGAATTCTGCTGGGTAAGTGCAGAAGATGCCTGCTGTCGCTGTCGTCGAGTAGCCGGGAACTGTGCGGATATCTGGCCCGCCCTCGTAGACGTTGATAGCTGATTTATAGTTGCCATACACGATGGCAGAACCGCACATTGCGCCGAGGATCTGGGCTAGTGCATAGACGGGGAATTTGCGCCAGGGGAACCCGCGGAGGACGCAGTTTGCAAATGTCACGGCTGGATTGATGTGGCCTCCTGATGCCCCGCTGGCGTATACTCCGAGCATGACGCCTAGTCTGTTCAATATGGTGGTTAGAAAATAGTATTAAGCAGTGATATAAGAGGAAGAAGAACCTTACCCCCATCCCCAAGAGATAGATTGGTAGTCACCCTTCTCTCCATGACTTAGTAGCACCTGAGCAACGACCCCGTCCCCAAATAAGATCAGGATCATCGTTCCAAAGAACTCCGAGAACGCATCACGGCAATACTCCCTCACTTTAAACCAGAGCAGAGGGCGAGTATAAGGACTTTCAACTTCCGGGTTGATATGATGGACAGCCGTTTCGTTCTTATCAGCTAGACACAGCGAGCCACAGCCACTGTCATGACTAGCAGAGGAAAGAGTTTCACGGTGGACTTTCGACATTAGATCAAGCTCAAGCTCTTTCCAGGTAGCCATCGAAAGGAGATCCCAAGCTCTGGGAGCTAGGGTTGGGGCTTCGAGTTGATATAGTACGACCAACCGGGGGGAATCTCGCCAGCCACACAAGAGTGATATGGTAGTTCCTCCGGTATATCAACGGTGCAGAACAGGAACGACCGTGTAACCAACCCTTTTGCGCTCAATCTGCGCTGTCCTTCGTACAAGAAGATGGCTCGATTGGCTGATGCAGGGTCTTGTCCTGGAAAAGAGTGTGTGTCTGTGTGTCTTGTCCTCCTAGGTTCCAAGCTCCAGAGCTCCAGAGGTGTGCAAAGCTTGTAGGAAAGATATCAGCTGAAGTCAAATCCGGACAGACTCGGAATCATCAAGTGCACATATCGCTTTTTACTGAACTGGCTGGGCCGGTCATTGTCCTTTTTGTTCCCGTGTTTCTCTTCCCCACAGAGCGGAATTTTCTGACAGCGCATCTCTGATAGTTTATTTCAGGGGGTCGTTTGTAGGAACGACCGTTTGGCCTGGGTAGCCGGAAGTCACTGTCCGATCCCGGTTGGGTTGTTTCCTCTCCTTTGGGTAATTGGACGCAATGTTATGTATAGTTCCCGCTTACCGGTATTTGCCATGACTGTTCTGACTATAGGAGAAGCTTCTATATCGTCTGTTACTCATCAACTCGTCGGGTGCTAGACCTCACGCAGGCCCAATTACAATTTTCTGGAAAGTCCAAACTGTGTCACCTTGGCAGAGGCGGATGGCTTCAAAGGGAGGCGGGAATAGCAGAAAGAGATTGGTCCCCATAATAATGCTGAGGGTAGTATTTTGTCGCTCTTCGTTCTTTCGGTTGTCGTCGGTAGTGGCACAATTGACTGACCGTGTGACCATATGCTTGGAGGTAGCATCACCGAGACCGGGGTTGTCCGGATTTTATTTTGTGTGTGTGTGATAGAAGTGATATCTTGTCCTCCAGTGGTTCAAGGTAAAAAAAGCCAATATAGGTTTGCGAAAAAGATTGCAATTCCGACGAGTCTGACGGTTTCAATTTGGGCCATTTGGGCCATTTGGGACATTTATTGGCAGATGTCCTGGTATATGACAATGGAATAAGACCGAGTCAATGCGCGATTCCCCACTGATTTGAATCTGCCACTTCGTCAAAGGAACCGAGTCGTCAATCGTCTGCTGATCTCTCTCCACAGTATGCAGGAAGGTGATGCCGACAGGGGTTAGGGGAAAAAAAATCGGGATGAGACCGCTTTTGCCTTAAGGATATCATTTCCCCAATAGTCCAAAGCGCATTGACACTTGGCTATTCCCTTCAAATCCAAGAAGGATTCCAATATACGAAGAGCCAATACAATGTTTTCTCGCCCAGACCGTTCTTACCTCTCACGTCTGACCAGGGGTAATCCCACCAATCCTTTCTCTCCTCTTCCCCTCATTGAATTACCATCCCCCGCTGTGTGACAAGCTCTTATATATGATGACTTTATTTATGTCTTTGGAATCCCCTATTGTATCTAGCTGTTCGCTTTGTTTTATCTCAAGCTTCGAGGTCTCCCATGAACAAATAGACCTCCTTTCCCTCCGTAAATTCTACCAGAACACTCCATAACCATGCAGCCCTCAGAAACCTTTGTGGGATCAATCGATCAAGGCACGACGAGCACCAGATTCCTGATATTCAACCGCGAGGGCGAGCCAGTAGCATCGCATCAAGTCGAGTTCAGCCAAATCTACCCGAATCCGGGGTAAGTTCCAGTCCAATCCAATAGCCTAAAAAACCATATTGGGTCCACTAACCACATCCAGTTGGCATGAGCATAACCCCCTCGAGATCGTAACCTCAGTAGAAACCTGCATCGAAGAAGCCGTCCAGAAGTTCGAAGCGCAAGGCTACACCCGAAGTAGCATCAAGAGCATCGGAATAACCAACCAACGCGAAACAACCATAGTCTGGGACCACGAAACCGGCGAGCCCCTGTACAATGCCATTGTATGGACAGACACACGGTCTCAGACGATCGTCGCAGAACTGAAACAGAAACCAGGGGCAGGACAGCTCCAGACACGCTGCGGTCTGCCGCTGTCAACCTACTCGTCGGCTACAAAGCTGCTCTGGATGTTGGCGCATGTCCCAAGAGTGAAGGATGCATTTGACCGCGGCACACTAGCGTTTGGTACCGTTGATGCTTGGCTAGTCTACCGTTTGAACGGTGGCGTGGCTGCCAACGTCTTTGTCTCGGATTCGACAAACGCTTCGCGGACCATGTTTGTGAATCTGGAGACGTTGCGGTACGATGAAGCGCTGCTGGACTTTTTTGGGATCAGAGGAAAAGTTCATCTGCCTAGGATTGTGCCGTCGTCTGATTCGACAGCGTATGGGGTTATTGCATCTGGGGCTTTGGCACAGGTTCCGATTATGGGATGTCTGGGGGATCAGTCTGCAGCCTTGGTTGGGCAGAAAGGGTTCTCGCCTGGAATGGCCAAGAACACTTATGGTACTGGATGCTTTCTTTTGTACAATGTTGGTGACAAGCCAGTGGTCTCGACACATGGATTATTGGCTACAGTAGCTTACCACTTTGGTGGAAAGCCTGTCTATGCCCTTGAGGGGAGCATTGCTGTAGCTGGGTCTGGGATTAAATTCTTGCAGAATAACTTGAATTTCTTTCAGGAATCTAGGGAGGTCAATGACCTTGCCTACTCGGTGGATGACAGTGGCGGATGTGTGTTTGTCACTGCCTTTAGTGGACTTTTTGCTCCTTATTGGATTGACGATGCAAAAGGGACAATCTGTGAGTTTCCCATTACCTGACTGTCATATTTATCTAACTGTGTACACAAGTTGGGATTACACAGTACACCCAAAAGGGCCATATTGCACGCGCTACTCTAGAAGCCACCTGCTTCCAGACTAAAGCAATTCTAGATGCAATGGAGAAAGACAGCGGCCATGCACTCTCTGAACTCGCTGTGGACGGGGGTATGAGCAACTCAGACTTGGCAATGCAGGTAAGAAATTCTACTTTCTTATACACCGTCGAGTGTACAAGAACTAATTGATCACAAATATAGACTCAAGCAGATCTGATATCCATCCCCGTCTACCGCCCCAAGATGCGCGAGACTACAGCACTAGGCGCAGCAATTGCAGCCGGGCTCGCTGTTGGACTTTGGCGCAACTTTGCCGAGCTACGCGATATCAATCGTTCTGGTGGCGCTGTTTTCGAGCCCCAGGTCCCACGAGAAGAGAGCGCTGCCAAATTCGGACAATGGGAAAGAGCTGTGCAAATGAGTAGAGGCTGGGTGAGGTCTAAGAGCACTGTTCAAGAAGTTTTTCGTCCAACGAATGAGACATATACACCGGCAAAAACCCACGATCTCCCTCCACCCAAGGTGATACAACTCTCGGATAATAACTTCATCTCAGAGGTGGTCAAGAGCCCTACATACACCACGGAGGTCAAGGGGATCGCTCGTGTCTCAGTCAAGGAGATCGAATTCCTACCTCCACCCGTACAGACGGCACTAGGGAGTGTCCTGGGGGATTTGGATGATGCGGACGAAGAGGATTTGTTCCTGGAGTTGCGGAAAGTCGAGATTTTGCAACGACTTAGGAAGATACGGAAAAAGTCAAATGGTTACTAGTTAATTGTATTCTTATTGATTACATTATGCTGTCCTAGTAAGGCCTCTGGCGTATCCTCTTCCTCTGTAAAGTTATATACATACATCCATGAATGGATGTATGTTAGGGTTTGCAACCAGACGTGGAGCCCTTATAGGTGTATAGGGCTTGTAGATCTTGTTCTGGGTACTGCTTCCCTTTGGGATCTTCTCATCGAGTACAATATACTATATAAATTCCACCTTATTCCAAAAGCTAAAGGCAGGGCATGACTTCGTGTCTCAAATATAACAAATTACAGCTAGGATGATCAACCAAACACAGCTCAAGTAGCACTCGACTGAGCGGTACTGCGCACACCCTCTTCACCCTCCTTGAGGAAAACGCAATTCAACTCGGAGCCAGGACTGAGAGTAACTTCAAACCGAAGCACCGGGTCTTCAACTTTATCTTTACCACCAATCGGGAGCGCAATAATGCGCTCATAAGCCTGCAAAATCCGAATAACAGTGTACCCCATCTCAATGGTAGCAAATTGCTGCCCAATACAAATCCGTGGTCCACCATTGAACGGAATGAAATGCCACGGCTTAGGCTGCCAGCCAGAAACCCAGCGCTCAGGAATCCACTTCCCAGGATCGAAGTAGTTCTTCGATTCCGGACCGTCATACAGATCAGGATCCCGCTGCATTAGCATCGTCGAGTACACAATCCGCGTGTTTGCACGCACACCCACAGGTGATCGCCCGTCTGGCCCACCACCGCGTGGGAGCGTTGTATCGCGTAGAGAGTTGCGCACGTTGAATGGCACGACTGGGTATACACGCATCGTCTCGTGCAGCACTGCGCTAAGGTACTTCATTTCCTTGAGATCGGTGTAGCTGGGTTTCTGGGCGTTGGCGCCGACGCCGAGTCGGTCGCGGATTTCGTCCCGCAGCCTAGCGACGACTTCCGGGTTGCGCGATAGCTCGAAGAGACAGAAGGATAGTGTGGCGGCTGTTGTGTCACGACCTGCGAGGAGGACGGCGACAAGTTGGTCACGGAGAACGCGGGGATCGCGGGTGAAGCCGGCTAGGGCGTCAAGGAAGGTCTCGTCGGTTGAAAGCTTCTCGTTAGGTTCGCCGGCTGAGCGGGCAAGGACGGCTTGGATGTAGGGCTGCATGAAGTCGTCCATTATTCGGAGGTTCTTGCGGAATTCGGTGCGTGACATGACAGAGTTAAAGACTCTGTTTTAAAGTTAAATGTTAGATTAGCTTCTGCGAGGCTCCAATGACAGGCTGTGCTTGCGTTGCACAAGATCGAGTATCATCACTCACCCGAAACGGAAATACTCAGCTTGACGCTGTTGCACATATCTGAACGCCTCGGCGAACCGCGTTGCCGGGTTATCTAGACTGTCGGTTCCCTTGCCGAGCAGGTAGTCTGTTGCTGCATCGAGGGTATACCGGAAGAAGAGTGATCCAACATCCACTACCTTACTGCTGCTGGGTGAGTCGCTGCCGCCGAGAAGCGGGATGAGTTTCTGAACATGCTTCTCGAAGATTTCTGTGTCGACGATGCGGTCACGCACGAACATGGGACGAATGAGCTGGCGGGAACGAGACCATAGTTCTCCGTCTGTGGCAAAGATGCTGTCGCCTAGGAATTCTTTCCACTCCCGGTGGAAGGACTCACCCTTGCCGTAGTCGGCGAACTGGCCGGTGAGGACTGCCTTGATATTCTCTGGATCTTTGGTGAGGATCATACGGGTGGAAATACCAGCGTCGAGTTCGGCTGTCTTCACATTTGTCAAGCCGCCCGCATGCAAGATTTGTGTATCCCAGAATTCTAAGTCTTTGTACTCTTTATTGGCTTGGTAGCCTTGGAAAATGAAGTCGAGAGCGTATGGGAGACGGAATTTAATTTTGGGAGCTCTGACACCGAGACGGGCGATCTGTGCTGAGGCTTGGAACTTGCGGAATACGCAAAATGTAACAAATAGTCCTAGAGCCCATAGTGAGGCCCGACTAAGGCTCGTCACTGCGAGAAGATCTTCGATCATGGTGGACTGTACCAAATTGGGTTTAGTCCGTCTTTTGGCTTGGAGCGGGAACGTTCAGATGAGAAAAAGAAGTTTCATAGCATATGGTAGGGAAAGGCTATCTTTATGAAGGTGAACTTGTCAAACAGTACGGACTAAATGGGTCACAGAGTGTAGGCCACAACCTTAGTTCTCCGTATGTCCAATGATATGTGTTCCCTATCATCCCAAAATAGGTGTACGGGGTAGTGTGGCCTAAAGGAGCGATGCTTGCGAACCCCGCATTATGTGACTTCATGGTTATTTCATCCTTTGTTGGCTTGGGATTTGGAATCACCAAGTATTAGCAATATGGGGCTGGGCTTGGCACATACCACGGTTCTTATGATCTCGGTTTCACGCTGTACAAAAAAGGTATTTGGATACCCGACGATCCGGGGAAGAGGCATGGCAAGCCATGACACCTCGGTAGACAGGGGTTGATAACATCTGATTCCAAGAGGGGAGATCCACAGCGCTTTGTGGACGGGCCTGCAGCCACATAAACGTCTCTGCACTGCAGATTACTGTGCATATTTCGTCAGGGGCCTGATATTTCGGGCATAAATGCCTTGATGCCTCAGGCCTCTATGCTTGGAAAGAGATAATTACTTTCTCAGATGTCACTTGACCGTTGAGTTCTTTGTCAAATGTTATATATAGAAAGTCGTCTGCACAAAGCTTTTTTTTTGCCTTTTCTTGACGTCGACCTATCTACACAGATATCTGAGAAGACTACCGGAAAGACATCACAGCGCCGCTTATGCAGCCTAGGATTCGTCCACGGGTTTCTACATACTTCTCTTTGTGGACATAACCCCCATTGACCCCATTTACAACAAAACAGCTCAATAGAGTAGTAGCGGAACAATAGCCATTGTGAATATATAAACCCAGAAATTGAGTAGTCACAAATTCCACTTCTTCTTATACCTTTCAACAGCTCATCCTTTCTATCTCTTTCACTTCTCTATCAAATCACAATTTATTAAAGTAAGGACTCTTTTTGATTGATATACCAAATCAACCTTGACTTGCGCATGCAGGTTGTTTCCAAGGTTGGCACTATCTGTACTGCCCCACCTCACCGCCAACCAGCCACAACCACGTGATCAAACATCCGTTTTGGTCATCGGGTCATTAGCTTAACTTCAATCTGCTTGCTGAATTCTTGCTTTCTCTACCAGAACGTGTTATTGGTCTATCAGCATCAGCTCTAACCCCAACTCCTGCTGCATACCGTTTTCATCGCATCATCATTGTTAGTTGCGCCGATAAGATCCGAAACGCCTTTATCGGGTGGCGCAAGTTCTTTTATCAGCACTGGTCTCTTTGTGAATTTCTCACCACTCCGTCACTTTTCCCTGACTTCACAACCGCCTTCGCCATGCTTCCTCAAATCGCTCTAGAGACTCCTCTTGCGCGAGCAGTCGCAAATGTTATCCAACCAAAGTTGGTAGAGATGGGCTGGAGTGATGGCCAAGAGTCACCACTGATCGAATACATCGTTCTCATGCTGGTCAACGGCAAGACCGAAGAACAAATCGCCACCGAGCTCTCAAACGATTTTCTTGGCCTCCAGGAAGGTGACACTGCGGCCCTCGAGTTTTCACAATGGCTTTTCGCTCAAGTCGAGATTCTCAATCAACAAATCAATCGAGTCGCCCCAGCATCGGCCGCTACTACCACGGGCCAGTTGAACCCTTCAGCGATGGAATTCGACAACTCAGCTCAGGCGATAGCCACCCATGGTCAGGATTCAGAGATGGGTGAGGCCGGAGTCGAGTCAATGTAGGTTTTTTTTTTTTACCATTCCTTTCTATTGTCTACAACATGCTGACAGTGCTTCTCAAAAGCCCCACCGGACCGAGAGCGATGCGTAACGGTAGAGGTGGCAAGGGAAGGATGTTGAACCAAATCAACCGGAACCTGGATCGTGGTTCGGATGCAGCTCTGCACCGTGTCCGCGGACAAGGAAACGGGCGCATCGGTAACAATGGCCGGGGCCAAATGAGAGGCGCCGGACAGCAAAATGGTCGGGGTGGCCGCGCTATGGGAATGGCAGGGAACCCTATGATGCAGATGACCCCCGAAAACCAGATGCAGCTTATGTCGATGTTGGAAGAACAGGCCCGGATGATGTCTCAATTCATGCCTGGCTTCATGCCTCCCGCTGTTAACCCCGCTTTCCAAACTGGTTCTCAGAACGCCCCTCAAGGTCGTTCGCTCTTCAATCGGGTCGAGCGAGGTGGCCAGCGTGGAGGAAAGCGTGGCGGCGGCTATAACAAACCGAGACACGCAGAAGGAGCAGACGTGGATATGGACGGCACAGCCGGCGGCGAACAAGACGAAAGCAACCCCGACAGTGTTTGTCGCTTCAACCAACGATGCACGCGCCAGGATTGCCCGTTCGCCCATCAATCACCTGCCGCCCCCGAAGGTACTTCAATCGATCCTTCTGATACTTGCTCATTCGGTGCAGCTTGCAAGAACAAGAAATGCACCGGACGCCACCCTTCGCCAGCAGTGCGATCTGCCCACCAGGCAGAGGCCATGTGTCGGTTCTTCCCTCACTGCACCAACCCCACCTGTCACTTCAAACACCCAAGTATGCCAGTCTGCCGCAATGGAGCCGACTGCAAGACCGAAGGATGCAAGTTTACACACATCGAGACTGCCTGCAAGTTCAATCCCTGCCTGAACCCCAAGTGCACCTACAAGCACGCCGAGGGTCAGCGCGGTGCTTACACCGACAAAGTGTGGACCCCACGCTCTGGAGAACATGTCAGCGAGCGCAAGTTTGTTGCGGATGAGGATGGGCCCCAAGAGTTAATCAAGCCGGATACCGAGGAGAATACCCAGACCCATGTGGTGACCGCGTGACTCCGCCTGACATGACAAAATGAAGAAAAACCACTGTTCAAAACCTCTAAACCCAGAAAAACAAATATCCCACAACAGTCTGTTTCCGAAGCGAAGAATACCATGTACGATCCGATCTTGATCAATGAACGAGGAATGGAGGGAAGGGCGTTAATACTCTTTATGCATTTTGCTTTTGTTTTCAGATACTATTATCTGTCCTGTTCATAGATTCCCCCGATCTTCGCAAGAATAATACGAACGCGAAATAAATTCGCGAATGTCTCATGAACCCATTGTGCAAGCTTGTAGGATTGTAGGGACCAGAGCTCCAGGGGCTCTGTCCACCTGGGCACCCCGCGTAGCTTAAGTAAGAACGGAAGCTTCCGAGGATCTTCCCATTTACCTTCAATTCTCCAACTCCCAAACCAAACATTGCTCTAATCAGTAAAGATGCGGCTACCATGTGTCTCTAAAGCATTAAGAGCAAGAAAAGGGCAATTGAATATCCTCAATGGCCAAAGACGCACATATGTTGCCGCCGTGCTTGGTGGTGGCATCACCGGCCTTACAAGCGCCTGGCAACTCGCGCAAGACCCCATGTGCCGACAAATCAACCTGTTCGAAAAGACGGACCGGCTCGGTGGCTGGATTGACTCTGAAATAGTCCCTGTCGATGGTGGCAATATCGTGTTCGAGTATGGGCCGCGGACGTTAAAGAGCTCGTTGCCAGGGTCACTCCCTCTGCTTTACCTGGTGAATACTGCTCCCATCTAAATAGCTCAATATGCTGACCCTGTCGGAAGGCTACAAATCTAGGCCTGTACAAAGACCTCATTGTTACCCCAAAGACGAGCCCCGCGGCCCAGAATCGCTACATTTACTACCCGGACCGTCTCGTTCGCTTGCCGGCGCCAAAGCCTGAACTTTCGTTTCGGGAGAACGTTGAAAGCTTTGTGAATACTATGCAGGAGCCGCTATTTAATAAATTTCTTTCAGGAATAGCAAAGGATGTCTTCGCTCCATCCCGGCACCCAACTGAATGGGCGGAGGATGAGTCTGTCACAGAGTTCATTGGACGTCGTTTTGGTGCCAATGTTGCAGATAATCTAGTCTCCGCTGCGTACCACGGAATTTATGCTGGTGATATCGATCGATTGAGTGCCCAGACACTGTTAGGTAGCATCCGCAACCTTGAGGGTGGTATTGGGGGTATTGGTGGGTTTGTTTCTGGTGGAGTTACGGCATCTCTTATCTCCAGGTCGATCTCGAAAACAAAGACTCGAAATATGGATGATTTTATGGCCATAGATGTCATACCCGCAGGCCCTGAATTAGTGCGCCGTCAACACGATTTAGAAGTCCTTGCGGCTGGAGCTAGTACTTTCACCTTTAAGAGGGGAGTCAGTCAGCTTGTTGAAGCTCTGATTGCTTCATTGAAAGCGACCGGCAAGGTCAACTTCCGAATGAACACAGAGATCAAGGCTTTGAGTCAAAGTGAACTTGGTTCTCATAATATTGAGGTATGTTAATTCTGCACTGCTACGCTATATCTCTGGACTCCCTGGGCCCCAGGAGTGATGCTGACTGTCAATAGATGGAATATTGGTCACCCAGGCACGCTGCATTCAAGACGTTTGATTATCAATATGTCATTTCCACTATCCCTCCAGTTGCACTTGCAAACGTCATGCGCAAAACCAGTGCTAAACATGCCACGCCTGGCGACTTGACCCCATCCCTACTACGCAAACAGGACTACGCTGTGACCGCAATGGTCGTCAATCTCTACTATACAAATCCCGACATTCTGCCCGTGGAAGATGGCTTTGGATACCTCATACCACGCTCTATACCTTACGAGCAGAACCCAGAATGTGGACTTGGCGTCATTTTCGCCTCCTCGTCTAGTGTAGGGAACGGAACGGATCCGGAGTCTTCTGAAGTCAACCAAGACTCCGCACCTGGAACGAAACTCACTGTCATGCTAGGTGGACATTACTGGGATGGCTTCGACGAGTATCCAGACCATGACACCGCAGTAAAAATGGCCCGCGACATGCTCAAGAGACACCTGAATATCACTGATACCCCGGCTGCCACACGGAGTCGTCTCCAGAAGGATGCCATTCCCCAGTACACAGTCGGCCATCTCGACCGCATGTATAAGCTGTCGGATACAGTTCGCAAGGAGTACAACAACAGGCTTATTCTCGCAGGAAACTGGTATAATGGCATAGGTGTGGGCGAATGCGTCAAGCAGGGTATCCTATCTGCCACCTACGGCATCGGGAGAAACCGGCTCAATGATCAGCCTAGTCCGTGGCGTCCGTGGACTTCCATGAATTATGACCGCTGGGAACTAAAGGGCGGTGTTGTGATGTCTCCTGTTCGTCTGGTTGACTCCGAAGTCTGATGCTATATAGTCATGAGTGGTCCGTGTGGTTTGCCTAGTTGCACTTGGGAATGTAAACAAGAGAAGGTCTAGGCAATGTACAATAAATGTTTCTTTGTAATAATAGTATTTTTCCTGTGGAAACTTGCAAATTGACGGCATCGGCCGGATATCAAATGTTCAATTTCTAATGTCTAAGTTAGGTTCCAGCCCATGGTCGGTCCACAAAAGATTGAGTTTGATCCATTTGTGAAGTCTGTTGCCGTCCTCTTGATCCCATTAGTGTCAAGGGCGAGATCACCCAGACCCCTGATGGAGGGGGTGGCGGAGAGATGTGACAGTATCCGGAGTCCCTCACAGGCGAAGCGATGGGCGATTGGAAGGCGGGGATCGATTGACTGCAATTTGCCCTGCCATAGGTATCTTCTCACACCCACTTCCAATCACTTGCCATGATATAGGATAGTTTGGTCGCTCCCAACAGATATCCCAGGATGCTTGCAGGAAGTCCCGATGACAATAATATGCATATTAGCATATACTTGACACATGGATATGGGATATTGAATTTGATCTGAGCCCGCGTGTAAAGGTTCAGAAAGAGCATTCAAGCATTCTCATTGCTATCACCATCCTTTTTGTCACCATTGGAGTCGAAGCCCAACATATCTAGCTGCCGAACAAGTTCCTGAATTTTGATGACTTTCTCCAACTGCTCGGGCAATAGCGCCTCTCCCTGCTGTTTCTTATCGCGTAGATCCCGTGCCTGGCGGAGCTTCTTCTTCAGGTTGCGGGCTTTCTTCTCCCTCTCGGCTTCTGGATCAATAAGCTCTTCGGCAGGCTTTTCTTGCTTCTTAGGTGCGGGTGCGGGGACACGCCAGTTGCTTGACTCTGCGCCCTTGCCCTCCGTGAGGGGACCGGCTTCTTCGTTTTCCTTTGCATTACGCTTAGCCTCACGGCGTTTGGCGTTCTTGTTGCTGGCCGCAGTGGTAGTGGTGGCTGTAGGTATTGCTGCGGTCTTGGTCTTGTCTTCGGTGCTCAATGCTTCCGCACCCGGCACCCCACCTTTTGCGCGGCTCTTCCATGCTGCCGCAGCTCGGTTCTTGTAAAGTTCGATATCCTCGGGGGGTTTGTAGCCAGGGCGCACGCGGATCTCCTTGCGTTTAGAACCGTCGGCACGGACTGAGGAGGGAATGTATCGTTCGCCGGTTTGAGCATCGGTGGTGATGCCGGACCTAGCGACGTTGGACATTGTGGGTGGTGTGTATGGGTCTAATTTGTGAAATGAACCTCGTAAAATACAGAATATATGATAGCAACTTGACAGAGTCAAGCTCCAAGGCAAAGATCAATATCTTTAGAGATCGAAGGAGAAAAACAACACGAACATTGAAAGTTGAGTGCGGAAGGCCGGAGGCTCGGCCAATCAGCGGACCGGCAATTCCCGCAGATTCAGCCTTCGCAACTTCAACCTCACAACTTCAACTCTCGTTGCCCCATCCTCCTTGTCCAATCCTTTAATTTAGGTCGTGTGCAAACACCCCAATCCCTCACAATGGCCGGCGTATGTCTATACTCCCTTCTCCCAGTACTCCTATCTGCACTACGTCCCGTACTGACTTGACCTCTCGCATGACAGCTCGCAAACGTTATCTACTCGCATGTCTCCCCTCCCTAGGTCCTACGATCGCAATCGAAATTCTTCAATTGAAATCTAACCGAGGCACTCTTCGCTGTGTTTAGGACCTTCATCCGCAAGAACACTGTTCTCCTGACCACTGCTTTTGCCGGCGCCTTCGCCTTTGAGCTGTGGGTTACATCCAATCTCTAAGCATGTTAAGACATGCTATACACCTTAGACAGAATACTGACCATTCAATTCTAAAACAGTGCCTTCGATATCACCTCCAACAAGGTCTGGGACAGCTGGAACCAGGGCGTATGTTAACCTCTCTTCCGATCCGATGGACTACAATACCCGACCTCGGGAGCCTAGGACCCATGCTGACTCTATCTCTACAGCGCCAATGGAAGGACATCAAGCACCGTTACATGGTTAAGGAGGAGGATGACGAGTAAATGGACCGACCGAAAGTGATGTTGGGTATATTTTACCGCGGGTAAAGGGGCACATGGGAAAAGCCGAAGCCCGTTATTTCTCATCCCATATTGGGCTTGTACGCGATAGATGGAAATCTGTATTTTGACTTTCAACTTCTTCTAAGACTTCAAATATTCAGTGGCGCCTTTGTAGATCGTAGTGTGGCGTTTTATTGTGGCCGGTTCCATCGATGTCATAAAAATGTTACCTTCCTACCTTCCGGTCTCAACAAACACTCTTAATTTCTTGTTATTTTTCTTTTTGAACCTTTAGAATCTCCACATTTAAATTTGAATCGCGTATGACTTCACCGTATCTGTGCTGATTTGCTCGCCTGCATTGGTCCACCCTCACCCGTTACTCTCTCATCTTTCCCCCCACCAAAGTATCAGTGTGTGAGCAACCTGAACTAAATCTGAGAATCCTAATCGATCCGGACGATCTCTTGAATCTTAACTTAAAAATTTCATTTCCGCCTGCGTACCCGCGAAGAAACCACCTGCATCGGACTATTACTACCTCGAGCGCATTGTCGCGACAACGGCGTTCCGTTCCATCACTCACTTGTGATTGCCCGAGCGGCCGCTACGACCCGGCCACAACGACAAACCATGCTCATGCTTGGGGGGTGTGAGAAGCTACTAGGCGATGGTCTTCTCCGTTTACCCAAGAAACACAACTTCCGTTATGGCCCGGCTGCCGAGAAGGACCTGCTAGAGCTTCTCTTCCGATCGCTCGTTGGACATGACAATGATCTAGTACAACAGCTCTTCCCAGAAGGAACTCCCACCGGGCCATGGAAACTGGCTGAGGCTCAGGGTGCCCGGGAAGGAGCTGAGTACAGTGAAGCAGCGCGGGGCAAGCGCTGCGGTCATATTTTCCGTGCCGGGGAAGCCACATACCGATGCGTGACATGTGCCGCGGATGATACCTGCGTGTTATGCAGTCGATGCTTCGATTCCTCGGATCACACCGGACATCAATATCAGATTTCGCTTTCCTCTGGAAACTGTGGCTGCTGTGACTGCGGTGACGACGAAGCATGGCGGCTTCCGCTGTTCTGCGCAATTCATACCGATAGTGGCAATACCAAGGGCAAGGAACGAGCTCAACGGGTACTGCCCTCTGAGCTTGTGGCCTCGATCCGCTTGACTATATCCCGTGTGCTCGACTATTTCTGTGATGTCATCTCTTGCTCCCCGGAGCAGTTGCGCCTGCCAAAGACTATCGAGGGCATTAGGCAAGATGAGGAGGCATCTCGTTTGCGTCCCGACTGGTATGGTGCTGGTGATGAAGAGGAGGAAGAACCTGAATTTGCGGTTCTGCTGTGGAATGATGAGAAACATACAATCCGCGATGTCTCTCATCAGGTCACACGTGCTTGTCGTGAACGGGATAGCTTTGGTGTTGCGCGAGCTCATGAAACAAACGATATGGGCCGCAGTGTGATTAAGTATTCGAAGGACCTGAACAGACTCTTGGGTGTTTCTAAGATAATTGAGGAAATTAAGGTCACTGTCACAGTGCGCTCCGCGCGCGATACTTTCCGTGAGCAAATGTGCGCAACGATAGTGGAGTGGTTGGCCGATATTGCTGGCTGTGAAATCCTCGAGGACAATGAGATTTTCAGACAAATCATCTGCGAGGAAATGCTTTCGCCCTGGAAAAAGGGCAGTGGTGGATACAACGAAGATATCGGCATGAAGGGCATCGACGATCATCAACGGACTGAGAACCTTCCAGGTCGCACACTCATGATTAATGTGCCTAACCATGGTCAGGTCTTCTTGGCTGCTGACGATGATGATGATGACGATGACGATATTCTTGACGACGATGTTATAGACGAAGATGAAGACGAAGACTATGTTGAAGCGCACGACGCCGACGATGAAGATGACGATGAAATGGACATCGAACTCACTCGTGACCAGGAAGAAGACGAAGATATGATCTTGGCCGGTGCCGACGAGGAACTTGCTCTAGCAGAGCGCATTCTCGCTGATCTTACTGGCACGCAACCACCACCCCGACCAACACCGGCTCAACCCGCAGATCGGTCCTCTGCCGATCGAGGCCCGTCTGAATCTCAAAGTCCTGGCCCTGAATCCGCCCCCACTGGCTATATCCCTATCCCCAAGACCCCTGGTTCGAACCGGCAAAGGCCTTCAAACACAGAAAGTCATTGGCAAGTCCGGCCTTCCCTCCCCGCTCCAGGTGAGAAAGTACCTCCGTATGAAGACCTTTGGCAGCGTACTCGCCTAGACTGGCTTGTGCTATACGACTTGAGGTTGTGGAAGAAGACACGAACCGACTTGCGTGATCTCTATATCAGCACTGTTGTCAATGTTCCTCAGTTCAAGCGCATTATGGGTCTTCGTCTGTCTGCGTTGTATACGGCTCTGGCTCAACTGTATCTCATCGCGGATCGAGAGCCGGACCACTCGATTGTCAACCTTTCATTGCAGCTTCTCACGACCCCATCCATAACTGAAGAGATTGTTGTGCGAGGAAACTTCCTCACGAAGGTGATGGCTATTCTATATACCTTCTTGACCACGAGACAAGTCGGTGAACCACAATCCGTCAATCCCAATGCCACGCTGGCATTTGATGCTGGCTCGGTTACAAACAGACGTCTCTACCACTTCTTCCTTGACCTCCGATATCTTCTCCAATCCGAATATGTCCAGCACCGTGTGCGGACTGAGGAACAATATCTTCCTCAATTCCTTGACCTCGTCAAACTGTCACAGGGTATTTGCCCTAATGTCCGCGCTGTTGGTGAGCACGTTGAATATGAAACGGATGCTTGGATTAGTGCGTCGATCCTCATGCGAGAGATCAACCGGCTTTGCCGCCAATTCTGCGAGTCTTTCCGCGACCCTGAAATCGACAATGGTGATTACCTTCTGAGGGCAATCGAGACCACCACTACCACTGCGATTCTCCATTCAGCTGGTCTAGAGCGCAAGCGATTTGACCAGGCAGAGATCAAAGATGAAGTCAGATTTAAGCTGCTGCCACCTTTCGATTTTGAGGTCGGCGCCTCTGGCCAAGTGCCCTGCCATCGTGTCGTTGAATTCGTGGTGGAACGTGGATCTATCAGTTTCCATCATGCCCTTCATTACACATTGTCGTGGCTCATTGAATGCGGACGAAACATAAGCAGTGAGACTATGCGCGACGTCCTCTTTGACGCTGCCAATGTGGCGAGGAGTAAGATCCATGCTGCCAAGTCTGCCAACCATAGTAAAGTTGATGATGTTTTGCTTACCCTTGGACCCGAGGACTTGCTTCTGACCATGTTTGACTATCCGCTTCGAGTATGCGCTTGGCTAGCCCAAATGAAGGCTGGCATGTGGGTTCGCAATGGTCTCAGTCTTCGGCATCAAATGTCGCAGTACCGTGGAGTCTCTTCTCGAGACTTTGCCTACTACAGAGATATCTTCCTTCTCCAGACTGCCCTGGTTACTTGTGATCCTAGCAGAGTCCTTGCTTCGATTGCACACCGTTTTGGTATGGTTGAGTGGATGGCTCGGAACTACATGCCCCGTCCTGGATATGAAGATACCCAGATTGTGGATGTGGCAGAGGAATTTGTTCATCTACTGGTGATCCTCCTGACTGACCGAACATCTTTGACTGCCATCGATGACAGCACTCACCTCACCCACGAAAACATTAAACGTGACATCGCTCATGTCTTGTGCTTCAAGCCACTCTCTTTCTCCGACCTCTCGACTCGTCTCAGCGACAAGCTTCTGGACTCGGACATGTTCCAGGATGTGTTGGAAGAAGTCGCTAACTTCCGCCCGCCCGAGGGCTTGAGTGACTCTGGTACTTTTGAATTGAAGCCCGAGTATATTGATCTTATTGATCCGTACAGCGCACACTACACAAAGAACCAAAGAGACGAGGCAGAGAATATTTACAAGGAATGGATGGCGAAAAAGACAGGCAAAGATGCCTCTGATATTGTTTTCGAGCCGAAACTTCGACCCATCAGCTTCGGCGTGTTCTCAGATCTCCCCCGATTCGCCGGAACGATGTTGTTTGCACAGATTGTTCATCAATGCTTAGAATATGTTATCTCATCGAAAGAGTGTACACCAACCATCCCGCCGACACGAGTTGAGACTTTCCTTCAAGTCATTTTGCATCTTATCCTTGCAGCAGTGTTAGAAGATGATTCCGAGGAAACTGACATGGTAGAAGAACATTCCAATTCATTCAACTGGAATGCTTTGTCAAAGGCCCGAGAGATCAAGGCTGGCCATTTGACTATCGTCGGTTTGTTGGAGAGAATTTCAGTCACGACTGAATTCACTGCATCTGGACCTAAGATCAGACACATACTCAAACGTCTATGGCAAAAGCGTCCTCGCACATATTCATCGGCAACTGCGTCGCTCAAATTCCCCTTCGACCGCATCGATACCAACTCTCCTGCAATTGATGCAGACAACGACAAAGAGGCCAAGAAGAAGCAAGCACTGGAGAGACAGGCCAAGGTTATGGCGCAGTTCCAGCAGCAGCAACAACAATTCCTGAGCAGCCAGGGTAATATCGATTGGGGCGAGGAAGACTTCAGCGATCTGGAGTCCGAGACAGGCGCCACCCCAGAAAAGAAGCTATGGAAGTACCCTAGCGGAACATGTATCTTGTGTCAGGAAGAGACCAACGATTCGAGACTCTTCGGTACATTTGCCTTGGTTCAAGACAGCACTATCCTACGACAGACCGATATCAGGGACTCCGATAGGATTCGTGAGGTGCTCAGAACCCCCACAAGTCTAGACAGGTCCGCTGAAGAATTGCGACCATTTGGTGTATCAGGAGAAAATCATACTACCATCAAGCGTCTTGATTCTTCTGGTGGTGAAGTCGTCAGCGAAAAGGTTGGACTGAGTAAAGGTTTCAACGCAAAGAGCACTCTTCGTGGGCCTGTGACTACTGGCTGTGGGCACATAATGCATTACTCCTGTTTCGAGCAGTACTATACGGCGACTCAGCGGCGACACACCCAGCAGATCGCGCGTAACCATCCCGAGAACACTAACCTCATGGAATTTGTCTGCCCTCTCTGCAAAGCTCTCGGAAATGCATTCCTCCCTATCACCTGGAAGGGCAAGGAAGAGTCTCCACTAGTCCCGCTCAGTCCCTCTGAATCATTCGACCAGTGGATCCAATCAGGCCTCAAGCAAGCTTTGAACCAACAGCAAAACTTCCCAGTCCTCATGGAGAAGGAGAAGGCTTTTTCTCAGCCATACACTGACATTTTCATTGACTACTTGTCTAAGACACTGGTCCCTCCGCTTTCCAATACTATTGATCAACTGAGGGTCTCGCCTTTCCCAGCAGCTGCTCCCTCACAATACATCACGCCAGCCCGTATGCCAATGCCAGGTGTTTTCCCTCCCGCCGAAGACCTGTCGCCTTCCAGTCCACTTCAACAGGTGCCGAGTCCCCCGGACAGTCCTATGTCTGAACTGCTGCAGATTTACAGGCGGCTCAAGAAGACACTCAAGATGAACCATGTCAATTCGATGTTCAACAACACTTCTGAAGCGAATAGTAGTGAAGATCTTGTACATACTGATTCCTTAATTCGCAGCTTTGGTTTCAGTATTGCTGCAGTGGAGATCGCGCAGCGTGGTGTTGAGTCAGAGCCTGGCTCGACTTTGCTCGATACAATTCCTTCGTTGACGCTTACCCATCTGCGCGTTCTATCAGAGACGGTGCTGACATATGCTGCTGTTGGGTGTCTTCACTCAACGGGACCATCAAAAAGCCGCCCAACGAATGAGTTCCAGGAGATGCATCGCCAAAAGATTTGCCAACTACTTGTCGGGCACCCTTGTCTGAGTGGCACAGCTTTGCTTAATGATGTACGCAACATCGAGCCTCTGCTAGCTGTGGATACATTTGTGTTCCTCGCAGAATCGTCATTGTCTCTGCTTCCAGTCCTTCATATTGATATCAGGCATCTTGTGCGGATGTGCTTTGTGGCTGAGATTGTTAAGGTCGCTGTCACTTTCATTCTTTGGCCACTGGGTCTGAAGGAGGAGCTTGCTACCCACCCTGAGGACTATAATATGGCCCTCGATATATCTGAAGAGCAATTCGGAGTGACCAAGCAGTTCTTCGACTCGATCGTTGCTGAACTCAAGGCGAACTCTGTCGGCCGTGCCGAGGGCTCCTCCTTCCCCGCTGAGAGTGGCTACGTCAAAGATGGAGAAGAGACTGCCACTCCCAACGTTATTACTGCCGTCCGGCGACTTGTTACGAGCTACGGGCTTGCGTTCCTGCGCAAAGCAGTTATACTTCTTCATGTTCAGCACGGCGTCGAGTTCCCCAACACAGGATTCGCCGACGTGGAGTCTTCTGAGCTTGAGCGCCTGACCAAAGCACTTCATCTGCCTTCCATTGATGAGATTCTTATGTCCGTCAAGCCTGCACGCAAGACAAACAGTCCCTTCGACGCGGTCATTTCAGGCTGGATCTTCCACTGGAACGCCTCGCGCTCAGGCATCCGCTTCGAAGATCACCGTCTCTGGCCCAGTCTGTCGCACCCTGCTATCTTTGAGCTTGTTGGTCTGCCCAAGTACTTCGATAGCCTGATCGAAGAGGCAAACCGTCGCCGCTGCCCCAATTCCAAGAAGGAGCTCACTGATCCCAGCATCTGTTTGTTCTGCGGAGAAATATTCTGCTCACAGGCAGTCTGCTGCATGGCAAACAAGCTTGGCGGCTGCAACCAACACCTTAAAAAGTCAATACACCCCCGTACTTCGTTTGCAAGTACTCTCCAGCTAACAATTGTTTCATAATAGATGCGGTAAAAACATAGGTCTTTTCCTCAATATTCGCAAATGCACAGTTCTCTACCTGCACAACACGAACGGCTCTTGGCATTACGCGCCCTATCTCGACCGCCACGGCGAAGTCGACCCCGGTCTCCGCCGCAACCGCCAGCTTATCCTCAATCAGAAGCGGTACGACCGGCTACTGCGCGATGTCTGGCTATCCCATTCGATCCCTGCGACTATCAGCCGCAAGCTGGAGTCAGAAATCAACAACGGAGGGTGGGAGACCATCTAATGCACTCAAAAATACCTAGGGTTTACTTTTGCAGTTGCTGATGTGCATTCGCTTAGATTTTTTACAGTTTGAATTTCTGATGGCGAAATGGAAACGATCGCGATTGTGTGTTTAGCCGGTTCGTTTCGTTCTCTCCTATGCATTTATACAATGTTTCTGTGTCTCTTTACTGTATAGCGGGCATGCTTTTTATCCATGGGTTCATTTGGTAGTTATGATTTCATAATGCCAGGTTATGTTCAACTCGAATTTGGGTTGGATTTGTCAATGTATTACTACTACTCGTTCCCCGGGACTGTTACGCGACTTTTCTTTGCCACGTAGTATATTTTTCCCTTGTGTATCTACTGAGTAGTCAAAATCCGTATTTTGTTTCCTGCGCTCTCCCTCAGTTCTTTGATAGGGTTTAAATGCTGAGATTCTTAAAGATTCATGAATCCTGGGTGTAGACTTTTCACTGAATGATGTGTCTCAGATATATATCATTTCTTCTTACTGCTTTTTTTTTTGCATGAATGTGTAGCTATGAATATATATTGCGGCCCAACATAGATTACACACATTCTACGTTGTCAACACTTCTTAGACCGGCCCACTTATAATATATAATGCACCAAACTGTCCAAAGTAGCACTCAGCTAGGCAATGCGCCAATGTCGCCAATGACAACTAGGCCAAATACCCACTTGTCCATTTTAAGATACTAGGAAGCTGCCATTCATATAGACAATGCAAAATAGAAATAGAAAACAGAGATACATAGTATGACTTGCCCAAATTGCCTTTGTAATGAAATGCCTGTCCTACTTAGGGCAACCTTGGAAATTTCCCAATGTGATAAGGTTCAGATAAGTCTTATCTTCCCAGTGCCAAGCCGGATCTTCACCTCTTGACATGAGCCTTTCTTAACTTCAATCCGAAGCAACTTGAGCTCGCCAATATGAATAACGAGCAGTTTCGTCGGCTAATAGCCGAGCAGTCATCATCAAAACCTACAGGCCAGAGCCCAGCGCCTCGTCGCGATGCATCGCTTGGCGGCGCAACCCCGGGCGGGTCCCTGGGATCGCGAATGCGATCCAGTATTCCCATGACTCCGTATGTCGCTTGATTTGCAGATTGCTTTGATTACAAAGGAAGCTAACAGATGTGTCATAATTATAGACGCTCAGTCACTGGTGTGAACTTCGCCCGCCAGCTTTCCGAGCAACGTCACGAGGGAAACCGACCTTCCAAGCGATTCAAGTCTTCCGCTGCACCCAAGGGTACCTCACTACCGACTGGCTATCAGGATCGTGCACAACTGCGCAATGCAGAGGACGAGAGCAGTACAGGCCTAGAGGCGCGCATCAAAGCACTTGAGGATATGGTGAAGTTGGGACAAATCGACCAGGCTACATTTGACAAACTCCGCCGAGAACTCGGAGTGGGAGGTGATATTGAAAGCACACACATGGTTAAGGGACTGGATATGGATTTGTTACGAAGGGTTAGAGCTGGCGAGGATGTGTCGAAAGCGGCCGAAAAACCTGCGGCGCCCGCCGAAAAAGAAGACGTAGATGAGGAACTCGAGCGTCTTGTGGAACATAAAGGACTCGAGGAGCTTGCTACTGCACCCAAGGAAAAGAAGGAAAAGAAGAAGGGCACTATGGCACCACCACCTGCTAGGCCCAAGACCCGCGATGAAATCCTACGGGAATTGAAGGCAAGCCGGGCTGCTGCCGCCGCGCCTCCTCCGCCGCCTGAGTCTGTACTTGGCTCAAAATTCAAGAAGCTGGGCGATGGAAAGCCTGAGAAGAAGCGGTTTGTTGAATGTGACGAGACTGGCCGTCGACGCGAAGTGCTCCTCATCACTGATGCGCAAGGAAACACGAAGAGGAAGACTAGGTGGCTTGATAAGCCGATTGAAGCGCCTGTGCCTCCTGCGAGTGACCTTATGATGCCCGATAAAAGTCTCACGCCCCTCGGTATGGAAGTCCCAGCTGATATTGCTGCCCGTGCTGCTAAGCAAGCGGCACCCGAGGATGAGGATGACGACATCTTTGCCGGTGTCGGTGATGATTACAATCCTCTCGCTGGACTCGAAGACGAGTCATCGTCTGATGAAGATGGCGAAGCGGCAGATCCGGCTACTCGCAAACCTGAGAAGGCTCCTGTCAGCGAAGAGGGAAAGAAGCCTGTCACCTCTGAAACAGCACCTGTGAGACCCAAGAACTACTTTGCGACTGGGACCTCGGCCGCAGCACATGAAGAGCCTGTCGACCGATCCAATCCCCTCACCAAAGACCCGACCATTCTCGCTGCCCTCAAACGAGCCGCAGCCCTCCGACAGAGCTCTCCCTCTGCAGAGGGCGAAGCAGACCAGTCTTCCGATACAGCCGTTCGTCACAAGCGCTTTATTGAAGAGGCACGCCGCCAAGAGGCCATGGATGCCGCAGATATGGATATGGGATTCGGAGGAAGCCGCAACGAAGACGGAGAGGAGGAGGACGATGGTCCTCTGCTCGACTTTGACAATGACGAGCGAGGCGGGAAAAAGAGAAAGCGTGGTCCTAAGAAAAGGAAGGGTAACAAATAGAGCGTCACAGATATTATGCGTGTTGTCGAGGGTCGCAAGAAGGAGGCTTCATGAGTGTCATTGCCACAAACGCCATGTATTGGGTAATGTCCTCTACATGTTCTTTCTGCTATGAAATCGGCATTTGGAACTATTTGATACCCTGTTATGCTACGCGTTCTACTTGTCTATCAAAACTCATCGTGACGCGGAGGTCATGAAGTCACCTCCAGCATTTACAAACTGTTTTATTAATTCTATTAGCCTTTTCTGATCTTTGCTGGATATCTTTCTTAGCATGTAATCAAGACTACATGGCACATCGTATCATTCATTCTAAGAACGTTATATGCAAGTAGTCGTTCGCTTAACTACCTTTGGTGTTGCCGATGTAGGACTTGACCGTCCAGTTCGTTCGATAGAGAGGATGTTGGGTAGAGACATCATGTATAAGGGAATGCCCCGACATCTTTCTGGGATCTTGCTTTACAGTATTCTCCGCCGAATAGTCCCGTGGACACCTCCGTCACCATTTCCTAAGTGTTATTTGTATAGCTCGTTCCGTCGATATCTTTGGTGTCGGACTGTGAGACGGGTCCAGGACGAAGTTACCTGGCTAATGTGGCTATGTGGTCTTTTGGGCGTTTTCTCCCTCTACAGAAGATATTGCGACACGCTTCCTGAGTAGGCTATACATAGCTGCATATCTTATAATACTATACAGAACATCAATATATGTAGGTAGATATCAATATCTCATCGGGATACTAGACACTTTAGACTCCTAGAGCTTCTTGAATGTTGTCACATTTCCTCAGGTTGATCTTCTATCCAACCAGTATCTCGAGACATGGTACATGTAAACCTAAGGGTAGTACCTTCCCTATTTTCTCCTTTCCCCAAAAAGGAAGGAACCCCCAGCCTCAATCTCCTCAACCCTTAAATATCCTCCTCTGGTTTCTTCTCTTCTCTTTTTTTCTTTCCTCCTACACCTATCTTCCCCCCATCTTTTCATCCAACTTCCATCCACCTTTCATCAATTTTCCATCCACCTTAAGGGGATTTGGATTTTTTTTTTATCATTCATGCCTTCATGACCATCTTCTCTTCGTGACTGTCTCTTTTTTTTTGTATCTCTACAACGTGTCTCATCATGATTCTCTTGGTGACCACCACCTAGTCACGTCACATGGACACTCATGTGTACATCATGAGGACTGGGCCTATCGTGAAGCTACATACTTCAGGTGAGAACTCCGGCGATCCACTGTCAACTCGCTCGCTACTAGCTAGTTCTCAAAGCTGTTTCATCCTTCTGGGTGCCTTACTTTCAACAGCCGGTCCAGCATTTTCTACTGGCGAGTCCATTCCAATAGAGCTTCCAATCTTACACATCCGTGCATCGGTCATCCGCAAACTGCATATACAGGTGAGACTCCTGAGCGAACAGCACATATGAAGGAGGTTGGTAACCCCCAACCAACCTCCATAGATAGTTAGATAGTATTTTGCGATGATGGGATCTCACACCAGCTTTTGCTGACGCTTGTTGGTTTTTACCAGGAACACCCGATTTGACCAGACCTGTCAGCTTGAGCCCACTCCCAAGGGAACTTCCAGTGCAGTCTATCTCGCGCATCCATGTATCGGAAACCCACAAGCTGCAGATCCACCTTGCGACTCAGCGATATGCACCAATGCTTCTATCAACACAGAACAATCGCGCACTTCCACATCTTCAGGTGAGTTTTCCTGAGCGAACGACATATAAAGGAGGTTGGTAACCCCCAACCAACCTCCATAGATAGTTAGATAGTATTTTGCGATGATGGGATCTCACACCAGCTTTTGCTGACGCTTGTTGGTTTTTACCAGGAACACCCGATTTGACCAGACCTGTCAGCTTGAGCCCACTCCCAAGGGAACTTCCAGTGCAGTCTATCTCGCGCATCCATGTATCGGAAACCCACAAGCTGCAGATCCACCTTGCGACTCAGCGATATGCACCAATGCTTCTATCAACACAGAACAATCGCGCACTTCCACATCTTCAGGTGAGTTTTCCTGAGCGAACGACATATAAAGGAGGTTGGATACCCCCAGTCAATCTCCATAGATAGTTAGATAGTATTTTGCGATGATGGGGTCTCACACCAGCTTTTGCTGACGCTTGTTGGTTTTACCAGGTATTCCTGCCTCTATTGCATCCACTCCAGCGACTCAGCGACGTACACCAATATTTCCATCGACACAGAGCAACCGCACACTCCAACATCTTCAGGTAAGATCCCTGAGCGGACAACCCATGGAAAGGAGGCTGAATACAACTCGAATGGACAACCTCCTTAGCCCAGCCTCCTTAGATAGCTAGATAGAGTTCTGCGATGACGGTTCCTTACCAGCTTTTGCTGACGCTTGTTGGCTTTTAATAGGTATTCCTCCGTGTCTACTCCAGCTTTCTCACGACTCAGCGTTTACGACTCAGTGATGTGCATCAATATTTCCATCAACACAGAGCAACCGCACACTCCAGCATCTTCAGGTAAGGTCCCTGAGCGGACAACCCATGGAAAGGAGGCTGAATACAACTCGAATGGACAACCTCCTTAGCCTAGCCTCCTTAGATAGTTAGATAGAGTTCTGCGATGACGGTTCCTTACCAGCTTTTGCTGACGCTTGTTGTGTTTCCAGGTGTATGCCAACCACCAACCCGGCAAAATCTGTTCACCAGCTCAATTTGGTTGCAATTTGGTCGTGATTTCTGCTCACCCGGGCAGCTCGGTATCTGATTAGACTTCATCGAGTATGTCTTATCCACTGCACCCTCAAAATCGTACAATGGGCTAACTATGGCTAGATGTGTTTTCTCTGAGCATATCTGACTCTTTTATTCTCTTCTCCGAACACTTGAGACTCCCTCGCAGCTCTGGTTACGACCAGAGAATGATGTGACGCCTTTCCTGCGTTGTGGATGCCGGTTCGCTGCCGGGCCACAGTAGCCTTGTGGTTATTATCCGATGTCGTCTTTACTTGATCCTCAGGGGGAGACGACGATCAGACGCTGGAGGCCTGTCCTATTTTGCTGCACCCACTCATCTCGAGGATAATCTACAAGCGCGATGAAGTGAGTCCCCGAGGTTGGCTGGAGGGTGGGGCTTATCTCGGTCGCTTGCAAGATTTTCCTTGGGATAGGCTGGGTGGTCAGTAGGGGGGACTGCGCGGATCCGTTCTCTGAAAGTGTGTCCTCAGCTCCAGTAAAGATTGCAATGAATGACTTGGACAACGGGATTTAGGACACGGAAAGTCAGCGTTGTGATCAGCTGGGTGCGGCTAGGGACAGACCTTCAGAGATGGTGCTTATTTCTCCAATTTCTCTGGAACTTGGTATTTTCCTGTGGAACATGGTATTTTCTTGTGGAACATGGTATTTTCTTGTGGAACATGGTATTTTCTTGTGGAACATGGCTGTCGCTACCATTCAATGGTTGTTGTGGACAATACATGGACTTCATCATCAAATCATTGTCTCAGACATCTGGCATTATCCGTTATGAGACCAACCATCTATCTGTCTTCGAACTCGAAACTGCAATGTGGAGACAGCACTGCAACATAACTGGACGACCCCTTGCATCACAAAATGTCACCCCAAAATGAAGTCAAAAACACAAGAACAAAACCGAAAGCAATGCCGTCACCACCAGCTACGGGAAAAGCCGACAGCAGAAGCGTCTCCAACACAGCACTTTTCGAACATTTATGGTTTACCGATAGTACGCCACGACCCCAGGGGGCTAGTTATTTGAGCAGTGTCAATACTTCAGAGGGTGACCTGGCAATGAGCGAGCTCATCGAGCTCACTGAGAAAATCATGGAATTTGATGACCTGGTGGTGACAGCCACACAGAGGCGGAGTTAGGACACTCGGGAGTCAATGCGATGGAATTGAAATTGAAAACCATACAATTTGACCAAAGAACTGAGCATGTCCCTTCGAGAGAGTAAAATAAGTTCAATATCCATTCTTTGTTTCTCACTTGTAGGCATAATTCCACTAGTGGAAGATGTTGGCTTTCATGTTTCAACCACAATTATTATCTACCTATGTAGGTATCTAGGTAGTTGACTCCCTGTTCTGATCTCCGATTTCCCTCCCTAAACTATCAGACCAACACCACTTAGTGCAACAGGATGAGATACCCACATTACCGTCTATGAATTGTCTATGGCGAAGAACATCGGAGGACAAGGCAAGTACTTCCCATCAAACGACATCAAACATTGGGTAGTGAAAAGCCAACTAGGTCACGAACAGGTCGACACTTTACCCTATATCCCCATATATATAGAAAAGCGCGCTTTCTAGAATATGGGTGAAGCCTGTAACACCACCAGCAGTATTGCCAGCGGTCATTCTGAAGTTGACGAATTAAGCGCAATTCCGAAACTGGTTCACGCCACATAAGCTCATAAACCCCCATTTTACGCACCCGAAGGAACGCCTGGTAACAAGCGAAGATATATTTGCAAGTTAACGCAAAGCAAATTTGATCCGAGACCCAGAGGCATGTAAACAGTATTTCCAGGATTTCTGGTGGAATCTTTTGAAAATGATCGACTGCTATCGGTTTGGTCTTTGTGGTTCGATACCGTTGGAAGATGGATTTAATCTTTGGAACTTCACCCATAATTGATATTACAGATACAACAAAATAGTAAGATGTGAGAGTTAGAATAAATTCGACTGTTTATTTACGTTGGTAGTCGTCATCAATTAGTGTAGTATCCATGGGTTTATACTATAGGGCTATACCGTTCCCTCTATGTGTTTATTTTGTCTCCTCTTCAGCCCCATATCACCAGATCATATGAGAGGGGGCCAAAATACTTGGTGATTGTCACACCTGCAAAAGCCATATTCATTAACTATAAACCAGTATCATGATATTCTCGTTAGTATATGAGTAGAGAGAAATAAATTCTCATGTGGTTGATACAAGGTTGTGGATCCTGGTCCGTGCGTCGGCTTTGACTTCGGATTTCTTCCTGGCAACTATCCAGTGGCAACTTCAACTGCAAACATTTGTTAACTTCCATGCTATCACGTTCGTGGAAATACAGGTGCATCATGACAGACACCACCAGCCTATCAAGGCATCAGCCTCGCAAACCACATCCCCAAAAATGGCAAAAGCGGCCACAATTGACACATTTTCTCTGTCTCCCTCTTGTAAACACCACATCGCTGCCACAGCTAGATACATCGCTCGCAGCCTTCAAAACAGCTCATCTTGAACCTGCGCCAGGTTCTCACTCATCCAATGGCCAAGGAGACTCTTCCTGCCTAGGTCTTCCCAGCAGAGCCTTTCGTCCACTGGGCACACTTCACCTTACTCTTGGGGTGATGAGTCTCACCAATAAAGAGCGTCTCGATCAGGCTATTGATTTTTTCCAGTCCCTCGACCTGGCAGAAATAATCAACGAGGCAGAGCAAGTCACCGCTCACACACAACAAAAAGTTGCCCTTCGTCAATCATCACCCTTGACAGTTTCTCTCGAGTCATTACATGCTCTGCCGCAAGGAAAGTCAGCAACTATATTGCATGCCTCCCCGGTTGATTCTACAGGTCGCTTGCTTCCATTTTGCATAAAGCTACGTGACAAATTCATTGAGGCTGGTTTCATCCAGAGTGAGCCCGACAGAAGACCAAGAGGAAGACAAAATCCTCGCTTTGTCCAAGACAGCCCTCAAGCCTCTGAAGCCACGATTCTTAGCGATGTGTCTTTACAACAACCCAAACCACGACCCCTCCTCCTGCACGCGACTATTGTCAATACCATCTACGTCCATGGACGGCAGAACCAGAGCAAAGATGCCAACGGCAACAATTCATCCAAACGTCTTACGTTTGATGCTCGCAACCTGATTTCACATTATCGTAATTACTACTCTGATGACAACAGAACTATCCCGTACCGATCACCTGCTGGGTCTTCTGCAGACATTAGAAGTGAACCCTGTGCAGGGTCTTCGCCAATCCCCGATGCAGACATTACTTCCGAGGATAGAGGCCATCCGGCCCATTCTCTTCCACCCTCACGGGGCTACCCTTTCATTTGGGCAAAGGAAATTCCTCTGGATACTATCTGCATTTGCGAAATGGGCGCTAAGAAATTAGACCCTGGTGTCCACGACCGTGATGGTTTGAATGAACGGCTCGGCGAGGAATATACAGTTATTGCAGAACGGAGTCTCAATCCAATACTGCCATCACCTCCCTTGTCGACCGAAACGCCCGCATAATACATTTCCATCTAGCAGAAAATGGTCAATTGGGGATGATCTATAAACTTAATTTATCTTGGTCATATTTATGAAACTGAATTGTTCAAGATATTTGATTCCATTGCTGTGCTAGTGATATTAATGAGTAGGCTAGATCCCAAGCCTGCTTGGGTTGTGGATAGTACATGTGGCTAGGATTGCTCATCATGATATGAGTTGCGTTAGAGTGCAGCTCGGCCTTGGCTGAGCAACGAAGAGAGGACTTCCTGAGACATGTCTACGGGATTTTGACGGAAAATTGAAAGCCAGATGGCTAGGACATCAATCCGAGCCTTGTGACAGTGGGACTAATAGGGCCGAGCGTGGTGAATTGCGCTAAGACGAAAAGGGAACGCGAGTGTGGTTGGGAAATTCCACACGGTCATGCATCACGAGATTATCTCAACCGACTCATGATGGTTTCCTGTCCCCGTTCAATAGACAGCTCCGCGGCCTTGGCCTTGATGGCAGTGAGCATGCTGCGCTCGAAATCATCACGGGTGCGCAGCACAGCCTCAACCCATGAAAGCTGCAGATCCCAGTACTCAAGCTTGAATGCTTCGTAGACCTCTACAAGCGCAGGGCCCTTTTCAGTAGCAAGGAGGCGAACAAGCCAATCAACCAGCCGCCACTTCTGCTTGATAGTACCCTCAAATGAGTCGGGATACTTCTCAAAGAACGCAAATACGGTGAGAACGTCGTCCTTGAACTTGTCTGTGAAGGGGTCGACATGGCGGCGGAACTTAACACCCTTGTTGCGCACCGCGGACAGGTACCTCACTAGCAGCTCGTCTGAGAGTTCCTCGACTAGGATCTCGGCTAGAGATGGGTGCAGCACGGAATTGTAGTCCGCCATGTAGTCTTCAAATGTGGAGGTAATACGTTTCATAGCGAATTCACCGTACCAGCGGGATGTGTAGAAGTCTGGCAGGACGGTGTCAAGATCGACCCGGAAGACCAAGCCCACGAACTGCGCCAGGCAGTGCGTGCTCAGATCCACATAGCCATCGCGCAGTGAATCCAACTCGATAGTTGCCGTAGTGCCCATGTACTTGGGTGTGACCATAGGCTCGAAATCGGACTTGAACCGCGTCAGGTAGCCGAACTGGTTGCCCTCTTCGTTGTCGTCGATGCAGGAGATCTGGTCGTTGGCTATGCCGATTAGCCAATCTTGCAGCAGCTGCACGCCTTCTTGGTCTGCGCCTTCTGCTTGGTACTTTGAGCATTCTTCGTCCACGAGTGCCTGCCATGAACTCTGTCGGCTCTTCAAGGCCCGGAACATGGCATCAATGACACCCTCTACAAGGTCTGCGCGGTCTGATGCCCCTGATGCCATGACTTGTTCGTGGAGCATGCGCCACATGTCGGCCAGGGTCTTGGTGCGGAAGTGGCCTTCTGCGTTGTTGTCTAGGGCATCTGCGGCACGTTCCACGAGAGACTTTTTGTCTGCGTTGAAAATGCGGTCCATCCATTCTTCGACAGCGTTGATGATGACGTTCTGCCATTTTCGGACTAGTTCTGGCTCCCGGTCGTCGAGAATGTTGGGTTGGAGCTCCGTCGATGTCCAGCCCAGCTTCTTCATCTTCTTGTAGTACTTGTCACTCCAGTGGATGATGCTGAGCAGATTATCGGCTGGGAGCTCGGGGTCATCGATCATCCTGAGCAGGAAATCATGCATCATTTGATGATAGATATCGGTGTATGTTTTGAATATCTTCCATTTCTTCGGGACAAGGCTCTGCATGCCTTGCTTGACCGTGAATAGATCATTGAAGTACCAGCGGAATTTCTTTTCCAGATTTTCTGGATCTGCAAGGAAGTTTTCAAGGGTCTCTTCAAATTGGCCCTGGGCGTAAAGCTCAATAGCCTGGATGAATTTATCCTTGTAACCCCGAACAGTCTTAGGACCAATATTCATAGATTTGAAACGACTTGCGAGGTCCTTGTGGTCTTTCTGTGCCTCTTGCAACGCTCTGACTGTATCATCATTTTTCTCCTCGTTCAAGACAACAACGGCGAGTCGGACAACCATGCTCTTGTTGTCAGCCTGCACCAAGGGAATGAGGTTCATACAAGCCGTTCCAAGGTGATCATCAAACCACTCAATAACAGAATCCAACCCTTCAAAGTACTCCGTCAGAGTCTCTTCGGAGCTCCGATCCTTCGCCTTGCGAATCTGATCCAAAGCTTCATCACGGAAATCCCTTAACCGCGAGATCTGCATGTGAGCCCGCAGAATATTAGGCTGATTCTCCATATCGTCATCATCCTCTTTGAGCAAATCCTCCACTTCCTGAATATCCGCGCCGAAATTCTCCAATCCTCGTTTCATCATAAGTGTAGCATCAAAATGGCGTTGGATCCGCGCAAGCTGATCAATCTGCGCAAAGTCCTCCACACTATCCTGCGACTCAGCGCACAGCTTATCGATGCCCTGAAGCTCATCTTTTGTTTTCGAGACTTGTCGTTGGCCCTCAGTCAGAGCTGCAATGCTGCGTTGCACAGCCTCCAGCTGGTCTCGGAGACCTTCACGCAACCGTGAATCAACTGCCGTCTTCTTCCGCAAGTATTCCGCTTTGAGACCGGCGATCTTATCGAGATCTTCCGGGTGTCGTAGGAGGTCTTCGAGTCGCGGCAGGGCGACCGTAGGATCAATATTACTGGCTTGCGCCATGGTCACGGTATATGTCAAGTAGCTCGTGATACCGTCGTTCTGGTTCAATCGCTCGAAGCTTAGACGAGGGGTGAGGTGTCAACAATGCGGGCATGTGGCGTTGCCTGCAGGAAGGTAGTACACAGCAGCAAGCTATGATATAAATCCAAGTACTGTTACACCGGAAACAGCGCAGCCCATAGTCTCAACTTTCAAACGTGAAATAGTATATCAGCTACCACATGCCGATTGTCGTCGCTACTGTCATCGGATCCCGGCAGAATATACACGTGACCCACCGCCTTCTAATTGAATTTGCGGGATCGCGATCATCTACAAGTCCGCGACGTTACTCCGCCAGACTACAGGATCAATTGTGCTACAGATACCGGCTGCAAATTCTTATCCGCCGATACTCCGGTATCCTCCTATATCCACCGCAGTCCATTCCACATATTCCAAGTCCGATTCCACGGCTCCGGACAACCTCCAATCCATACCGTCGAAAGAACAACATCCGAATATCAGATCCCTCTCAATCACAATCCAACATGTCCTACTTTCGCATCACCCTCATTCGCTCCGCAATTGGACTCCCGCGCCGCTCAACAGACGTCCTCAAGGCGCTCGGCTTGAAGAAGCGTATGGCAACAGTCTTCCACGCCGTCTCGCCCTCCGTCGCGGGTCAAATCATGAAAGTCAAGGAACTCGTCCAGGTCGAGGAGTGCCAGTACCGCCTTACAAAGCAGGAGGTGCATCTTGAGCGCAAGCCCGATCCCGGATATTATACCGAAAAGAGCTGCAGTGAGCAGCGAAATGAGCTCCGTTCGTGATTGTTTTCAATGATCTTCGCGTGCAATGGGGATGATTTTCAGACTGATTTCTTTCGCCGGTCTTGAAGACTAAGATGAGATCTAAGTGTTTTGAAATACCTCTCACTCGGACAATTGATTGATCGAGTGTGTCCTCTTTTTTCTGTTTTGGCTTTGCTTGCATGGAGCGGGTTTCTTTTTTCCTTTTTTTGGTCATGTACTCTACGTCCACATCTATCGGACCATTGTCTTTCTGGCAAACTATTGTATTATATGCATTATTACCGTCTAGTGGAATCCAACACTTGAAACAAATATGTGCAATTTGAAAGGACCAGGATAATGATAACGCCACTGCACCAGCAGTTTAGGTAAGGACAGCTATGAGGCACTAGGACTATGTCTAGGAGTCTTGACAGGCCGGGCAAAGAAGATACAAGGAAAAACAAGTTCACTCCAAGACTCACGCTTTGTACAAAGTGTCCAAAAATCCTTCTGCCAGACGGCTAACGACACTCTTGTCGGGAATGCTGCCAGCTACGCCATACAGAGCAGAGGTATCGCCACGGTTGAGAATATATGATTTGCCCTCACGCTTGCGCTGCTCGGCCTTTTCAAGCTCTTTGCCGATGACTTCAGTCAAATCAGCAATGAGCTGGTCAACAGCCTTGGCAGTTGGAATAGTGAAAGCACAGTGGATAGCCGGCGGAGATTGCAGGGCGTTCAGGTGCCAGCCTTTAGCGGACAGGTCATCAGCGATATCATAAATGTCAATGGCACCGTTCTTGCTGCGGAAAGCAACTACACTGACGATAGGGTTACCAATGACCTCCATGTGTAGTGAGATAGTCGCATCGGTTCGAACGGCCGTCTCGAACTTCCGTGCTGCGTTGATGATCTCGGTACAGCTGTTGATGTATCCAGCTTCGCCGACGCTCATCAGACTGGCCCAACAACCGGCGATCAGAGCACCAGGGCGAGAGCCCGCCACGGAGGGAGAGGCATAAACACCGCCGGACCAATCGGGGTAAATGAAGTACTGGTTGTTTCGGTATGATTTATTGCGGTAGATCAAGACCGAGTTACCCTTGGGGGCAAACCCGTACTTGTGGGTGTCGACACTGATACTGGTCACACCAGGTTGGCGGAAGTCAAAGCCACCCTCTTCCTCGTAGGGCGAGGGGAAGCCGGCCTTCTTGAGGTGGGCGACGACGAAAGATCCCAAGCAGCAGTCAACGTGGAGAGGGATCTTGTACTTGGTGGCCAGATGCGATAGAGCGGGGATATCATCAACAATGCCATGGGGGAAGTTAGGTGCTGATCCAACAAGAAGGACAGTGTTGGGATTAATTAAACGACGAACAGCGTGCACGTCGACCTTGAACTCGGGCTCGGGGCAAGGCACTCGGTGCAGCTTGATCTTGAAGTAGTTGCAAGCCTTGATGAATGCCGCGTGTGCCGTATCGGGAATAATCCTGCGATGACTGATCAGTCCTAGTGCTAAATACTATAATATCCCCATTTCCACTTACATCTCAGGCTCAGTGACACCGCGCTCCAAGAGAGCCTTTTGCCGGGCAGCCAAGCAAGCCATAAGAATAGACTCCGTGCCACCGCTGGTGGTTACACCGGCACCATCCGAGGGGGCGTTGAAGAGGGCGAGAACCTAGAACAGACATCAGCAGGGAGGCTCCTTCGGAGATCGTACTTTAGGTATAGGAATATTCATGCATACCATAGCAACCACCTCAGCCTCCATCTTCCGTACGCCAGGGAAAACATCCGGATGAATCGGGTTCGCGACACCAAACTGTCCAAAGGCCTCAGCCTGTAGCTTCAACAGCTCCGCACCTCCATGATAAACAGCGCCGCTTACGCGACCGTCTTCCCATCGTGTATGTTCAAGCCCAGCCAACTTGTCAAGTTCAGCGCGGACCTGCTCCGGCGACCAACCCTCCTTAGGCAGCGAAAGATACCGTGTAACATCCGGTCCGGAGTTGACCAGCTTCGATTCGAGTTTCGTGATCGCAGTGTTCACTTGCTTATCGACCTGGCCGCGAACACCAGGAACGCGCAGGAAAATGCCGTAGCAGAACAGGCGGAGCGAGATGTAGATGTTGCGGATACTGCCGAGGATACCATAGCCGCGGATGGAGTAGAAGGTTTTGCGCGTGTACCGAAGGATGAACAGAATAAATACGACGTTGCGAACACTGTAAAATAAAATGTGTCAGTGGCAATTGCCTATCGTCTTTGACCTGCGGGGAAACGGGGAATTGTTCAACTTACAGGTCTTGAAGGTTCAGGGCAGACAGATGCGCACCGGACACCCGGCCGTAGCCAACCAGCTTGTTCTGTAAAGCGACTGGCAGCATCGAAGAGCTCATTATTCTCCCTAGGGATAGTGTGATAATGATGGGTGGGAGTGGCGATGGAGAGGTTTCATTTCGTCAAGTAGTACGTGACTGGATGAGTCTTAGCGGGCCTCGGCTGCCACATGAAGGTCTTAGGTCAACGTTACAATGAAACAGCGTGATATTAAAGAAATCGTATATATATGTACTTGAAATAACAGAGTAATTTATTTACACGTTTCCTATATCAATCCTTCAACTACATCAAACTACATCTATGTTCTTGTCTTTCTCTGACGTAATTGGTCCAGACTAGGTAACTACCTAGGTATACAATATAAAAATGAAGAGTCTAAAGAGTAAGTTACTGCCTCTTCTGCGCTAAATGTACAAATAAAGGAGAACTCTCTTCTCCTAGCACAAATGTGTTGCTTATCCCAAAAGAAAAAAGAAGAAAAAAAAAAAATAGGAAGACTTTTCACACCCTTGTATGGAAAAAAGAAAATGTCAAAACAAATGAAAAAGCATCAAATCATCAGGTATTTCGCCACGCCCGAATTTTTTGTATAAGCCACCGTGAGATAGCGTCATACAATATATGTATTGGTAAAGGGAAATCTATACCACAAGACCGGCAGCCTGAGCCTCAAGGAGCTCCTTCTCCTTGGCGACGAATGCAGCCTGCTCCTCGGCGGTCAGGTCAAGAAGGGGCTTGTTCTCGCCGGACTTGAGGTTACGGTGGTAAGCACGGATAATGCTGTCAGCGTCATCGACAGCAATGGGACGAATGTCAGCCATAGCCTTGATCTTGGCAGTGCACTCCTTGTATTGAGCGTCAGTCATCTCAAGCTTGAGCTGCTGGGCACGCGACTTGATGGCGTTCCAGCCAGTCAAGCGGGAGGCGAAGTGGACGTAGCGGGTCATGCCGAAGTCAGCAGGGTTGATAATTTCGTAAGTGCTGGGGTTGTTGAGGATAGCCTTGGCGTGGATACCAGCCTTGTGGGTGAAGGCACAGAAACCGGTGATGTAGTTGTTGAAAGGAATGTTGACCTCAACGGCCTCAGCGACGAGGTCCTCAATCTCCTTGAGCTTCTCGAGCTTGTACTTGCTCTTGACGTAGTCGCGGTCGGCGACCATCATGCGGGCCATCAGACCACCGAGAGGGGTGATACCGTTACGCTCACCGATACCGAGAACGGAAGTATCGATGTGAGTGGCACCGGCCTCAAGGGCACAGAAGGCATTGGCAATGGCACAACCAGTGTCGTTGTGGAAGTGAGTCTCGATATCACAACCAACAACACCGCGCAGAACACGGACGAGCTCGTAGACCTGGCGGGGGGAAGCGCAGCCAACGGTATCGGCAATACCGACACGGTTCACGCCAACCTTGTCCACAGCGGAGTAGATTGACAGGAGGTCAACCAGGTCGGAACGGAAAGAGTCCTCACTGGAGAAACGGATCTCAATACCCTTGGACTTGACGAACTCGATAACTTCAATGGCGGCGTTCTTAATGTAGGTCATGTCCTTGCCATGAGAGTGCTCACGGAGGTAAGAAGAAGTACCGATAACAACATCACTACACAAGGTCAGTTCAGAGTCACCAAAGGGAGGACCAGGTACACGACTCACACTCCATCAACACCGGTCTCGACGGCAATACGGGCATCATCCATGTGGCAGCGAATGTGAGTGAGAATCTGAAGACCTTATTAGATATTGATAGTCACGAGACCTGGGCAAAACCCTAACGTACCTTAGCCTTCAGGCCAAGCTTGCAAATGGCCTCGCAATCCGCGCGGGACTGCTCAGAAGCACAGGGACTGGTAAGCTCAATCTACAGTGTGATGATCATTAGCCTCTTAATTTTATAGTCATAAACTCTTTGTCCGGTGACTCACGTAGTCCACACCGAAGTCATCGAGAGCCTTGGCAATTTCAATCTTCTTGGCAGTATCGAAGAAAGCGTTGGCGAACTGCTCTCCCTCACGCAAAGTAGACTCAATAATCTTGAAACGTGAGACATTGCTAAGGAAATCGGTGACGCCAGCGTCGTGCCCGTAGGGGTTGCGGGATGCGGAGGGGTGGGGGTTTTGGCGAGTTTCAATGCCAACGAAACCAGTGTGGTCACCGTCTATATAGATGTCAGCAAATGATTCTAGTATAATAGCTTTTCAATTGACATACTGGGAGCAACGGTATTAGCTTGCCCATTGGGCTCGGAGTCGGCACCGGTACACATGGTGCAGATAGTTGAGTGTGAAGGGTCGAGACTTAGTAAATATGAAGCCCAAAAGTTTAGAACAATTCACAAAAGATCGAAATTCAAAGAAAATCGAGCGACACTTAAAATCTTTGTAGTAGGAAACCTAAAGGGAAAAAAAGAGACGGAAAGAGTCATAAATTCATACGCCGAAGTAGTGGGCGGTGAAGTCCGGAGTCATAGACGCCCCCTCCTTCTGGGCGGCAAAAAAGAAATTTTTGTATTTATATACGGAGTACAGTGACTGGACATAAGTTTTTGACACCCCCGGGCCCCACACCCCGTAGATTATATAATATTCTGCCAGTAGGATTAACTCCTTATATTATGATTGTCTCTGTTAATATGGCGTAGAAAAGGAAGAAATAGGTTCATAGATCTAGAAGAGAAGAAAATTGTCATTCTTTTACAAAAAATCGGCCTGTGTACAGCGGTTTTAGAAATGTTCTGTATTTCTAATTTGGGAAGGCGGTAGTGGCGGGGAATTCGGTGGGGCCAAAGGGGGGTGCAAAAACTTATGTCGAGTGTACGGAGTTTGTAATCCGTACATATGGATGTATGCAGATCTCTGTCAGCCAACTAGAAGACCGGAAACAATGATGACATCACCCCATTTCACATACTGTGAATTGTAATTGTGTAGTAGGAATCATATGTCTTGATCTTCATTTTGAAGATAAATATATTAGAGAATGGTTGGTATATCTATAGAAAATATCATTATCAGAAGTTGAGGTGAACTTATGAGTCAGACCCCACAGGTAAGGTCCGATGTCGGTTCCAAGAGTATTTGAAGTACTCCGTAAAACTACACACATTTCAGGGATTTTAAAGAGAGACATTGAACTATGCATGTGAGTCATGTAAATAATATACAACATACGGAGTACAACATACTTGAATACCTCGGTACTTTTGTACGGAGTAGAAACATGCTAAAAGATCCTACTATGTATTATACTCCCCCACCTCTCCACAATCGGCTTAGGCATTGTAATTTTCTTCACTTTTCTCCCATTCTCTCGCAGGTTGACTGGGTAAGACTCACACGGAGAGGATTTGTCTCCCTTATTAGGATCTAGAATAAACTATATAAATAGGAAAGGCGATAAATTACATCACTATATTTCTATTTTATTTTGTTTGTCAATAGCATCTCGACCAAATTATAGGAACTCTCTAAACTCTTTAAAGAGGACTATACAAAGCGTTAGTTACCGGTACCCAGAAACGACGGGGGAAAGAAATGACTGCCACAACTGGGCGTTTCCCCAGAACATTGTGAGAACTCTTCTGATAGCTGTTTTTATATTAGGAGTCCAGATAGTTACTAGAGGCTACGGGGAACCTATAAGTCACATGCGCTGCCAATTACGCCAATTTACAAGGAAACGGCATTTTATTTTCAGTTGAATCGACAAGTAGTATAGTTTTACATTAGCAGCCAAATGGGGGGAAAGAACAAGAAAACTCTCACTTTTAAAGCCTTAACATCCAGTAAAATGTAAAATTTTCCATTTCTCTTATAGTTGGATGCCACATTTAAATAGTTCAATGTTAGTATATTGTAGTACGGATGTTGCAAGAACTCGAAGTTTGTATACCTAGACAGCTCTTTATAAGTATATAGTAGATCATTGGCTTTTGCTATTATTAACGCCATTTTTGTAACAAACTTCCGCTGTTACAAAAGACTCATCTATCACTAGGTAGTCATGCACTATGTACATCTCTACTATACTCACCTAGCAGGTATCACAAACTCGTGATATTAGTGTAACCCCGGCAACATTCAAGCCTCGGATGACTTCAACTAAGAAAAGGTTGTGTAAAGGTACACCTGTATTGTTTACTACCATTATATCATATAATGCATCGCATTTGACCATCTGCGGAATCCGATACTATTTTGGCTCTACATGTTTCCGCATAGTCATTTACGGTGAATTCATATCCCAAGCATAAAGAGACCAGATTCTTTTGCAATTTCAATTTATTGACAAAGTACCCCATTTGCAAAGATCCAAGCATTGTAGGTCTATATTATTCCAGGGAAATATATAACGATTCGAGTGTATTCTGGTCAGTAGTCAGTAATGAGCTTTTAATATACCCGGATGATATCAATTGACATCTAAATTTGTGGGGTCGGGAGCTTTATGCAAGTCAGAATCCACAAAGATCTAATTGCAAGAAGATTATCAAAAAAAGAATATAAATCTAGAACATTCTGAACTAATTGCATAGGAATGGCGCCATTGGTGTAGAGAAAGGAGGTGCGGGAGTAAAATTAAAGCGTTGTGGTTGGCTAACGCTCAGGCCAGCTGTCGTCCCAACTTCCTCCCATTCTTCCTCTTGTCTCTGACTGTGTTTCTTGTCCCTTCCAGTCGTTGGTAAGTGTCTATTTCATCTTGATTCATTCCCGAGACCTGTCTCACTGACTCGCCGCAGCCCTCAAGATGCGTTTCACCTCGCTCGTCACCCTCCTCCCTGCTCTGGCCATGGCCCAGGAGCAGGTTCCCCTCGCCGACCGTGTGCAGGGGTGGTTCAACCAGGTCAAGTCCTATGTGCCAACAGCAGCCCCAGCTTCCCCAATTGAGAAGTTGGCCGAGAAGGTTACCGAGAAGAGCGTCACAAACGTGTCCTTGGACAACTGGCAGTCCATCCTTACCCCAGGACCCCAGGCGGAGGACTTGTTGATCTACATCACCGGAGGCAACAAGACTTGCTTCGGTCGCTGCGGAACTGCCGATAAGGCATTCAAGGTGAGTTTATGTGCTCCAATCGACGCGTCTTTTCGAGTCCCAAGTCTCTAACATGTGTTCGCAACCCTCAGGAATCCGTCCTGTTGTTCTCCGCTGACCCTACCTCACCTCACCTCGGATATTTGGATTGCGAGGCAAACCAGGTCCTGTGCGCCGCCTGGTCTGCCAGCGCTCCCTCCGTTCAGTACTACCAGATCCCCAAGGCACCTGCTGTTGGCGAGGAGCGTGCTCCGACTCCTCTCCGCAACATCTACCTGAACGCCACCACCGTCACCCCCGCGACTATCTACGAGATTCACGCTAAGAAGACCTACGAGAAGGTCCCCATTTACGAGGGCGCTCTCCACCCCGTTGACGGCTGGGTCGCTAAGTACCAGCTCAACATCCCCATGGGCTACGTTATCTGGGGTCTTGGTGCTGTCCCCAGCTGGCTGTTCATGATTGGTATCAGTTTCTTTAGCCGGACCATGATGTAAGTTGAAATTGATTGTGCTTGTTGTTATTAGTCTAACACCGGAATTAGGGGCCGTCGCGCGGGTCCTACTGGAAACGCCCCTCGGGCTGCTGCCCCCGCTGGTAGCGCAAACTAAATAGCCTCTTTCGGTCTATGTTGGTGTTTTGGGTTGTATATAATCAGTGGTAGTGTATTGTGATGCGTCCAATATGCTTGGGTTGGTTTGTGTTCTTTGTTGGGCAGATATCTGTCGGGGATGGAGCCTTGGGCCTTTTTCCAGCTACCTTTTTAATCAACGTATCCTAGCTATGTAGTGGGATTTTGTAACAGATTCACCGAATGCATTATTAGTAACTCTTTTGACACTATTAGCTCTCTATCCAGAACATTGTTTGAAAACCTGTAGCCCATTCGCTACCCGAATTACTATGCTGCTGAGTTTCTTTATGACGCGCATGCTCTTAAATCTGAGGCATCATATGCGAGGTTGAGGTAGGTCATCGCCCAATTCAAAGTCACATCGGAGATAACAGTTCAATCTGTGCTGTTGATGTATGTGTCTTTGGGTTGGACAAAAGAACGAATATGGCCCTAGGGTATTTGAAGGAAAATGAAATTGTAACTTATTATTCTGGGCTTATAGGTTCCTTAAATTTCATTGCTGGCTATTCCACTATTCTTGATACTGTACACTCGCAAGTCTAAAACATATATCTAGAACCTCTACTTCTAAATAATCAATACCCTCCCCGGCATGACCTTCACGTCAAGCTATATGTATAAAATCAAAGACTGAGCTAAGAATGAGCTTCATCTGAAATTTGTCGAGCAAATAAAAGAGTTGAGCGCTATGGAAGTGTGAAGATGTCTAGGGCGGTCGACCTTCCCTCACATTTGAATTTCGCGCCACGCCGAGATCTTCAACCATACAACCAACTCAAAAATGGCCGCCCCAGTACCATTAGATCGCGTACCCCCCACGACGGCCGCCTACGTGATCGCAACCGCCATCATTGCAGGTGTGACCGGATACTTCATCGGCCAAGGATCCTCTATCAGCCTCTTCAAAGAGAAGAAAGAAGGGTGGCCGAACAGCTATGATGTGAAGGTCCACAACCACTCCTCCGACGAGGAGGAATCAGACTCAGAAGAAGAAGAGACCGACGACGAAGACGAGGGCAACGGCGAAGAACTGTCGAGCTTCAAGGACAACAGCGAGGAGGTGAAGCTGGTGCTCGTCGTCCGCATGGACCTGGGCATGACCAAAGGTATGTGCCCTACGAATATTTCAATTGTTCCCATATCTTCTGCAAGCGCTTACAATCTCTTTCTTCTAGGCAAAATCGCCGCCCAGTGTGGTCATGCTACCCTCGCTTGCTACAAATACTTCCTCGAATACGCCCCCAACTCGCCTATCCTCAAGAAATGGGAGCGCGGTGGCCAGGCCAAGATCGCGTTGCAGGTCAAGTCCGAGGATGAGCTGCTGGTCATGCAGGCCCAGGCTATTAGCCTTGGGCTTTGCACGCGCGTTATCCAGGATGCTGGGCGTACGCAGATCGCAAGTGGCAGCAAGACCGTGCTGGGAGTCCTGGGCCCTAAGAGTGTGGTTGACGGCGTGACGGGACACTTGAAGCTGCTGTAAATTACACATGAGCTTTTCTTGTATTTAGATAGGCAATGATCATGACGTCGACGAACAGCTTTCCAACATTACTCAATCCATCACATTCAGCATGCGACAAGCAGTCGGGCATTCATTATATGCGCGTAGAAAAAATACGTGTAGCATGTTTCCTAGACAACCTAGTCCTGCAGAAAAGATGACTTCTTGCAATCCAAGGATTGTGATACGAGATACGAGTTACGAGTTCTATATAAGAGATGTTGGCAAGTCATGGTTATTCCCTAACCTCAGTGGCCAACGGCCAGTCGGCAAAGAGATATGAAATATGACGCCGTCCGAAACCAAGCTATCAAGCCGAGCTCACCAGTGGGAGCTCAAGACCCGCGTCACAAGGCACAGACAATTAATCTGAGATCTGTCGACCGGAAACCGTAAAGGCCATCCACGCAAAAAATGATGGCTCCAAGCTCGTCGAAATGCCCAGCTCTCAACCATCACACAGAAACCAGTCAGACTGGAGTCCATGGACAGGAAATCTGGACACAGATCCGGTTATGGTGAAGAAGAAAAGAGGAAAGAAAAAGCGGAAAGGGTCTTATTTATGTCGCAAGTGGGGCCTCTAAGATTTTATGGCACTAGGCCAGGATAGGAATAGTGCAATGTAGCCACATCATGTGACCCGATTGCGCTTATCAGGAATCTAGATGGCGTTGTGACAGCTAACAACGCAACGCACACTCACAACGCAAAGCACAATCTCCAACAAAGACGGACTACTTGACAAGACCCCACGGACCTCTGCTTTGCACGGATGCACTGGACTAAAACTTCAATTGATAAAATCTAAAGTGAAAGAAGAGGGGACATCGGGTACGGAGTAAGTTATACCCCATCCGGTTTTGCCAGCAAATGCCGCCCCTGGACAAAATGATAACCCGGAGTCTGGGCGCTACAGCGTCGCGCTTCAGTCCATCATCTCTCAGTTTCCTCTCTTCTCCTCTTTCTCCACACATCGTCAAAATGGCGAGCGATCTCTCTATTGAGCAAAACAATAAGATCCGAGTCACTCTTGGCCTCAAGCCACTCCCTGTTCCTGGCGCCGGCCCAGAATTCAGAGAAGACGACAGCGAGTCCGGTGAGGAAGAGGACCCAGCTAGCACTATCGAAACACGCCCGGCGGAAAGTTATGACAACTGGAAGAAGGTTCAAGATGCCGCTGAAGCTAAACGGAAACGAGACGAAAAGAATGCCGCCATCAAGCGGGCGCGTGATATCGCCCAACGGAATCTTCAACTTCAAGGAACCACACTTGGTGAGGTGAACGGCGAGGAACTCGATACCAAGGCGTTTCTGGCACAAACCAACAAAAACCGAAAGAAAATCGAGAAGGATCGCGCCCGGCGACTCGCCGAGGAACTCGAGGAGCGGGAGCGTCTTGCAGCCGCCGAGTACACTGCAGCTGATCTGGCTGGAATTAAGGTCGGACACTCTGCGGGTGCTTTTGAGGGTGGCGAAGATCACATCCTGACACTGAAGGACGCCGCGGTGGACGACGACGAAGAGGACGATGAGCTCGAAAACCTCGATCTGGTTGAGAAGGAAAGAACCGAAGAGAAGTTGGAACTCAAGAAGAAAAAGCCTGTCTACGATCCTACTGCAGAGAACCAGGGCATCCTTTCACAGTACGACGAGGAGATCGAGGGTAAAAAACGGAAGCGATTTACACTCGACGCCCAAGGTTCGACCGAGGAACGCGAAGCAAAGCGACAGGAAGTTTCGAACCAATTGCGGAAGAACATAATCAGTCTCGACTTTGAGCCGGAAGTGCCGGCCTCCGATTACATGGACATTAGCGAGGTCAAAATTAAGAAGCCCAAGAAGAAGAAGGCCAAAGCTACAAAACGGGGAACTTTTATGGAGGACGACGAGATTGCCCCGGTTACGGATTCCAACGATGCGCAAGGGTCCTCAGCCATGGATATTGATTCAAAGGCTGGAGTCCCAGTCCCTGCTCGCCGCAAGCCCATCAATGAGGATGTTTCTTTCGTGGATGATGATGATCTTCAAGCCTCTCTTGCATTGCAACGACGGGCAGCCTTCAAGAAACGCAAGAAGATTAGTCCCGAGGAACTTGCGAAGCAGCTTCGAGAAGAGGAGACTCAGACCCCAATGGAGATTGAAAGTCCGGATGGTGAAGACGAGGAGCCTGGTCTTGTTATCGATGAAACATCAGAGTTTGTCTCAAATCTACACAAGCCTACTCTCCTAGCGCAGGAAGAGAAACCGACTCGAGCTGTAGCCAAAGTGCGTGAGAGCCCCGAAGGAGAGGCCGAAGCAGAGATCGAAGGAGAGGGTGTGGAGATTGATATGGACCGTTACGCCGATATCGATGACGAAGAGGAGCTGGCCGCGCGAATCAAGCGCGATCAAGAATCTACGACCGAGCCACAACAACTCACTGTGACAGGTCTAGAAGAGGAATCAAGTCTAGACCAGGGTCTAGCTGCTACTCTATCAATGTTGAAATCACGTGGCCTCGTCAAAGATAACGACGGCGGCCAGAAGAACGCACTCATGCGCGATCGCCAGCGTTTCTTGGCCGAGAAATTGAACCGCGAGACCGAAACCGAGCGACGCGCCCGCCAGCAACGTGAGCGAGATCGTACCTCCGGCAAGCTTGAGCGCATGTCAGCTCGTGAGCGCGAGGAGCACGCACGCTGGGAGAACAAGCATCGTGACCAGCAGGAAGCACGTCATATGGCCGAAGTGTTTAACAGCCAATACAAACCCGACGTCCAGCTGCGGTATGTGGATGAGTTCGGTCGTAATATGAACCAAAAAGAAGCCTTCAAGCAACTCAGTCACCAGTTCCACGGCAAGGGAAGTGGAAAGATGAAGACCGAGAAGCGTCTGAAGAAGATTGAAGATGAAAAGAAGCTCGAGTCTATGAGTACTCTAGACGGCAGCCAGAACAACCCCATGAATACTGTTATGGACACTGCTGCACGGAAGAACCGCCAGGCTGGTGTTCGTATGGGCTGATCTTTTTTTTTTCTTCTCTACTATGTATTCTTACAGCCAAATACCAATTCTACGATATTCAAAATCTATCACACTCTTAAAGCGTAGTTATATTTAGGCCTATATCTCCTGTGGAGAGCGGCTATTAGAATACATATTTAACCGAATTTCGGCTGTATCTTTTAGACATGGAGAACTGACAGTTCTCCAATTGTTGTGAGGGGAAATGGTGTGGAGTAGATCGCCTTGATCAGTTCACCGGGGGATGGAAATTGCCGGGAAAACATTTGGAGATGGGCGGCTGACTTAGTTTTCTATAGGTATACGTGTTATATAGATATATGGAATAATATAACATAACTACAATATATCTACAATATGACTATAATATATCTACAACAGTATACATAAAATCAAAACAAGCAATGTAATTTAGCCGGAGGTTGTAGCCAATCCCATTCGCACATCTCGCCGGAGTTAGTTGTACTTGGTACTTCAACAAAGGCGGAGTAACATACCAACTGGTAGGTACCCGGTACCATTATCACATGAGTCAGGGCGAAAAACATCGGGACACCATCTCCGATCCTTTTATATTCTTTCTCTCCTCCCCCGGTTTTTCCCTTTCTCTTTTAAATCCCCAAATCTAGGAGAGCTCGGTGTCCTTTAATTTTTCTTCATATCCTCTGTCATTATGCTTTCCACTCTCAGAGTCGCCAGCCGGTCGGCTGCCTCCCGCGAGGTCAACATGCGCACCGTCGTGATCGGAGCTAGACACGCCTCGGCCTGGGCCAATGTTCCCCAGGGTCCTCCTGTAAGCTTTCTTGAGCTTGCAATCATCGGATTGGTGGTTTGAAAGGCCAATTCTAACGTAGCTCGGTTAATAGGACGCCATTCTCGGCATCACCGAAGCTTTCAAGGCCGACTCCTTCAAGGAGAAGATCAACCTGGGTGTTGGTGCCTACCGTAAGCCTCGCCCCAAACAATCGCCGCATTGCGCGATGGATTGCATATTTGATTGCTGACAAGCCATTCTGTTTCAGGTGACGACAAGGGCAAGCCTTACGTCCTGCCCTCCGTCCGCGCCGCTGAGGAGAAGGTTGTCGCATCGCGCTTGGACAAGGAGTACGCTGGCATCACCGGTGTTCCCGCTTTCACCACCGCCGCTGCCGAGCTCGCCTACGGCCCCGACTCCTCCGCCATCAAGGACAACCGCCTCGTCATCACCCAGACCATCTCCGGTACCGGTGCCCTTCGCATTGGCGGTGCTTTCCTCAAGCAGTTCTACCCCGGCGCCAAGAAGATCTACCTCCCCAACCCCAGCTGGGCTAACCACAAGGCTGTCTTCTCCGACTCCGGTCTCGAGGTCGCCCAGTACAGCTACTACAACAAGGACACCATTGGCCTCGACTTCGAGGGTCTGATTGCCGATATTAAGGCCGCCCCCGAGGGTAGCATCATCCTGCTCCACGCTTGCGCTCACAACCCCACCGGTGTCGACCCTACCCAGGCCCAGTGGCGCCAGATCAGCGATGTCATGAAGCAGAAGGGCCACTTCGCCTTCTTCGACATGGCCTACCAGGGCTTTGCCAGTGGTAATGCCGACAAGGATGCCTTTGCTCCCCGCCACTTCGTTGAGCAGGGCCACAACATTGCTCTTTGCCAGAGTTTCGCCAAGAACATGGGTCTGTACGGCGAGCGTGTCGGTGCTTTCTCCCTTGTTTGCGAGAACGCCGAGGAGAAGAAGCGCGTCGATTCGCAGGTCAAGATTCTCATTCGTCCCTTCTACTCTAACCCTCCCATTCACGGTGCCCGCATCGCCTCCACCATCATGAACGACCCTGCTCTTAACACGCAGTGGCTCGGCGAGGTTGAGGGCATGGCTAGCCGCATCATCGAGATGCGCTCTCTCCTCCGCACCAACCTCGAGAAGCTTGGCAGCAAGCACGACTGGTCCCACATCACCAGCCAGGTAAGGAGCGAAAACTGATCCTGACAATGATCCAAATGACTAACATGATATATAGATCGGCATGTTCGCCTACACTGGTCTGAAGCCCGAGCAGATGGACGCCCTTGCCAAGGAGGTAAGATTTAAATTATATCTCTTCAGACCTGATTCCTAACAACCCTTCTAGCACTCCGTCTACGCCACCAAGGACGGCCGTATCTCCGTTGCTGGTATCACCAGCGCCAACGTCGAGAGACTCGCCGAGTCCATCTTCAAGGTTACCGGCTAAATTTAAAATCGCCTAGAAAGGGAATTTTGAAGGATATACGATAAAACGAATGTTGGGGAGAAAAACTGGGCCTGGATTTCTGGTGCTTTGGAGTCCCAGCCCTTTTGTACTGATATCTACTGTCTCTGTTTCATATTTAGCATGTCCCTCTCAACGGAGATTTTGGATTCTTTGATTTCTCCAGTGTTTTATGACCCTATGGTAGTCCTTTGTCCTTCACATCCTCGTCCACTCCCTGATCTTCCCCAAAACCTCCTCCCTCGCAATAATCTGCACCCACCAATTCCCCATCCCATCCTTTCCAGTAACAGTCACCATATTTCGTGGCCCATTCCCATCCAACGGTTCCGGCCCCGCCGTATTTACATAAGACGGTCTACAAGGTATAAATCCTTCCTCCTGACCTCCAACAACTGCACCCCCAAAATCAACCCCAAAGAACCCCGCCCTGTGCCAATTTGTGCAGGAAATACCAAGTTGGCCAGGATGTCCAACAAGCGGTAAACACCCCATCTCGCGAAGCATCTTTTTCCGCAAAGCTGTACGTGCAAGAACCTGCTCCTTCGTCCGCTGCGTCTCTAGTGCATGTCGGATCTTCAATGCAACAGGACCCAACTGATAATCCAAGTCCGGACTATGATCCAAGACTCCAAACTCGTGTGCGTGGAACTCTGCACACGATGGCATTATCGCGTTCCCGATATACACCCCCGGAGACGGCAGGGCGAGTATAGAGCGAATATCAAAGATATTCGATATCTGAACTGGGGTATTCGGGTTTGGATTATGTGCCGTGACGAGGAGAGTTGCAAGCCAAGCGAGGAGGATATCGCTTTCGCTGACGAATGGACGGTCTTGGTCTTTACTTGTCTTGCCATCAAGTTCCCGTAACGTCTTGTCTCTCAACTCGCGCACATATTCCCCCGGAATACAAAGGACTCTATCCTCGACGCGCGGAAACCAGAATTTCTCCCACCACCCCACGAGTGCAATTAACAGAAGGGAAATCTGTCCGAATAGAATACCTGCCATTGTTTTCTCGGTTGTGGTTTCCAAATGCGCTTCTATGATATCTTCATCGAACCCGAGGAAGGGTGGGACATCACGCTTTGATAGTACCGCTGTCCATGCATGCAGGAATGAAGATAGACCCATTGCATCCATGAGAGTATGCTGGAATGTTATTGTGAGAAGCGTTGCGTCATGGAAGAGGACTGTATGAATGACCAGCTGTGGTATATCCGTTCCTAACCAATCTGCTATGCTGGCTGGAGCTGTTTTGTGGCGGACAAGAGGGGAGTATTTGCTCATGCCATCTAGGACGTTGACTTTGGGGGTTTCTTGTGTAGAGGGCATTTGTGATGCTAGAGGATGGGCTTTGATACTGCCGTCATGTGCTTCGGTTGTTAATATGAAGCCAGGTCGCTCTTTGGTGAATTTGGGCGGGAGGTGGTAAACCAATTTGCCCGAGTTCTGGACAGGTTTAGTTATGGACTTCGGCGTTGGGTATTTGGATACTTACGTCTAGTCGTAGACGAGCTCCGAGTTTTCGCCAGTTGTCTATTTCGAGTAGGCGGGTTAGAGAATTGCGGAGTTTCTCCGGGTCGAGGAGTTTGTCGAATCGGAGAGTGACATTTAAGCCGATTGCTCTGGTGTGAGGGACGTCATCCCAGAAATGGAATGGGATGATTGTGTCTGAGGATGTAATTTGGCTGGGTGAATTCATGGTATTTCGGTTGAATATGAAGTCGAATAAGGAAATGCAATTTGAAGAGACGTATATAGCATGGATTGTGTTGTTGAGTGTCAATGTTATCTCAATTGAATATGGTCGAGTGCCATCTAGATGTTTTACTGACTTGAACGATAAACACACAACGCAGGATCGAACCGCTTATATCCAGAGAGTGAGCTATATTTAGTGAATTATATCTTTCTGAGAGAAGAGAAGAGAGGGGAAGTCAGACTAGTCCAGAGTTGTATTAGCCAGTTAGCGCCTGGGCATTTTGGCGAAGAGTTCATATGTAAATGACCTATCTATATGTTGTTGAGCCCTCTTATATTATCAACCTCTAATAGTCTAGGTGTAAATGGCACCCTGGAGTGCCTTCACTGCAAATGCTGTCGTCACGCCTCTATTCCCAAGCTTCCTGCCGGACCCCGGGATAAGATACATGAATGATGGCTCCCAGCCTCCATCCCTACACTGGGAAGCAGCCAAAGTATCAAAATCAGGGCGATTAGCAATCCCAAGCGAATTGCATACACACAGACGCATGGCCAAACACAGTGCATCTCCTTCAGCACCGATCCGCTCAATAACCCGCGTCCGGAGAATACCCTCAAATTGTTCCTTCAAGATCTGATCATTAGACCTTGAGAGGAGTCGGTCCATGTAGTACAAGAACCACTCAGCCGTAGGGTAGTATCGAGTGCCACTCATATAGGCTCTGTTGAGCAGAATGTCGTTGACCCAACTCATAGTTTCTGGCAGCTGGTAGCCTCTTCCATACATACCGAAAAGCGTGAGGACGTTGAGACAGATCACTGCGTCGACTCTGGGACGTGATTTATCGAGATAAAACTACCCAAGTTTGTTAGTTGTATATCAATGGATTTTTCAGTGGCTCTCCAACCAATATCAACCCTTCCTCGTCAACATTATTCAGCATTTCATCCAACATGGAATGCACCACCGAGGGTTCGTAGGGCATCGATGCTAGGGCCAAAACGGTACTATCAAGGTCGTCCGGGTAGATCTCTGTGGTGAACTTTGCTGCGCCTACAGGACAACCTGAGAATTGTATTTCATAGTTTCAAAACAGTCCAACTCACCCGTGAAGAAGTTCCAGAATCTAGGGGGCCGACTCAATGACACCAGTAAGCTAGTCAATGAATCTCGTTAACTTGATAGTGCATCCACGAGATTAATACATACCCATCACCCGTGGTATCCAATATTAAAAGTTGAGAGTAAGTCTCATCTACCTCCTCTCCTCGATCTGTGATTGAACGGTGTTGCCCAGCATTGGCCTGGAGGAATGCTTGGCCTCGCGCTACCGGATCCCCAGTCATGTTCACGAGACTCCGCAACAGATTCTCGCCATTGGTGAATACCATCCCTTTGATACCCAAAGCAGACGCCGCCAGCACATTCTCTGGCCGGTCATCCACAAAAATCGTATCTCGCGGTACAGCACCACTGACCCCCAGCATGTGGCGGTAGAATCGCATACTCGGCTTCCGAGTTCTCACTGTAGATGAAAGGAAAATGTGATCAAAAAGTGACCAGAACTCCTCTCCCCACAGTTGCTGAAGAGCCATGTAATCTGGGCTGGAAATGTTCGATGCAAGAATGAACACTACCTTGCCAGCCATAGACTTCTTGAAGTCCCAGAGACTAGCCACTAAATCTCTATCGTATTCAGCATTTGCACGGCCTTTGCTTATGGTCATCGCAAGATCATCTGCTTGGATTCCATATTGATCTGCTAGCTGTTTATAACATTCTTTCTCAGAGAGTTTTCCACACTCATAGGCCATCCATATCGATGTAGAGACAAGTCTTCCCATCGATAAAGAGGACATATCAGTGGCCAGATTCATTTGGCCCAATTTTGGATGGAAGAGTACCCCTCCCAGGTCCAAAACCAGGTTGATAGGGCCAGTATTAAGCGTGGAACGAGTCATTTCGTGGATAATAACACTGAGGAAAAGATATAGAGATGACAACGAACACCCGGCTTGTCATCTATATATCTTTTCCCCAATCGTTATAGCGAGATTAGACACATCAAAATCGTATTTCAAGGTTTATTCGGAGTGTTTCCGCCAGCGCAAATCGGGGTTTGGACCCCGAGAACTATATATCTTCGTACTACTTATATGTACGGGGTACTTCATACATCCTACTATCATCCTCCTATGTCCACACCGCTATTCTTACACGCCTCAACATCGTGTGATTAGCTGCAGCTAAAACCTAATGCTCGATCTTTTTCGCCCATTTCAAAATGCCACCGAGTATCGTCTACCACGTAGCGTTGGCAACTACACCGCAATATGTCGATTCTCTACTTAGTTACCCATGTAACTACACTCTTTAGGGCTGTCTCTCACCCTCGACAGTTTATATCTTTGTTTCTCTAGGAGTCCTAATATATGCAATCTGGATAGTGATCTACAATCGATACTTCCACACACTCAGCCAGTATCCAGGATCCTTCCTGAGTACCATCTCAAGACTTCAAGACCTCCACGAACAGTACGGCGATGCTATACAAACGACCCGGGACAAGCTGAGCCATCGAGCCGAGCAAGCATGGAAAGACATCTACGCATTCTCAACAAACCTCCCAATAGACCCGCGATTCTTCCATATTGCAAAAACGGCGCTTCCAATATTGCAGTCTCCCCCACAGACGAGATCCATCGTCGTCAGCGTCGAGCGCTAGCCAGTCATTGAAACACCAGGAACATCTACTCCAGGGATACATCGATACTCTAATAAAGAAGCTGCACGACAACGCCAGTATCGGATCCACAGTCGACCTGGTAGAATGGTATAATTACACAACGTGAGACCACAGCAGCTATTTTATCAGGATGTACTTTCCTACTATTAGATACACCGGCGACATGCCAGAAACTAGTCTCAGAGATTAGCTCTTGATTCAAGTCCCCCCCAGAAATCACATTTGCATCAGTGACTACACTTATCTTGACGTTGTCCTTCAAGAATCTCTACGCATATACCCGCCAGCACCACTCGGGATATCGGCTATCATCGTTGGCAAATTCGTCCCAGGAAAAGTCCGGTCTCGGTGCAACTGTCTAATCATACTTCTAACATAATATATACTGCTGTTTCCGTTCCACACTATGCTTCCTACGGAGCTAAGTTCACCCAGGCAGATCGGTTTTTGCCGGAGCGTTGGCTAAAAGATGATAAATACGATGATGAGAAGGATATTCTACGGCCTTTCTCGGATACTCTGCGGAATTGTATTGGGTAAAGGTATGCATCTAATTGAAGATAATGCAAGAGTTTGAAATATTAACAGTAATATAGACTAGGGAAAGCTATGATGAAGCTGATACTTGTAAATATTCTATGGTGTTTTAACCTACATCTCTCCCCGGAGTGCTCTAGCTGGGCTGATAAGCAGGCTTTTGTTGTATGGGGTCAAGAAACCGCTACTGATCAAGCTGGGTCTACGATTGTCGGAGTAAGATGTTTGATGTTTATAGATCTTTTCACCTTATTTGAGTTCTCCAGCTTCAACAGTAGTCAAATGTGTCAAAAGGGACCGAGGTTCCCATTATTCTATGTTTGAGAAAGAGTATATAGACGTTTCGGGAATGCAATTCATACTTAATTACGGAGATTGTAATAATTCAACACCAGATCTACCCTCAGAGAGTACACTGGACTATGCCAAATTATTTCAAGCATATATTCAAGATCATTTTAGTAGACATCTGCTCAATTCAAACCCAGAGTACTCTTTGAATAGACACATCGAGTCATGTGGTCGACACGAGGGGCCGCAAGGGGGTAATGATGCATGAGCTAACGTCGGGGCTGACTGCATGTCTAAGCAGTACAACATAGTCCATACTCCGTACTACATAGTGAGAATGTGACGTGTATTGCTAAAGTGACAGGAAGAACATTTGAAAAGTCAAGTATTATGAATCTGTTTGGAGGTAATATGCAATCAAAGAGAAATTGTTCCAAAGACCCTTCCGTAACCCCAATTGCGCCATATCCAGCTTTTAAGTTCAATAGATTAGTACCTCATCATTCCACTAACACCCATATCCGAGCCAGGACCCGCAGGGCCAACAGAGGGACAGATGCAGCCTGGTGGTGCGTTGGCGGCGGAGTACGGGTACCACTCTGGGGATGGAGAGGGTGTAACAGATCGGCCCATGACACGGGCTAAGATACTGGCGGGTGTACCAGTGGCACCCTGGCTTGCATGGAGGAGGCCGAAGCGGAGGAAGGCTTCGGAAAGTGTAACGATGATTGAAATGATGATGAGGACAATGATGATCCAGGTTTGGTCTAGAATAGAGTTAGTTGAGAGGTCAGGAGCGGGAAGGGCAAAACATACGGGAAGTGCGGTTGTCGGCAATTGAGTCGGACAGGATCTCTGCAAGATCAAGGAATACGCGGCATCTCTCGTTGAGGACCTGGATACGTGGTTTGATCTCCAGATACTCGCGCACGGCGATGTAGAGCGGGTAAAGGGTTGGCTCGCTCTCCCAGAAGAAGTTGGGGACATCGAGCATATTAGAGGCTGGTGGTAGATGTTAGTACGGAACAGTTTCTTCTCTGGAGTATAGCATGAAACATGAGCTATAAAATGAGTGGGAGCTTACAAAGGTTGACCTCAACACGACTTTTAAACAATCGACCTAGGATCCGGAAGACCTCTTCGCGCTTCATGCCCAGTTGGCCTGAAACTGCAAGACGTCTGGGAACGTCTTTGGCGTCCGCCATCTGTCGGGCCATGACTTCCTCAAAGAAGCACAGTTTAGTGCTTTGCGAGATACCATGGCTAATAGCGAGCTTGATCATGTGGTCGCCACTGCGAAGGGTGATCATATCGTTATAGACTCGCGGGCGCGAGATCTCGGTCGAATACTCGAAATGGAACTCTTCTGTCTCAAAGTCTTCCTCATCAAGAGGCATCGTCGCCAGCGGAGTAGGGATACCAGTTGCCGATGACGTCGCAAAGGCCAGATCTGCCAGCAGGTCTTTCTCCTGTCGCTCAGTAAAGTTCCAGAACACGACAACGCCATAACTGAAGACGAACATCTCAGCAACATTGTATAACGTCCGAGCTGGAGCTTGTGGGGTGGAGGGCGGTGGCGCTGAGGACGAGGAGGGTGTAGTGGCTGGCAGGGAAGGACGGTCTCGAATCAAAGCATGAGTGTCATCCGTGCTGTGCCTTCGGCGACGAACTGCAGGCTCAGGCGAAGATTTCCTGGATCCTTGGTTGCTGCCTGATTCCGGGAGTTGCGGGATACGCTGTAACCCATCGACACTTTCGCCAGAACTCGCAGCATGCTCATGCTCATTGGCGTGGTTACGAGCTTCCTCGGTGATGCGATTCAAGAAATCCTCACGATTTCCCTCCCAGGCATCATGATCATGACCATCAGACTGTCGTGGCGAGCCTTCATAATGATGCTCATCCTCTGGACGATTGTGTCCACCAACGGAATGCTCCTCCGTCTCAAGCATGTACTCATCATGATAATCACGAAGTTCATTCCGCTCAATCTCCTCATCCAAAAGCGACTTGCCACCGGGGTATTTCAACACGGGGCTACTTCGCAAACGATACCCCTCATGGCCCGGCAAAAGAGGGAGATGATACGCGGTGTACAGACAATCATCATAAAGCTTCGTCCGCCCACCATGCTGCTCCTTAACAAAAGCAGCAAGTGATCCCATCTTATACGCTTGAGCCGTACAATAGGCCGTAACACGTGCAAGCTTCTCCGTCCGCCGCGCTTTCGGTAACCGCTCAGCATAACTCTTCGCGCGCTCGGGCGCAACACGGCGTTTCTTCAGGACTTCTTCCTGGGCCAACAGAGGGGCCAGATCATTATCGACGTCGAAATCACCTCCACGTCGCTTTGACATGAGCAATTGGTGTCTGATCCTTTCCGGGTCGACATTTTTCTCCTTGGATAGACGCGCGACAAGCTCCTCGTCTACGAGGTCCGCACCATCGGAATCGTCATCTTCTTCTTCGGTTTCGCCCTCCTCCAGTTCGCCGGTATCAGGCAGAAGAACCAGCTTCTCACTGACTTTTGTCGTTCGAGGCGGGAGACGCGGTTGCGCCGCAAGTCGGCTCATCGTGCCGCCAGATGCTGCCACCGCGCTTGAACTGCTACTGCCTGCGCTGGTTATTAAGCCTCCAGCTGCGGAGGCAAGACGACGCGACCGTGAGATGGGTGGTGGGCCGCGCTGCTGCATTGAAGGGACGTCAGAGGCATATTGGAGGACGTTGTCGACGGTGATGAATCGGGTTGCGGGCGAGCGGCGCCGACGGGGTGTTTGGGGTTGTTGCTGGTCTCGGGAATCTGTGACCTGTATTGAAGATATGTGTTAGTTAAGCTTGGTCCATACGATTTGATAGTCAATCCCACCAAGACAGTCGGGCTGCGCTGGCTAGTCCCCCGTCCTCGGGCCGGGGGAGTCATTGTCAAACGAGCTTAGAATATGCACTTGAGTATGCCGTTGGTGACTTGTGCTGTCACTTGACAACGTAGGACAAATAACTGGCCGTAGGTGTAACAATTGCTAGATGCTCTGAACCAGCAAGTTCAAATGGCCTCGAGGCTAAACCTAACTAGGTATAGCTTACTGAGCGACCAAATGACGTCTACTGCTGCAGTCACGTGCATTTTGATTCACCAATCCCGTGACACTCCCACGTGTTACACCGCCAATAATAAAGGGCCCACTGTGTCCCAATTGGGACTAGTAGATGGAACCGACTTGGAAGATGGCGTTTTGGTCGATCTGGGGTAAATGTGAAGATCGACCGGAAACTGGTTCCATTGCTTATTGAGTACAAACTGAAATTGGACCGAGTTATTGATATTTTATTGATATATAAAGTTTCGTTGTTTGCAGAAGATAGTGGTTTCCCAAAATTATTTGCTTATGTTAATTTTTAGCAGTCTATCTACCCGAAAGTAGTGCTACCAGGGTACTCGAAAAATGATAAGAAAATTGGGCCATAAGAATATGAATTGCTATGAAGATGAATAATATGGTAGATAAACATACAAACGCCGGGACTGTGGGTTCATTTGCACTATTTCGAGTGCGACATGGTACCATGCAGATGACAAAAGATAACGAAATTAAATTACGAATGAAGGCCTTCACGAAGCTGTCGATCCTCTTCCCAAATTTCTTTCTTCATGCGCTGCAGATGAGTGTGCTGCTTTTGCAGCTTGTCAAGGTCCACCTGGGGCGGGTTGGAGAGAGCTGCAAGGGAGTCATGCAAGTTGCGATACTTGGTGTAGAAGTTCTTAAATTTCTGAGACTTCTCCCGCAGCTGCTGTCTCAGAATCTCGTAGCTCATTGGTGGAGATGCACTGCCGGTGCTGCCGCCGCTGGATGAGCTGACCGCTCGGCGCCGCTTTGCCTCCAGATTTCCAGTAGGACGTCCGGCCGGGGGCGCAGACAATTGATCCGACTCGGCCTTGCGCTTCAATGGGTTGGGGGCAGCGGAGGTGGCCTTTGTGATACCGTTGGTTTTGGGAGTAGCTTTGACAGTTTTGCCGGCAGCGGGGGCTACACGGCCCACCTTGTTGGTTCTGGCCAGTTGGGAGATGAGAGGTGAGGATGAGGATGAACCAGAGGATTGGTTATGGCTGTCAGATCGGCTGCGGTCGCTACTGGTAGCATCGGAAACATTGGCAGGGGGAGAGGAGCCGAGTGGGGACGGCTTCTGCGGCGAAGTAGAGGGTCGAGAGGGAGGACGCTTGGAAGCTGTAACCTTGGGGACTGGTTTGGATGATTCGAGCTTAGGTGTTTCGAGCTTAGACTTCGATGCCTCAGGTTTAGCTTTAGAAATAGGCGCAGATGAGACTGAAGTAGTCTCGGTGGTGCGAGGCTTGGCTGGTGCCTTGATTTTCGGTGGTGGGGGCTTCGAATTAGATGGGGTCCGCTTGTGTTCCTTTGGTTGCTGCTTGGGTGGAGGCGCAGGAGCAGCCGCAGGAGGTGGAGCGGGGGCGGCAGGGGGAATATCAGGCATGTCGGTATCATCATCTTCGTCTGAGCTGTGAACGAATTCCGCAGACTTGATCTTGCTGTCCACTTTGATTGGGGCCTTCCCACCGGTCTTCTTCGTAATTCGTCCGGTGAGGGTGCTGTTGGTATTCTTGGTTTTGGTGGGTCGTTTGGTGATGTCCTTGTCACGAGCCTTCTGCGAGGTCGCAGTGGTCTTGGTAGGCGCAGATCCCTTTGTGGCGCGGTCGGTGTCATTGTCCTTGCCCGAGTCCTCCCCACTGGCTTTTGCGAGTGAGCCAACAGGCTTCTGAGGGGGACCAGTACGAAGGTTCAAACGCGAGAGACACTTTCCCTTGCCTCGTTCAGCCTTTGGAAGAAGTGTTTGCCAAAGTTTGTCGGATCGAGAGATGCGCATGCGGTCGAAGGCAGAGATAGAATTCTCAATGGCTTCCTTTCGGTCCTCCTCGGTGTAATTGAAGCCAAACAAATCGAGATCCTTGTAGACTTTATCCTTGAGATTGTATTTCTCGGGGTTGATTCGGTTCACAACCCCAAATTTCTCACCGAGGGCGACGCAGTCTTCGACGGAAGTGCGGGTTTGACGGGCAAGGAACTTGGCCGATACGGCGCGGACGGCGAGAAGGTGAATGAAGGGAGTTTTGAGGGCCTCAAGCCTCGCACGATCTTTGCTCTGCATCATTGGAGCAGATGTTGGAGTCATTGCGAGTGAAGGAGACTTGGGAGCACCCAGGATCGGACTTGCAGTGAGAGAACGATTGGCAGCAGTCTTGAGGAAACGGTCTTTCTCAAGTTCAACTTTGGTGGTGGGACCTTTGTAGCCTGCTTTGCTACCTCGCAGAGCCTTCAACTCATCCGGATGTGAGATTATGTGAGTTTTCTTCGACTCCTTCCCTCTCTCATGAGCATTCAGTTTTTCCTCTAAATCTGCCAGGGCCTGATCGGTAGCCGCTGTGGCATTTTTAGCCTTTTCAACCTCCAGGCTATGACTTAGAAGCCCTGTGAAATACAGTGTCTCTTTATCGGAGGAGCTCTGGTAGATCTCAGATCGGTGTGTTTCGGGATAGGCATGGAACGTCTGAGTCTTGCCCCCATAGTGAAGTGATGGGTGCTTTCCCAGCCGGACTCGAGCGGGTTGATCCTTCCGTAGGCTCTCAATCAGATCATCGAGGGTGCTCTGCACCAAATTCAACCGCATGATCTGATTTGGCTTGACAGAAGGATCACCGGACTGATCTCCGAGGTGGAGAGACAGCCCGGTATGAGGGATATTTAGACCGGTCGACATTATGAGTTGAGTGAGAGGTCAAGGTCGGGAGGAAGTGAGAGGGATTCGAGGTGAGCAGGGTCGGATGGCAGCGTGAGAGCTGCAGGTCAGGCGGCCAACTGCACGAGGGAGTGAGTTAAACCCATACGCCATAAGATCGTTAGAAATATGGGGGATAATGATGTAGTGAAAGCAATGTAAGATGTAAAAAGAGAGAAGAATGAGGAGAGAAAGGTCGAAAGACAAGAGCAAGGCGAATAGAGTGGGGAGAGCTGACGGCGATTCCCTGTAAAATTACAGGGGATTTCCCGATCGGATTTTCTTTTTTTCTTTTTTTTATTAATTAATTTTCAATGTATTGACTCCTAAAAAAAAAGTACAATACTCTTCTTATTTTCGAATGTCCATTTTTAAAAAAAGATGAATAGAAATATAATCTATTTAAAAAGTTCTTTTAAAAGTTTCAAGTACAACATACTCCTTTGAAGTTCTATAAAAGGATTCTCTGTATATTATATAAGCCTAAGCGCAGCCGATTACCATACCAATACCGTGAGGAGAAGATCCACGGGGCTTCCCGAATGTTTACTCCGTACCGAAGCGGGTGTGGTCGGGTTTTGTAAACGTCAAAACGTTGATGTTTCTCTAACTATAAAGATTTGAATTTTATATCTAAAACGAATGGGAATTGTTCCCAATAACACCCGGGGCTTCATTTATTTCCCCCCAAGATACCTAAGGAATGTGTGCCCCTCGTTTATATGCACCCAGGCACGGATATCCCGAAGGTTCCCAGTGTTACCAATGTTTCGCCCTACATCGGACTAGTGGACTGACTCTTACTCCTTTCGATAGGCTAAAGAGAAACGGGGCCAATTCCTCGTACCACATGTTATCTTTTTTTTGATTAATTTGAACCTTCACGGATTTGATTAGTTATGTTCCTTCAGGTTATAAATCAGGACGTTTTCCGTATGTTGTAGATATTCTAAGGCTATTTAGGCAGTTCAGTCAGTTCACGCACTTTAACCACTTCCTCTTATTGGATCTTCGGTTTCACAGCTGCATGGAAGGTCCATTTATGCATCCCAATGGAGCAATGGGGGAGCCATCAGGCTCCGGGGTGTATAATCATTGTACGCCCTTTGTTTTTTTCCTTTTTTTTTCTTTTTTCTGTTTCTGTTTCTTTGCAGTTTCGCCCCCATATTGGGTGTCGAACCAGTCAATTCAAGTCTCCCCAAACATTCTCACACGCCTGTGGCAAACTTGGCTGGAGTTACATCGAAAGTCCCTGTGTAAGCAGTGTAATGACCTGCATGTTCTTCCCAATCTGTAATTCTTCATAGGCCGAGGGGAAAATGGATCCCTTGCGCCATTCGGCTTATTCTCTAGTCTGAGACAAGGGGAAAATAAATACCATTGTCTGCCTCGTAGATCCGAGTCTGCAGATGTTCTCGGCTCCGAAAATCATTACTTCCAAGGTTCTCTCGTATTCAATGACTCAAATGTTCAAGAGCACCATATTCAGTATAGATATTTATATGTACTCTATAGGATAAAATAAAAATATACTTATTCATATTCATATTCAACTACAATATACAAAATTTAAAAAAGAAATGTCTACCCAAAACGATGTCGCCAAACACCTCCGTTCCCTCCATCAACCCGGAAACCCCTTAATCTTAACCAACGTCTATGACGCTGCGACAGCCTCCATAATCGCCTCACTACCAACGGCGCCCGCTATTGCAACAGGGTCGTATGCGATTGCTGCGACGATCGGCGTTGACGATAACGCCCTAACAAAGGCCCAACATCTGACCGCGATAGCCGCCATCGCCGCCTCCGTCCGTGCTATCAACCCTGCTAAGCCACTGACAGTGGATGTGCAAGATGGATATGGTGATGTCTCTGAATTGACAGATACCATTAATCAAATTATTGCGCTAGGCGTTGTGGGTTGTAACATCGAAGATATGGACGCGACTGGCATGCTGCGGTCAGTAGACGAGGCTGCGGCCCGAGTTCGTGTCGTTGTTCAGGCGGCCAAGGCTGCCGGGGTTCCTGATTTTGTGGTTAACGCTAGGACTGATGTGTTGCTGACGGAGAATGGGACTATTGAGGAGGCTATTGAGCGTGGGAGGGCATTCTTGGAGGCTGGTGCGACTACGGTTTTTGTTTGGGGTGGGCCTAGTGGGAGGGGGGTTTCGACTGAGGAGGTGGCGAAGTTGGTTGATGCCCTGGGAGGTATGGTTAATGTGAAGATGAATTTGAGAGAGGGTTTTCTGGGGGTGAAGGAGATTCGGGCGTTGGGTGTTGCGAGGGTTAGTGTTGGGCCGGAGTTGTGGAGGACTGCTATGAAGGCATTTACTGAACAGGCTGAGCAAGTGTTGGCTATGTGAGGATATCCATATTGATACTTGTATATAAAAATCCATGAATATATAACGTTTAATTCAGGACATTTAAGCCCTCATGCAGCCGTTAACTGTCAGGTCTTAATTCAATACAAAGTCAGTGGTTCATTCTGCGTATACTTGCTGTAGGCATTCTAGCGTATTACGATCCCGTCCCTGGGCACTATCAAGTCCGGCTACATATTCCATCTATGCAGGCATTCCCATAACAGCAGTGCTCGTCGACAAGGCAGAGCCCGCCATCCTCCCTACATGACGGCCAGTCATCATCCGTCGATCGACATTTGTTAGCGGCGCAGTAGCCCGAGCAGCATTGGCTATTCGGGTTGCCGAACTCACAGGATGCTAACATTTGTTAGTTAAAATGAGATACATTGTCATGTTTAGATGTGATTTCTGGATTCTTACAGTAGACCCCCGCGCAGGTGGGTGTTGGGACACAGCTTGTGATAGTCGTTGCCGAAGGCGAGGTAAAGGTTGCTGTGGCGCATGTTTCAGTGAGGACACAGGCGGGAGCAGTGCCGCATCCTCCTGCTGGACAAGCTGCTGCTTCTGTTTTGGAAGATTTCGTTAGTAAGTTGGGGGTTAATGTAGGTGTTGAAATACTTACTGCTCAGGGCGAGGTGAGCTAAGACAAGAACAAGAGCCTTGTAGAGGTGCATCTTCGCGGGTTAGATATCTTGTTACAGTTGAACGAAATGTAGTCGGTTGATTGAAAAGGTTATTCAGTAAGATCGAGACTAAAGGACTTTCATGGTCGGTCTATATATACATCAAATACCAAGACAAGCAAATGCCAAATGCATCAACTTTCAAGAAAGCACACGACCAGATGACCTCATACGAAGTCATCTACACCATTTTATAGTGATGTCTCAAATTCAAACGACATTGGCAGCTACCCCAGACTTTTCACCTCTAACCACGGTCCATGGTTTCCTAACGCCACATGAATACGAGGGTCCAAACGAGGGCTTCGATAAAGTCGAAATTCAATTGGTTTTTATGTGAGACATTGTTCATCATTCAAAATCTTCCTTTACTGGCTTCCGTTGGTTTGTATTGCAACGTGATCAACTATGATGTTGATGGATAAAAATACCGACTAATAGAATCATTCTTTGGAATCCAGCATTCTATGTTTTTTGGTCATCTCAGACCATTAATAGACAATAAACCCTAAGACTCATGTCAGTATATAGCAGAAATTCACGTAAATGCCCGGAGATAGCTCATAACTCTCGAAGCCTGATTGACCCACGCCCTGCCCACTAGTCAATATACTACCCTGATGAAACACAGAAACAGATCATGGAGGCCCTTGTGCAACAGGAGATGGAAGAAATGAAGAAAAGTGTCCTAGCATGGAACTTTATTGACTGATGGGCTTTGATCCTAGAATATTATAGCTTATATCTGTTTTACTATAATTATGTACCTTTTGTATAATAACACCATACAAAAGATACCTAAATAACGGATGAAGTGCCTAACCCTCTAGGGCTGCGCCCCTAACCCGTTAGGGACTGGGGGCGCGAAGACGAGTTGGACTTGACCTAATTCCAACTCACATTTTCTCATATTTACCCCCAATACTCCCAAATCAAGGTCAAAGTTTGCCTTACATCCAGTCCTCATGACTCCCATTAAGACAGAGTGAGTAGCCTCCAACATAGGAATCTATGTACGACATCTAGCGGAAGCATTATCGACTAGAGATAACTGTATATCCGAAGCTAACAAAAACAGCTTCCCCGCGATCCGCGCCTGCATTTTCGACATGGATGGTCTCCTCATCAACTCCGAAGACATAATCGGTCTATCTACGAACCACCTGCTAGAAAAATATGGAAGACCTCCTTTAACTCGATCAATGCAAGCTCAGCTTATGGGTGTCGCGGACTCGACAAATAGCGATATATTCCACAATTGGGCCAAGTTGCCTATCTCCCGCGAGCAATTCGCCCAGGAATCAAGTGAAGGCATGCGACTGCGTTTCCCAGATTGCAAACCGCTGCCTGGGGCGGAGAATATCCTGTCGAGCCTGAGCCGTGCACGAAGTGCTTCGACTGGGGAAATGATTCAACTGGCTTTAGCTTCCAGCACTAAGACCCGTAGTTATGAGCTGAAAACTTCGGGGCCGGAATCGAAAAAACTACTGAGCTTCTTCCGCCCGGATAGAAGGGTTCTGGGTGATGATCCGCGAGTGGGACGGGGTCGGGGGAAGCCAGCGCCCGATATTTATTTGCTTGCATTGCAGTCGTTGAACTCGGGGGTAGAATTTGAGGGAAATGCTATCCTGCCCAGCGAATGTTTAGTCTTCGAAGATAGTATCGCTGGGGTAGAGGCTGGGAGGCGGGCTGGGATGAGAGTTGTTTGGGTACCGCATCCTGACGTGGCCGTCAAGTATGAGCCAATGCATAAGGATATCTTAGCCGGGAGGTCGGGGAGATTTCAGGTGGGAGATGACTGGCAGCTAGGAGAAATTGATGACGGCTGGGCTGAAAGCATACCGAGTTTAGAAGAATTTGATTATGAGAAGTATGGCTTCAATGTGCCGTCTTAACCTGTGTCAATAGAGCAGCTTCAACTTAGTTTGGTACTTATGGGATGTCGGATATCTGCTAATATATAGACGAAGAAGGGAGAATAAGAGGGCTTATCAACCCAAAAATCAATGATCTAGTCAAAGTCTTCCAATTTCACGAAGGGCATCCATCATGCTCTGTGGCATCTATCTAAACAGCTACACCACTAAAATACCGCCAATCCTTCTCCGGCTGTATACTTCCACGCTCTCCCATTTTCAGCTTCTCGCCTAGCACACGCCACCTCGGCTGTTCGTCCCTCTCGCCGTATCTCTCTGCCAGTTTTCTTGTTTGTTTCTTAGCCATTCTCTCTTCCTGCCAGTCGATGAACCACTCATAGATATAATCCCACTTGTATCCGTACAAAAATGCCAGGGCCAAGATCACAATTGTTGATGGAATGGCAACTTCCCAAAAGATGGTTTGGTCGAATTTGGTCTCTCGAATATCCGTCGTGTTCATCCCCATGAAACTGGAGCAGAAAGACCTGCAAATGTGACATTAGTAAGTAAATATTATTAGGCTTATGGATAACTCCATAATAACCAGGGAAAGGAGAGTGATGAAGCTCACAGCGGTAGAAAGAACACGGTAACGAATGTAAAGACCCGAATGGCCTTTCCGTGGCCTTCCTCTAGTATCTCAATATGCTGCCTGATACGATTACGATAGTACGCAGCACCATTTAGAAAACCGTTAACATCCAGAGTCCGGTCCTCCAGTCGAATTTGTTCCTTTTCGATGAAGTCATGCTCAACTTCATACAGTGTCCGACGTGCCTTAGTTGTGACCCTGTACGAATTCGGATCCAACAAACGGTCGTAGTTGGAGATCGCTGCCCACTGTTGAAAGATAACCCCCCTAATAGCGTACATGTCATCTTCTAGGCCATATAGCTCCAGAAATAGGCGCCGCTGCGGTTTTTGGGCTGTTTGGTTCGCAATCCTCATCATCCGGCGGCTGTACATCTGAATGAGGTCCGTCTTTTTCCCGTTGATGTGGGAATTAATATTGGAAATCATGACAGCCAGAAGAAATTCAGGGCTGATGGATGTTGAATTGACGCCGCCAGCTCGGCTAGTAGTTGTACTGAGAAGGACTAGGTCCCGCCTCGCTTGCTTCATACAAAAGGTTGCTTTACCCATGCTGCTGGATTGAGTAACAATCGCATCACGTGTGTTAGAGGCAGAAGGACCGGACACACCGTGGGAACTAGCGTGGGTATGTGAATTTCGAGACCCTGCGTGGACGCTGGAATCAGGCTTTTGGTACAGTGAGGGTTCGCGCGAACGTTCATGGCGTCGCAAGTTCAAGGGAATCTTTGATGGACGTTCTGAGGCAGAAGGACGACCGATAAAGCCTGATCTAGAAAGGTAGTGCGCCAATGAGATGGTGGAGAGAAGGAATTCCTCAAATCCCCGGACCAGAGTACTGGGTAGGAAAGGCAGTCTGCTTGTAACGTCCTGACTAATTCCATCACTTCCAGCATATTGAACAGAGAGCTGAAGATCCATAGCGTATTGCTGAAGGATTTCAAGATATTGAACAAACTCACGCACCCTGACCAACTTACTGAACAGCGAGTTGAGAACCTTCCTCTTTCTTCCGATCATCGTCGCTTTCACCCAAACAGTACATGGGTCATCAAACAGGCGTTTCGGTTTATTGCAGCTCTGGCACTGACTGTGTTTCTCATGTAGGTGATCTAGCGTCGTTTGAAGGTCATTGTAGAAAGTGCCTTCTTTGCAATCGGTGCAGTTCAGTACTGCCTCCTCGGTATTCCCCAACACAGAAAAGTTGTTTAGCATTCTGCTGTTGACGACATATTTTGTAGATTCATTCGACAACTTGTAATGAAGCTCGATGCACTGTATCTCTCATGTTAGTAGTTGCGTATATCGTGCCTTCAGATAAAGATGAAATTGCCTACCCTCAATATTCGATCTAGAGAGCCCCAAAGCTTCTTCCAACACCTTTGTACGACTTCCATTTCAGCTGGAACAAAGGTTTGGGCAACACCTTTGGACAAGGTGAAAAGCGGACGAAGATCATTCTTCACCACGTCTTCCCATTTGGACGGATGATGTATGGCGTCGATATTGCGGTCTTCCTCGAGTACGGGATGGAATCCTTCGCCCTTAAACCCATCAGCGCGCCTCGTAGTCTCATCAAGTACGTCTCTTTTCGCCTCGAATATCTGATCTGATACGCTGTTTGATAGGGTACTTGTCAGATAAGGATGCCGACGCTCGAGCTCTTGCATTGTGCATTCAAACCCGCGCCGATAGAGGTATCTTTCAGTTCTCTGTCGCTTCCTTGCCATGGATTTGTCGACCTGATTCAAGAGATTATACACCTTGACATGCGATTGGCCATCACTTGTACGACTAGTGCTGTATGAAACCGCATTCCATGTGAAGAATGGATGAGTGATTAACGGCGCCCTGGCAGTCGGTGGAGGGCTGAGGGAACCTGCGTTCTCGACGGGGGTGGTATCCATGCTTCTGCAAACATGGGTGTCGTTGGCGAAATGAACGGCTCGGTCCCGTTGGCTCTCGGCTTTTGGAAAGCTGGACGCCTCATGCTTTGCATCGTCTCCTGTTCCCGAACTAACTGAACTGCTTTTTGCAGTGAGCTTTTCTGTCGTGGTCTGTTGCACTTGATCTGCCCCTTCGCCGTCGAAATCTTCAGTTTCAGAAGATGAATCGATAATGTAATGCTTAGATGGAATTATGTTCTGCACATCATTCACCACCTTTCCTGTGGTATTGCTTCCACGTTTATATACTTTCTGATTGCTCCGGTGTATTCTCACTGATATGGGCTCAGCGCCAGAGTCATCAGACTCAACTGAGTGTTCATCATCTCTAATCAATTGTAGTTGGAGGTTGTTAAGGTCTTCGCGCTCCATTAGATCCACCCATCGCTCAGGTGTGAGTAAATCATGGTCTTCTGTGAGGAGCTTAAGGTTGGCGTGGGATAGTTCCTCGTTTGGTAGTCTGACTACGTTTGAAGCGTGTTTCATGAATTCCTATGATAAAATTAGCATCCAACCACTGGTCATGCTAGTGAGCCGTGTAACGATGAAAATAAGGAAGAATACCCACAAAGTATGGCAGCGGTAGCTCGATGACGAGGTAGAAATGCCTAGACTCGGGGTCAACAATTCTAATGGCGCAGGGTTGTTTGGCCGTCTTCGACATTTTATCAATGGTTATACTAGATGCGAGTACATCTGAGGCAGAGATGTCCCCACAGGTTATGATTGTGCCTATTCGGTTAATTGTCAGTAACCTTCCTCATTAGATGTATTGAAAAATAAACAAACCCGATCCGAGTAGCAAGCACGACAAATATGTCACATAAAGTTCGTCTCCGGAATCAGCACCAATGACAGGAGATCGTGTACTAGTTGTCCAAAAATCACAATCAACAAGCCCATTGTCCATATACGTGTGGTACCGGAGCGGTACGGCAGAGCTAGATGTTGTCTGACCAGGAACAGGTTTGAACTTCTTCTTCATTGTGAAGAACGGTACTTTCATAAATGTGACAGACTGTTCATTCCAAACTCCAAGGTTGTCTCTGTAGTCATAACGACTGATATTCTCCCGAGGCCTCCACTGCAACGAGGAAAGACCAGAAGGACGCCCACGATCGCGGAGCAGTGCAAGCGCAACTGATTTCAAGCCAGTGTCCACATGTGGGCAGTGAAGGATAAGGTCCTGTAGCAACCAGTCATCAGTTCACACCAATATAATTTATAAATGCTCCGAGACTACCAACTTCAAACATCTGTAAATCTGAGTCTGCTTGCTGCAAGTGCCTGATGAACTTCAACTCAGCACAAAACATCATAAGACAGGTCCCTCAAATTGCACTTACAGCCACCGCATCTGGACAAGTTCATTCTGCTTCGGTGTATCTTCGTCATAACAAACCAACGTGATCATGCTATCGCCAACATCGTCGGCATAATGATCCGCTGCACGGATCGCGAAATACTCCGTTTTGGAACCATGAGCCAGCTCGCTTTTAGCTTGCATCCACGGCTGGGCCATGGGATGGGCCATGTTTGTCCACCGTTCTCCATTGATAGACCGAAGAGTTACCGTTACAGACAAGTTGCTGGAGGCGTCTTCCACATACACCGGGCGAACATAATCATTTTTCACATGCTTTGATCGCGAACGCACGCGATGTTGGCGCCCTGGTGAAGGCCAACCAGAACGACTCATCTCTGGACTGTAACTAGGCGAATAATTCGTGGGCGTGGGTCGCCATGCCCTTGGATGGTTATTTGTCATACGTCTTGAATCTCTGTCAGGAGATTCCGAGGAGCTGTACTCTGTATCAGTATTTTCAGAGGGCGAATAGTGTCCGTCGAACGATTCGACTTCATCCTCGCCGTCTTCATGGTCTGCATCTTCATCGAAATCCTCGACGAATGCCAGGCGAGGCTCTTTGTTCTGTCTTGGAACGGATTTTCTCCTCCGTTTTGAGCCGGAATCAATAGGCGGTACCCCTTCTGAACTTGGCGAATGCGGCGATTTATCATAGTCTGTGTCGACAGGGTCTATCTCCGATTCTGACGGCATACCAACTCGGTCTCCAGGAGAATCTTCCTCGTCACTGAAGGACCTGTCTGACGCGTGAGGTCTTGTCGAGTCAAATGAAATTGAAGTCATGGTGATTTATTTGTACACAATGTGAGTGAAAGAGCGACGATACATTTGACGACCGAGTAGGTGAGGGGCACAGCCTCCTAGATCACAGCCTCCTAGACCAATGCTGTTGCGATGCAGCTTACAGCTCTGAAGCCAATAAAAACACGTGGACCAAGCGCTACAGTGAGATTAATATATCGGCCCCCGTAATAACTAGTAAGTTCTCGATCTAGCGGTAGGTCTACATCATCGCTTACATGAAGGCCAGGTAGGTAGCTTACCGGATGTATCTAAAACATGCAAATAGACACATCGGCATTTGTTCTTACATATTATCCCCAATATTGACTTGGGCCAAATATATTTGATTTCTCAGAGATACGGGGTCGGTCTTTGATCTAGACATACGCTCTGCAAGGCGAGGAAGCTTCACTATGATCTGATTGGAGTTCCTCCTCGTTGTCACGTAGGTGCATTAGAAACATCTTAACCCTACAGCCATGGAGGCTGCAAGTTCGGAGACACGCTCATGCGATCTAAGACGGAAGAGTTCACTGACTGTCTATTACCTATCATCGTTCTATTATACAATACACGCTGAACATTTGAAAGATGGTATTCGTCGAGAAAAAGCCAACACCATAAACAAGTAGAAACCAAAAAGCAATACAATAATTAGATGTATGAGACAGTGAGAAAATAAAAAAAAAGCATAACTAAACTAAATCCCAGACACCAGCATCAGGAGTCACCGTAAAACAAATCCCAGACCCTTTCCCGAACCCATCCATACCCTAGTCCAACCCTCTAATCCCATGGATGCAGTTCATCTGATCGTGTCTCGGTAATGTCATCCGCAAGCATTTAACAAAAGAAAAGCAAGGGCGAGAGATGACACAAAACAATAAATCGCAGATTTAGAAACACGATCAGACCGTCCGACTCCTTCCAGTGCGCTGGTTTCCCATCAATATAAGTACAAATAAGAAAATGCATGAACAAAGGAAAGATGAAATCAATCGAGAGGCATAGATGTATTCTCTCGTGGGAATCAAGGGGCTTATGCAAAGTTATTAAACAAAGGAAACAATGGAAAAAAAAAAAATTCAAGCTGCGAGACTGTATTATGAATCGCATCATACAGAAGTGGACCATGAATGGTCACCTCGGGGCTTCATTTCGTAATTCTCCGGCTCGGTGCTGGTAGGCCGACGAATGGTAGAGTTGGGGAAGTACATCTGCGGTGGCATCGATGGGTACGCAGGGCCAGTAGGCTCAGGATAACTGAAGTCGTTGGCAGATCCGGGCGATGGCATGCTACCGTGAGACGGCGAAGCCCATCCAAGGCTGGTCATGTGTGGACTACCGTTCACGCTGTTGGGACGGTGATCACTGTTGGCCGGAGGCTCAAGAGGTTGGGGTGGAGCGTAGGGATGCGAGGTCATGGGTCGACCGTGCGGCGCACTGCTATAGCTAGACAGCGAAGGAGAGGTCGTAGTCGGGGAGGCCCGGGGGCTGCCTTGGGGGAAATCCCCACGCACATGAGGCGGGATCGGACCGCTGCCCATGTAGTAGTCGCCAGTAGAGCGGTGCATGTTCAGCGGCGGGAGCTCACCGCCAGGCGACATAGATGGGTGTTGCGCGGGTGAAGGTGTAGAATGGACGGAAGCGTGCTCGGAAAACATTCCTTCACCAGGACGTCCACGATCCTTATTTTGCCGCAACTGGGCCTCTGTTTCGGCCGCGGCTTCTTCGATAGTCCCAGTGTGATGATTTTGGTGCCGTGTCAACGTCGTACGGCGCGTGAAGGTCTTCTGACAGTTGGCGTACGGACATTTGTAGGGTCGCTTTCCGGAGTGAATGCGGCGGTGTCTGGCCAGTGAAGATGAGTCGCTAAAGGGCTGAATAAATGTTAGATCTAGCCAGAACGGAAAAGAGGCAAGATACACACTTTGCCACATCTTTCACACATATGAGGCTTCTCTCCAGTGTGTACACGGGAGTGTACTGTCAAAGCCGAGCGTTGAATGAACTGCTTTCCACACCCTGGCCACTCGCAAGCGTGAGGTCGGACTCCGGTATGAATACGCTCTAATAAATTGTCAGTAACGACATTTCCAGAAATTCTAGAGGATACATACCATGCCGAGCAAGGTCGCTGCGCCGCGCGAAGCCTTTGTTGCAGGTTGAGCAATGGAAAGTCTTTGGTGGTGGTTCAATTCCTGCCCTTCCCTTTGGGGCAGACTCTTGCTGCATCTGAGGATCACCAGCGTATCCCGCAGGGGCATATGCCATATTTCGAGGGGTGGAACCGGTGGGTTGTGCATAATAAAAGGAATCGGCAAGCCCGCCATCCATTTGCATAGGCGGGGGACCATGAGGAGGGTATGCGTTGACAGGGTTGTCCGAGCCACCTGATTCGCTCTTCATGGTGGGCGAAGCTCCGTGTAACTGTGCGCTCTGTTGAAAGTACTGGTGTTGTAGCTGCGCTTCGGCGGCGGCGGCGGCAGCAGCTGCGGAATTTTTCCTGTTCAGGATGGTTGTGAAGTCCATGACCCGACTCAGCAAGTAGCCAAGGGACAGTCAAGGACTGCGAAGACGTCCTTCAGCAGACCTTGCGGTATTTCCACGATATCCGATAGCTATTGGGGGGGGGTTCGAAGTCCGCGTGAAAAGGACTAAACGGAGGGAACGGGTAATAACACTGTTCAAGTCAGGATACAATGTCGAATCTGTAGGAAAGAAACTCACACGTTGGTCGGCGAAGAATGGAACGGGGTAAATTCTCCACTTTTCTGCAGTGGAATGCAAGGTTGCGTAAGAATATCGTTCTGCCAGAGAGCTCGCTGTTGTGGTCGGCTGAAGGCGGAACGCGTGGAAAATAGTGTCTATTAGGTTTTCCTATCAAAAACAGTCAGTATGAAATGAATATCCAGATCGCAATTCCGATTTTCCATGAGTGCTTTGCCGTAAGCTGATCTTTTCGCCTCTCGCAGTGAGATGGACCAGTCACAAACTGAGATTTATCAAAGACAGCGCGACCAGCATGGGGAAATTGTCCGTCATGAAACCCAAGCTCTAGAGGGTTGGGCAGCCAACGCGAAATAAGCGAGATGCGCAAATCAAAATAACATACCTTTTCAAGGAAGGAGTAAGATAGTAAAGAAAATAAGTCGAGGGAACAAAGAAAGAGGAAACGCGAAGGGTTAAAAAAAGGTAAAGGAAAGGGGGGAAGAAATAGGAATTATGTTATTATAGGTGATTTAGGTGTGGTAGGTGCCACTGTCTGCATCTCTCTGTACATCATTTTTTTTATTTACTTTACTTTTCTTTTTTTTTTTTCTTGAAGTATTATAATGTATATAATATCTTTTTAAATCTATTAAATCTATTATTTTTCTCTATATTGTTATATTGAAAGGTACAATATAATTCCAATATAAACATCCAAATATGAACTTTTTTTTAAGAATAGTTCTCCTAGACCCAGCGAAGCCCGCTAGAAGGAAACCTGGCCGTAGAAGGATCCACAAGCCCCCGAAAATGGATACGAGAAGCCGATCCGAAGGGAGTTTCCTTTATAATCTCCTGAAATTTTACTGACGTTTATAGGGATCGGACTAATAGGAAAGGATAAATTCCCACAGTATGAAAGGGGCCCGAACTATGACCCCTGAAGCTAAAAAGAAAAGCGAAAAGAAAAAAAGAAAAAAGAAAAAAGAAACGGGAGACTTCGATCAACGAATGACATGCAGGTTTCGCATGGTGCGACACATTGAGTGATATACTTATAAGATTACCTCGATAGTCTATCCCGACTATTGTTAGCCGATTACATCGTAAAATTGAGGCCTTCTAGAAGGTTTCCGTATGGTAACCTTTCTATCTCACGCAACATATGCACGTTACACTATTGGTAGGACGAAAACCACTCTTTCCCCTCTTCTCTTCTCCTCTCTTCTATTCTTTTCTTACTTAGACAATATAATGGAGAATGTTATAATGGAGTCCATGTGAATCGGTAATTAAACCCATCTCGTTCGCCCCTTTTCCTTTCCGGGGGCGCTAGAAGGCACCGGCTGGCTTGCTTCAGCCTCTGGGAACCCACACTCCACTGCCACAAAGACGGCACGGATGACCCGTGGACTTCGCCAAGCCTTCTCCTGACCTTCCAGAAGGCCACCAGAAGGATCTTAGAACATCGATGGAAGGAAAAAAAAAAGACATGCGCGGCCCCCCCATCCTGCGCACGGTTCGGAGCCTTACCAGGAGATCCTCACCCTTTCCACTATATCTTTCACTTCGATTAATGTAGGGGAAAGAAAAACCAAGCCCAAACCTGTATCTATTACATGCCAAAACATAAAATAAAATAAAACTTGAAAAAAAAAGGGGGGGTTGGGCACCAGGATGACTGGTCCAGTCACATCCCAGGCGCCTTTTCGGGGTTCGTCTTCATTGGGGTGCTTCTACCCTCTCATGCTCTCTGGCACACACACCTACCGTTCTCAGCCCCTCACTAAGCTCGCACCCCTGGCGATTGTGACGAAAGTGACGACACACATGCATACTGCATTTCCCAGGTTTGATGACCCCGGGTCCTGCGGGGAGTCACGGAGATTATCTCCTCTCTACCTTCCGCAGATCCGTATAAGCCGAAGGCACAAGGATTTAATAATTCAACGGAGTTCGACGGAATAGCATAATTTATTTTTTGTAGTTTGCCATTTCCTTCTAATGGCCAGTAAAAAAAGGAAATCGAACTAACGCGGGTCAGGCCGCCGCGCATTGGATGGCTCGACACGGGGCGATTCCCACATGGTTGTGGCTGAGACGTGTCTTGGTGTATCATGTCCACGCTAGTCTCCATATTTCTATTAGTAGAACATATCCTTCAGCCTGGCCCCTGGGATGGAGCATGTCCCTGTACAGGTCAGGTTTGGTGTGTTTTAGGAGGTTTTGTTTCTGACAAATTGCGTTTCCCCCAGGACTCTACGGAACACTCCGGCACAGACGCCCTTATTTTGTTATTTTGTTGTACAGATATAGAAAGAAAATAAAGAAAATAAAACAAATATCCACAAAATCCAGGAACAGCCGACGCTATGACCAAATGGCCCATTTTTTTTCCTGTCGCTTTCGCAGATTCCACTCTGATGTCACATTTCTCCTGGGGAAATTGAGCACTGGCCCACTGATGTGCCTAAGTCATCACACCAAGTAAATAGTCCAGATAAGTCAACACTAGCTCGTCTCAGCCCTTCTGAGACTGCAGAAAACCTACTCCGTACCAAACCCGTAACTAATGCAGACTATGTTGCTCCGTCCAGACTCGGTATGAGATATTTGTAGATTATATCATTTATGGTCTGAAGGGGAAGGTCGTTAGGGAAATGAACCACCTATCCTTAGATATGTGTTGTATACACATCCCGGTCCCCATCCCGTAATATAGGCGATGTAGACTGAAACAGTACGTCTTTGAATCCCCAACTTATTCTAGTCTTGACTACTCCGTACCCAAAATTGTGTATGTTGTAGCTGGCTCTGTTTTGTGGAACCGATCCAGGCTAGCGGTTACTATCAATACTCCGTATGCAGTCCCCATCTCCTCAAATATCAGCTTGCTCCGCATTAGTCATTAGCCCTAACCTTACAATCCTAACTACTTACATATTGCTTACGGAGAGTGCGGCTTACTCCACCTGGTCTCACAACTATATTGTATCTCGATCGACATTCAACGCCGATCGATCTTCAGGGGTTCCATGGGATCTTCTCTAGGTCAACGGTATATCCCTATAGCGTACTCCGTACTCGGGACTTGGATGTTACTACCAGCCGTTATTGTCTCCGATAGATTGTCAGATAGTACCCCGTGTGTTTGGGGGGTGGAGTGTGCATTTGCGAGAGTATTGTTTCTTTCTTGGTTTTGTAGCTCTCGGCTGGGATATATAATATATGTATGACACCTTGGGTGTTTGTTTATTCTAAAACTTCTCACAATATTATTCAATTAAGACAACAAGTTCAAGAGTATAGAGCTGGGTGTAGATATATATTTTAAATAGCTTCATGGAATAGGAAAGATATTTATATAGAACTGCAAAACCACATGTTTGACACTGCAAGGGCGGTTCCATGGGTACATAATGTTTATTGAGCTTTGGCCTTGCTTGCCATGGTAGACAGGGCGGGTCATACCCACCCGTTCCCCATTCTCCCTTACTCTTTGCCTAGCATATTCATTGAGGTTTAAAGTGCTTGCGGATATCTGTTCCTAGTCCAATATTGGGAATGCTCGAGCAGATGCAAGTGCGAATGATGAAGCTATCGAAATACCCGAACCAAAACTGTTTGTGTTAGAACAAACTAGTCAAGACCAAACACTAGATCGTTCATCGGAACTATATCTTCCAAACTACAATTTTGTACAAGAAATCATCCAAAACTTCCATATCACATTATTCGACTCATTAGAAACGGAAGGTATATCTATCATCTATAAACAACGAAGCAAAACTCCATGTAGTGGCATTCCTTTACCCACGCCTGAACGTGAGCTTATTGATCCTACAGATCGCCGGGACCCGGAGACCATATAAAGGAGCCTGTACACGTATCCATGTACAAGGCAAGACCAGAAATTATTTACCTTATGCGCCATGACAGCTCCAAGACTTGATCACCGTACTTCTCATCACGCATGACATACCACTGCGTGACACGGTCGTTCGGCTGGTGGACAGCATCCACCAACTGGAAGCTCCTCTTGCCGTCATCCTTGCGGCGGAGGGGACCCAATTCGTGTAGGTATGATTCCTCATTGGCACCATTGTGCGGCTCCCAGGTTAGTTCCATGGAGACGTCGTCCTTGCCTGGGTCGGCGTGATACTTGATGACCGAGAACCCGTTCGTCAAGATCCAGCCGTCGCCAAAGTGCCATTTGCGGAGGAGGCAGCTGTCGCCGCATAGCTCAGCGATCACCGCCATCTTCGGCATGTCGGCGGAGAACCAAGACTTCCAGTGGTGCACTGTGAGCGAGGGCTCGCGACCGGACTCGAAGAATCCAGAGGCGTCGCGCATCAGGTCTAACTGCCGTAGACGGTGGTCCACGGTTAGTCGGGTGTTGGTGTAGCGGTAGACGCAGATGGCGATGCGGCGGTCGCCTGTGAAATCCATCGCAGAGCACTCGTCGTATACGTTGGTCAGTTCTGTCAAGAGGGGTTTCGATAAGAAGACGCCCGCGCCTCCAAATCCAATCATTCCAAATGCCGCAATCTGCGGGACAGATTCTGACAACCCGCCAATATACATGGAGGTGGTGTGGTCATATTTAGCGAGCGCATCCACCAGTCTGGGCATCGACATGAAGAATGTGTCGTCGTCGATGATGCAGCCCCATTGAGTGGTTTCTCGGGCGTTTTCCTCTAGATGAGGGATAAGGGCGAAGTATCGGTTGAGATAATTATCGTCCGACTCTGTGATGTGGAGGTTGATCCCTAGACTGTCCGCCTTGGCCTTGACCTCCTGGATCCCAGTCCCCGTCTTATCCAGTTCGATCAATGCGAAAATGCGCGTGCGCGAGTATCCAGCCCAGTGAGCGAATGCATCAAGGGACTCATTCAATCTCTCGACACTGGTCGCGACTCCAAAATCGATGTGTGACGCGTCCGCCAATTTCGGCGGTTGGGGGACCCGCAAGGACACTGGGGCAGGAATTGAGCACCCATCTGCTGCCCCCTCGGTGCCCTTTGGCACTTGCAAGAACGGTTCGTCAAGCCATTGTGTGTAGGGCACTGGTTCGTCTGTCATCTCGAGTACGATCTCTCGACGAGTATATTGGGCGAGTTTGAGGATGTTCAGGTTTGCCAATTGGTCGTGATCAATATCGCACTTGACATCGGAGCCAAGAGTGACGTTGCTAGCTGTCTCCAGCGGGAGTTTCACTGGCTCGACAGAAGGCCATAATACAGCGGCAAATCCTATCACAAACAAGAATGCGACTCCAAACCGCAGCATCTTTTTCCATGCCCATGATACCCCTGGGACAGACCCATCCCGCGCGTTTAATATCATATTGTGTGTGAGGTTGTGTCGGGAAGTTCTACCGCATTGCGGATCCAAGTATTTTGGTCTAGAACACAATCAAGGACCCACGGTCGCGGGCGGATGAAAGTGTAGTATAAAGATGCCCAGGTGGTTTGGAGGGGGGGAAAAGAGGAAGAAGAAAAAAAAAGCACGGGAAGACAGGGTCAAGGGACGATCATGGTTCCATGGGATAAAAATGGGCGAGGCCCATTCTCTAAGGGGTTTGAGAGACGATCAATGACGTTAAAGTCCCAGGCGGAAGTCACGTGAACTCGTATACAATGTAAGTTTCGGATTTGGTCTCCACTGTACAGGTACAAAGGTATAAACTTATCTACAACTAGATCTCTGAACTACAGAAGAATCTACAATTTCGTCTAATATGATGATTTCATTACTCCTAAAGCAGATGTTCAAAGTACTACTACAAAGTGACAGATTACAACCCTGCCCGTGCCAAGACTTCCTAACCAATGGCTCTGTCTTTTCACTCGTTCCTGATTTATCCGGCCCCCACTTCCGCGCGTCCTTTAATTGATCGTGTGCTCATTAACACTCTAGATAGACCCTCTTACGGAGTAATATCCGGCATCTTCCTTGGTTTTTGGGGGCTGTAGCTTGATTCACTTTCCATATCGCTTAGCCCCACTGCCTTGATGATTGATATTCAACACCTTTACTCGACATCTTGCATATTGACAATGTGTACATCATATGAGTTTGAGCTGATATAAGGCTGGCACGGCTGTCAATGCCGATGCCGGGGCTTACTCCGTACTACGTACGGTATACTGCTTGCGGAAGAGAGCCTAGATCTGCCTTGCGCAATGTTTAAAGTGGGGATATTTCTTGTTCTTCGACTGTTATCATCCTCCGCACTATGCTCCTCAAGACCTGTGGCTGATGGCCAGTGTCGAGACATTACACTTCAATCAGCTGCGAGGCTTACGATTAGGTCAGACAGTCCCGAGGTTTCATTCTGATCCCGTCGTTCCTAGGTCCTTTTTCTCGCAAAGCAGAATTGTGTTCCATATATATGTAACGGCCACGCCATATTTAATGTACAGCAAAAGGATATCATCGAAATTAACAAATGCATGCATCAAGAAGGTCAAAGAGGAACAGGCATGTTTGGTCCCTTCTTCTCGTTTGTGTTTTTGATCGTATGAAGTAACATAGATGGAAAGCAGAGTGGTCCGTATAAGTCCTCTCGCTGGAAAAAGCAGAACATTAGTTCAAATGCTTCATTTTCTCACGTATAGGGAAATTTGCGAACTTACCAAGTCGCCGCTATCAAACCAACTTCGACCTTGCTCATCTTGGTGCTAAATGTAGGACAAGAGATTAGAATGGCAACGAGACTTAATCATCGATTCCAGACTCACACGAAGGCCATCGGTATATTGTTTAGGATCCATTGGGTAGCCCAGCCATCTCCGATAGAAGTCTTCCGCAGTTTGTGTTGTAAACATGTACGTCATCCGATAGAGAATGTGATCCCATCGGTGGTCCCAGTTCCAGAAGCTATTCTCTCCGCCATTGATCTTATCAGGTTCACCTGGGTTCATAATTCGCCCAAGCTCCTTCGGTGTCCATTTACCGTCAACATAAAGAGGATGTGGGACGTAGACGGCTTTAAGTCCATGCCAAAGAGCAAGTGTGGGCGCCGTCATCTCAGTGAAAATACCAATTCCTTGTTGGGCTTGCAAATCGTGCATTTGATGGAATAAGTTCTTTGACACGCGCGCCATGGCCACAACGGATGCTGCTCGCGGCGGATTAAGACCTTTTGGTATGCCCCAAAAATGATCTCCGAATAGCCAATCGGTGTTAGTAGGATCGAATATCGGTAAAAAGGTGATTAGATCTGCCTCTTCACCAACACCCCATTCATAATCGTCGTCATCTGGGGAAGCAACAGGAGGACTAGGGCCAACTGGGTTTACCTGAGGGATACTCTTAGGTCCCCAAACGCTCATTCGGCCTTTCATAGAGGACTGAATCCTCCGTAAGAAGTTCTTCCACGTCCCATGTGTTCCTGGAATATAGAAGTAGGCGTTGCGCTCCCAAAGGTACTTCCGCGGCTGTCTTTTTGCAAACTCCGCGGACTTTTCGAGAAAATGGTAGGTATGACCAGTGAATCTAGAACTCATATCGACTTGCCAGTAATAATCAAAATCCTGGAATACTCGAGAAAAAGCTTGAAGGGGTTGCCAATCCTGTAAACCCGGGCTTTGGAGTTGTTAGGAGACCTGCCAAGTTTTACTGTGGAATTGAAAATGGACTATACCTATGTTCCTCGACCTTACGATACCATGATGCCAACGTATGGTCATTGAAGAAAACGACCATGTCGTGGAATTCGGCTGGGACAAGTTGAGCCTTGATATTGTTCATAACTTGGGGATCCTTTGTATAGATAGGGATTCTCTCGTCCTTGACATGCAACAAGATGAAGACCTCGTACTCGGCACCGGAGTGTAACGACAGCTCCATGATAAGCAGCCGGACATTCTGTTTAAGGTTCTCGGTCCATTCCATGTCACTCCGCGCACGTAGGATAATAGCTGATCTTGTTTTGTGCTGTAAGCTCGAGGGGGGTGCTTGGTTGCGAAAGGCGCGTGTAGACAATGGAGGGTGGTGTGGTAGGGTGCTGTCGACTGGGCGCGAATCGGTCTGGGTTTGAGGATATCTTCCGGCATTCCTCTCAAAGCACTGTGCCTGAAGTGACCCCCAGTTTGTTTCGTTCCAATTGACCCCAGAGGCGGAGCCATAGGCACCCAACCGAGAAAAGCGATCAGCGCAGACATATCCGTCTATACCTGTTGCCGAATACGAGCCAAGCATGGGCGAAGGGAAATCTATTGACTTGTTAAAGATGTTTTGAGTATTCCGGTGATCTATATATTACCTTTTTGGATACCCGGATAAACAGACATCATGTCTTTGGCACTTGTGCGGCTCAGAGTCTTTCCTCTCGGGCCCTCACACGCCTGAAAGCTCCCGACAAACTCATTGCGCCACTGTTGGCTATTATATTCCGGGTAGGGGTCATAAATGGCAGGGATTGCGGAGGTTCCATTCACTGTCAACGTTCCGCCACTATAGAACTTCTCCTCGCTATATATTGCGTGTTAATCAAAATGCAGAAGGAATATCGACAAACGATATATATATAAGGGGGCATATGAGATAGACCTAGTGGACATACCGAACATCACGTAATGTTGCAAGCCCAATCGGCTCATGGGCAGGTGGCGCTTGATCATCCTCTGGCTTCAAATCCCGCGAGATATTACTGACTATGTCTCCTGGGCGGATAACAAGAACTCTAAGAGGGCTCTATGTAAGGCCTTGAGCTAGAAGAGATGGGCAGATAGTCTTGCCTGTGATTTAAAACATTGTTGAGGAAGAACAATGATAGTATAGCGAACAGAGCAAGAAAACATCCTCGGGTGGAACGGCGAAAGACGTTTAACGGTACCGAAATTGGAGATCTGCTTCGTAAGAACATTGAAAGAAATTAAACAGAATAGAACGAGGTAAAAATACTAAGGGAAAAGATATTTTTATCAGACCGGACTACATAATATATAATATGGGGGAAATTGGGGGCTGACATGTTTGGAAAATGGTTAGTCCAACCGAATATATTCGTAGTTTTCACAATATTAAGATTTCGATTCTTAGTGAGACGACAATGATCGTCCTTTCGAATATATTGAGGGGAAATAGTTGGGGTCTTTCATGGTTTCAATTGTGAAAGGTGGCATGGGATTGGATGATTTGATTCTATAAGTCCACTTACCTATGCCCACGGCATACTAGAGAGGAGTTTCCTTTCTAGGCAATTGCCATTATCGCCCTCGAGATATTCCGAGGTTGAAGTTGTTGATAGCTGCCACCTGGATAAGATGGGCAGGAATTAGATATATTAGGGTACCCGTACTTGAGGCTGTTGATGTTTGAAGTGTAAAGATTGAACAAAGACGATGAATGGACTCCCTTCCTTCCGGTCTTAGCCCTTGGTAAATTTGAAGGACTAGGAATTCATTCATATTTGGGATATGACTGTCGAGTTTACAACAGGATGGTTGGCTTAAACGCAATTTTCCCTCAGTGCACAGTGTATAAAACTCCATAATGTCGAGATATTCGTGAACTGCCAGATTGGCAGGATAAAATATGCCACGTGATCTACGGCGGGGGACACGGCATTGAGCGCAGAAACCCCCCGATGGGGGAAAGACCAGTTCCGCACATTGTTTGATATCAGTTGATCTGGGGAAATCGGCCACTGTGTTCTTTGTTTAAATCCTACGAATTTATATCTTATCCGATATTAAAGTTTCCCTCTTCTTCGCCCACTAATATCCCCCGAATTCTCAAGCAACCAACCCCCGCCATGGTTGCGCAATCGCTGGCCTCGCTATTGCAGCGGGCGTCGATCGATGACCACGAGGAAGTCCTCCAGTCGTGCAATGCAGTCCTCACCAAATCCAAATCCGATTTGCAAGCGCAACACATGAAAGTTGTTGCTCTATTGAAACTTGACCGTTACGAAGAAGCTCTCAAGACATTCCAGGCCGGAGGCGATGCGCTGAAGCAGAGAGCAAGCTTGGAATACGCCTATGCATCATACAAGTGCGGGAAGCTCGAAGAAGCTACAGAAGCCTTGACTCGTACAGCTTCTGGGCGTGGTGCTAGTCACCTTGAGGCACAAGTGGTATGGTCCCCCGCCTGTCCTTCTACTGCTTGAGGATTAATGTTGATTGTCTTGTCATAACAGCGCTATCGTGCCGAGAATTTCCGACGGGCAGCCGAGCTTTATGAACAACTTACAAAAGATACGACATCTTTCGGCCATGAGGTGAACGACCTGAACATCAATTCGTGGGCTACCGATGCGCAGCTTCAATGGAAAGGAGAGACAGAATTCGTGCGCCACGATCGATTGTCGAGGGAGGATTTGGAATCTTTCGAAACGACCTACAACGCAGCTTGCTTGAATATTGCAAAGGGGGCATCTAAGCAGAGTGAGGTCTTACTCAACCGAGCTCAAAGTCAGCATACCGCCGTTCTGCCTATAACTCGGACCTAGACTGACGTTTTGTATAGATATCTGCCGGACATCGGAGGACCTTTCACCTGAAGACAAGGCTGCAGAGTTGCTGCCAATCGCAGTCCAGCAACTGTATGTCCTGATCCAGCTTGGAAAGTTGGAAGAGGCCGAGGCCGTCCTGAAAGATATTTCCGTGGAAAAGTACGTTGAATCATACCAGGTCAAAACTTCTTACTAACACATATTCCTAGCATCACCGAGTTATCAACCAAAAAGATTGCCCGCAACAACATCGTACTCGCTCGTCCCACTGCCGTAAATCCCTACATCCTATACAAGGCCCTCCACGACACCCCAGATGCCACCAATAACGATCGGTTATTTGAATTCCAGGATCGCGATCTGATCGGCAACTCGCACGCCGCAGACCTCCTTGTACAAAAATACGATGGCATAATCCGGTCCACAATCAAGGCACAGTCAAAATGTCCGAGTCCATCCACCGACGCCATCCCCAACCTCCTCTCTGTATACAACGCCGCAGCACACGCCAAAGGCGAAACTGGCCCCAAAGCTCTTCACAAGATCGCCCCATTGCTGGAGCGACGACCCACAGACATTGGCCTTCTTCTGACAGTGGTACAGCTCTATGTCAGCAGCGGTAACACCACCTCTGCTATCACGGCCATGGAGCGAACCCTCCAAAGCTTGGAGGGAGCAAACGAGTCCGTCCGCTTCAACCCAGGCCTCCTCAGTGTCCTCGTCTCCCTGTACCAGCTTGAAGGCCGGGCGGTCCAGATCCGTACCACGCTCGCACAAGCCGCTTCCTACTGGCGGACGAAGCCCGAGCCCCCCTCTTCCCTCCTCCGCGCAACAGCCGCTTCCCTCTTGCACTCTGAAGAGCGCACCGACCTCACCACAGCGGGTGATCTATTCCGTACTCTGCACCAGCAAGATCCCAACGACCGTGTTGCCATCGCTGGATACGTCGCCTCACAAGCAACCCTGGACTACGCGCAGATTGAGCCCGAACTAGACCGTCTGCCAGCAGTCAGCGACTTGATTGCCGACATTGACGTCTCGGCTCTGGAGTCTGCGGGCATCTCTCCCTCCGCCTCCTCAGTTGCAGCAGCCGCAGCCGCCTTCGCCGGTGCCCGCAAGCGCACCTCAGCTGCCACCGGCGAGCGCGCCAACAAGCGCGTCCGCAAGTCCCGTTTGCCCAAGGACTTCGATCCTGCCAAGAAGCCAGACCCGGAGCGCTGGCTGCCTGTGCGCGACCGCTCTTCTTACAGACCCAAGGGCAAGAAGGGCAAGCAGCGTGCTGCGGCCCTCACACAGGGTGGTCCTGTGAATGAGAAGGCGGAAGAGTCTCCCGCTCAGCAGTCACAAAAGTCTGGCGGTGGCGGTGGCTCTAATGCTAAGAAGAATAAGAAGAAGGGCAAGCGATAGTGTAATTTGAGATAAAGATTATAGCTGAATGTTACATACCTACGATACATGGAACACAGCTATGTATATCGCATTTAACATTGCAGGGCGCCGTAAAACCGAGGCGCCGTAAAATAAATTCCGACTCGCTGCTTTTTATCCCGAAGACTCCGATAATCCTGATCACTGGATGGAAAAACGCCCTGCCCTGGAGAACCAGCTCAGACTGCCCTAGCAAACCATCGAGAAACCCCAGATGAATATATCATTTCCCGCTGCCACTTTTATACCACCTGTTACGAAATTAACGCTCAACCCAATGGAGTCCGAATGGTACCACACTGGCGGTTGTAGTGCTCAAAGATCATAAGCAGAAGCCGTAGATCCATGACAGCATCCTCAGCAGTCGTCTTCGCCGCCGAACCCTCACCAACCAGATAAGAATGCAGAGCCATGAATTCACGCTCATATGCCTCGTCACAGGTACTAACAGTCTCCGTCCGCTTCACACGAGGACGAGCAACAGCATTCTCAGTCTCATTGATCTGGTTGCCATTGACCTTATCCATTTCCGCCGTCTCATCCGCTTCCTCAACGATGACCCGCACATAGGTACCAGTGCTGATCTTCTCACCAGGACGAGGGAAGTCATGCTCCACAGTGAGAGTCTTGTGCGCCCCATAGACAGTCAAATGTGCATCGCAGCGAGGCAACGCATCAACACCAGCTTCATACAGAAGCGTAAACGGGTGACCGTCATTCTCGGCGGAATTCGTATAGTGGAAAATGGCAGAGTAGAACGGGTCCGTGATAGCAACGTTAGAAACAGCATCCGGGAACCCAAACGACTCACGCATCACCGATAGATCATGACATCCCAACATCCCGAGGTACCGACAGAAAGCAATTCTGTCCGGCGTGAGGTCTTCTTCAGAGAAGACGTCTTCTAGCAGCGCGCGGAACTGCTCGGGGTTGTTGTGGCGCTTCATTTGCGTGATGTCTTTTGACGGCGTGGCGGTGGTCATCGGGCCAGCGATGTGTCGACATCGCGCGTAGTACACGCGTCCTAGGGTTGCTAATTCTTTCTTGAAGACTTCTGTGAAGCAGGGCGCGTAGCGACGCGCGCATCCGACAAATACCTTTGGGCCGTTTGTTTCGTTGGTGCTGTTGAGGGATCGGGTTGCTTTGCCTTTTCTGATTGCTTCGTGGATGCGCCGCATGCTTGAGACGCTCATTGTGAGTGGGACTTCGATCATTACATCTTTGCCGGCTTCGAGGGCTGTCACGGCGTATTGTTCGTGGTATTCCATTGGGAGGAGGTTGAGGATGACGTCCACTTCTTTATGGCGTAGGACATCTTCGGCGACTGTTGTGCTGTGGGTTATGTTGAAGCGGGTTTGACATTGAGTTGCGATTTCTGCGTTGGGGTCGTAGATGACTGTGAGGGTGTAGTGGGCTTTTAGAGAACAGAGGACTGGGAGGTAGGTGGCTTGGACGGCGTTCGTGGCGCCTAGTATACCTAGCCGGAGCACAGGGGTGGACATGTTGGCGGAAGGGGAGCTGCAGATCAGATGGGTATGGAGGATGAGAGATCGGGCTTTTGAGTTGAATGAGAAGATGAATTCTGGATTAAGAGAGGGATTATGAGATGAGCTAATTGAATATCAGAGTAGGGATTGAATCAAAGGGAGTTGAACAATTCCCCGTGCTATCTGAGAGGTCTGGTCTGTGACATCATCCACATTTCATTCTAAGTTTTACCCCGGATTTGATCCATCGAGATATTACGTAGACCTGTCGATCCTATATAGATTAGATGATTTAGGCTATGTGTTCATTGGGAAATGAATGTTATACCCATGACGTATATACTCTGCGAGTTTAATTATCATGTCTTGGAGCACGCTCTGTAGGAACATACCAAAAAGAAAGAGCTCCGGTTTCTAAGCTCGTTGAAAAGAATGGTATATCGAAGGAATAGTGAATCTTTATGTATTATTTTAAGTACGGCTAGTTATTTTTAGTTCTGACCTCTTGAGCTTATTTGTGAAAGACAGCTGAATTCTTATAGTTGCGGGACAACCCCTTATTCTATAGTGTTTTCACTGGCCAAAATGACGAAAGCCTGTTCGAAAGAAACAAATAAAGCACAAATTTCTGAACTTTCTATGCTTGTTCTGCCTGATTAAATCAAACCGCGGGCGTTGACAACCAGTGCCTCACCATACAAACTCACATCATAACCTTGTTCTTCCAAGTATGCTTTGAACTTGGCATCCTCTGTCTCTAGCTCTCGAGACATATCTGGGATGAGGAACCAGGCAACCAAACCACCTACCACTGTAAAGGCAGAACCGATTAGGAAAACAGCCTGCTGACCTTTGGCGGTGGTATCGAAGGAGTTCTGGATCGGGGTGAAGACTTCTGTCCCAATCGATGCCCCAGCTTTGCCAACAGCGGCTGCAAATCCGAGGAAATGGCCACGGAGAGGTGTTGGGAATGACTCCGAAGCACAGAGGAATGTTGAGACCCCAGGCCCCATCTCTCCGAGTGCTTGGAAAATGCCATACATGACGACAAAAAGTGGAAAGACACTTTGAATAGGGTGAAGCGCAGCCCCCAGAATAAACCCCCATATAGCCCAAATCAGGAAACCTAGGGTCATGGTCTGTTTACGCCCAATTCGATCCATCAGTATACCACCAAGCAAGCATCCTGGAAGATAAAAGCAATTGATAACAGTCTGGAAGTTCTATTGTGAGTTTAACCATCTAAAAGGAATGGTAGGATGGAAACCTACCCCATATCCAATATTCTGAACTGAGGAGTTGTGTGGGCTCAGCTGCTCAATTATGGTGGATGAGAACAGGCCAAATGGATATGTGACGAAGTCGTAGCAGAACCAAGCCAAAGCTACAAAAATCAACGTTAGCCAAAGTCACTGCACAATTTAACCAAACTGAATGACTCACATGTTCCAAGCATTGGTTTCCAGTAGCGACGTAGCACTAAACCATAGGGATACTGCGACTTGATAGCATGCTTTCTGTATTGGGTAGAGTTGACCATCCGAACGCGGAAGAAGCAGATGGATAGTGGCAACTGATTCAATTATCAGAATAGTTAATTCTTAGCTTTACAAGGCACGATACTTACCACAATACCCAAACCGAATGTAATGCGCCAGACCCCTTCAGAGTTTTGTTGGCTGTAACATGCAAGAACAATAAGAGCAACCAAACCAGCTGCAACAAAGCCCTATTTAGAACTTAGTGAGATCCTCATAGAGTGGCCCCGGGGACGTCGTGCTAGTACTGACCAGATCTATAGCAAAATCGGTGGTTAGTGCAACCAAGAAACCACGTCGCTTCCGGAGATGGACTGTCTCGTCGGCTGCCTCGGTGGCACTGGTGGCACAGACAGGATATTCCCCCCCAGCGCCAAATCCTGCAATGCCTCTTGCAACGATCATCATCCAAAACATTCTTATTGTGTTGTCAGAAATGAGTTTCAATCAAAAAGCTCCAAGTGAAGCATACCCTAGCTGCGATTTTCCATGAGAGGCCGTTGCCAACACCACTCCGATAATAAGAAACGCCGTTGCGGCGACAATACCAGTCCGACGACCAATGCGGTCAATTAGGACCCCAAAGAATAGCATGCCAAATATCTCGCCGATGAGATATGAGTTTGACAGCCGCGACTTTATAGTTGAAGACATTCCATCCATGTAGCTGGGCTCGTCAGTATACCTGGCGAAAATTATTCAACCGGAATACGCACAGTACTGAGAATAAAGGCTCCATATAGCCAACTATCACGCGGTTAGTATACGGTAGAAAAATATAGATCACACATACTGATTTGAGCGTTGTATCCATCACTGAACAAGGCCAACCCGGAAATCACTACATTGAGCACACCTGAGCGCTTTTTCTCGGGTTCCCGTTGCTCAATATCCCAATCGGGTTGCTGGACTTGTTTGGGATCCATCTTCATAGTAGAGTCACTAGGAGATATAGCCATATTGACAAGTACACTGAATAAAATGTCAATGGGAATTGATTGATATCTATAGAATCTATATTTGATCTGAATAATTCTAAAAGTGACCAATGAGAGTGTAGAATAGACGCACGATAGACTCGGTGGGAAGTGCGAGATGATGTACAACTTGTGGGTAGTACTGAGTAAAGGTCCAAGCTCCCCGGGGCCATGGCATCTCCACTGCAGACGGCAATTCAATGGGTTTGACAGCTTCCTCTCCAGTTCAGACTCCACATGCTCTTCTTAGTCTCCTGAAGCTCGGTTACTAGGGTAGTTCCTGATCGTCAAACCAATCTAAGGTTATCTTTCACCCATGTGCTTGGGGACGTGTTACATAGATCTATATCTTGTCATCAAGAAGTACCCGTGTCGGTGTGAAGGGCGATATCTTCGGAATTTCATTACCTACTTCCTGATCTACAAAATGCAAGCTCCTGAGCCCCGAACGTTTCATGAAAGCATCTCTTCTGTGTTTCCACAAGAATGAATAATTATCATTACTCGCTCTCTGCTGAGCAGCTTCAGAGTTTCCACGAGGATGGATACCTCCTGATTCGTGGCTTTTTCACTTCCAAGGAATCGGAGCTACTGCGAGAATGGGCACAGGAAGTTCACGATCTTCCATGCACCCCTGACGTTCCCTGGATGCCTTATCAAGAGGTTAATGCTGAAGGCAAACGGGTACTGTGTCGCACTGAAAACTTTGCCAATTCGCATGTCGGATTTGATAGTTTCCTCCGAGGACAGCGCGCAACAAGCGTTCTACAACAGCTAGCCGGAGAGGAGATGTTTCTCTTCAAAGAAAAAATCAACTACAAGTTGGCGGGAAGTGGTAAGTGATGTCCACTTTATAGCCCTGACTCGATCACTCACCTGTCTGATAGGTGGTTTCGATCCTCATATCGATGCCAATGCCTACACCCATGTTAAAAACATCAAGCATTTGACTATCCTTGCAGCAGTCGATAGCATGAATGCAGCCAATGGAGGTCTGGAAGTGGTGAACGGTAGTCATCGAATGGATATTCCTCTCGGTGGAGATCGCTGCATTGCGTCGGGTTGGGTCGAAAGCAATGTATGGACACCGGCTGAGCTTGATTCAGGTATGCAAACTGAGAACCCCCCGATACTTTAATCACAGTTTTATTAATAAGGGAAGGTGATATCCTCATTTTTGGCTCGTACCTGGCCCACCGCAGTGGCGCGAATGTTAGCTCGAAAGACCGCCGTGCGATATATGCAACTTATAACTGTGCCGCCGAAGGTGATCTGCATGATAAGTACTATTCTGATCGACAAAAGCTCTGGCCTGCAACACACATGCGGGAAAGCGGAAAGTCATATGAGGAAGGTCGTGTGCGATATGCCTTTGGGTCCCCTATGTTAACTGTGGACTCTTAAGGTCATATCGGCCTGATCGGTGCAGACGAGGTATATAGTATGCTTAGTAGCAAGTAGAAGGCCAATTCCATATGAATTTAAGATGGTGAAACACTGACGTTGACATACCTCGACGCAAAATAATTAGAAAGTATCTGCCATTGAAATCAATTGGTCTGGTTCAGCCTTCAAATTCATGTGGACCACCGGCATGATCACCGAACACTTTAGTTTCGGTGCCCCAATTGGCCTGGAGTTGTAATAGAAGTGGTCTGCGTATATAAGGAGAACTTTCTTCCATCTCACCTCTTTCTCTTCGCTTTTTCATCTCTATAGATATTGACCTCTCCAACGCTTCTTCTACCCCGTTCCAAGAGTAACTCGGATTATGAATCAACAGTCAGCGAAAGAAAAAGCAGAGGCCTTGATCGGCGCTCTAGAAAAGTATGGCCAAGGTGACTACATCGGCGAGTCAATTAGCCAGTTGGAACATTGTCTGCAGGCAGCTCATCAGGCCCATAAAGCGAGTACGTATTGTTCTTACGATTTCTTACAGTTACTAACATTTTTCTAGATGCTCGTGATGAGTTGGTAATTGCAGCTTTATTGCATGACATCGGTCAAATCATTCCCCTAGAATCCACTAAGGAGGTACGCATGAACCTTCGCGAAAGCACGGAAAATGTCGGCCGGGTCGGCCATGAAGCCATCGGGGCATCATACCTTCATTCTCTTGGATTCAGCAAGACGGTGTGTCGCTTAGTAAATAGTCATGTCGCTGCGAAGAGGTACGTGATCTTGGTTGTCTTTTAAGCGCCCCGACTTACCATTTAGGTACCTTACTGCCGCTGACCAAAGATACTACGACTCTCTATCATCTGCCTCACAGAGATCGCTTGGGTTCCAAGGCGGCCCCTTCCAAGGTGCGGATCTTAAAAACTTCGACGAAGATCCCCTTCGAGACGATATGGTTTCACTTCGACTGTGGGATGATGCAGCCAAATTGGAGGGAATTGAGGCCGTAACACCCCGTGCTGGGACATATCTGGATATGATTATCACGCATTTGCTCCGTGAAACTTGAGGGAGTCGCGATGGATTGGTATCTGGTCACTAGTTTGATTAGAACTAGGTAGAGAAAAGACATTATGGTTTTCCTGCACTGTTCACCGAGTAATCAATCTGTGTTTCCGCCAAGGTGTGAAAGACTAAGGACCCTAGGCGCCCTCATAAAGCGGGGCACAGGAAAATCCCAATAGCAAATATGTGGTCTATATATTATTTATAGGGCTGCATAGATACAACCTTGTGACTTCATTGATAATACTTTAAGTTACTTTACTTGCTAGTCAATACAAGTGGGGGCCCAGGTATCCCGAGGTGCCTTGCGGTAGAGAGCTCAGCCTCAGTTGGGCTATTTAAGAGGGGCAACCTATCCACACTGGGCAACGTCATCAAACCTTGGAATTCTCTCGTGATACTCCAACTTTTGTGTCTTACTTCTTCGCCTCTTTTCCTCCTCAGTTTAAATCATGGGTGTAAGTCAGATTCCTCTTTCTACAGCTCCAAAGAATCTCCCAACCTGACCCTTCACCTTTAGTTTGCTCAGAAAATTGCCGCAGCTCAGAATAATCAAATGGCCAATAGTGGTTCATACGGAGGTGCACCTCCATCGGGATACACTGGGGGTCCTCCTGCATCATTGCAGGCTGGTGGATCGGTAAGTCATATGTCCATTGCTGCGCCTGTTTTTGCTATGACTCGCAGTTCGACGTCATAGAAAAAAGAAAAGAAAAAGAAAAACAAGTGCTAACGTACTCAGGGTCAACAGCAATATCAGGCTTATTCAGGATCCCCAGCCCCTCAGGGATCGGTAAGCCATATTTTTTTCCTAACCTTTTTGTGTTTTCCCCCACTTCTACGCTTTACCCCTCCACGGCCATCATTTTTCTGGAACAACCATGTCGGGACCTTACCAAGGATATCCATACGGCGGCTCATCTCAGCATCAGAACAATCCGTCATCTCCCTATTCCAGGCCTCCGCCATCCACCCCCTACCCCGCATCTCAGCCGCAATCTCAGGGCTATGGCCGCCCCCCTCCACCCCCACCACAAGGCCAGCCCTATGCATCCGCTAGTTCGCCCTACCCGGGTCAGCAACCGGGACAGCCTTATGCTTCTCCCAGTTCGCCCTACCCAGGACAGCATGGACAGCCGCCCTATTCTGGGCAACAGCAAGCTTCTCCACAAGCGTACCCTGGACAACAGCAATACCCTGGACAACAGCAATACCCTGGACAACAACCTTACCCTGGCCAGCAGCCGTCATATGTACAAAACACCCCTTGTCCTGCATCACTGCCTATTTCTGTGTTTTGTGTCTCGTTGCACTTTGGATTTTCATCGAATGCTTGTGGAAGAAAAATGCTAACGGAAAATAGAACCAGGCACCACCCTACCCTCAGGGAGCTCCATACCCCGGTGGCCAGGGCCGTCCTGGGCCCTCGCCTGGACCACCCAGTGGACCACCGCCAGGTCAGTATGGCGCACCAAGCGGACCCCCACCAGGCCAGTATGGAGCACCAAGTGGACCGCCACCAGGTCAATATGGCGCACCCGGTGGTGCCCCTCAGTCCGCAGCTCCCCCGGCTACCCCGCAACAGGTCGCAGCTTACCACTCACTTTTGAGTTCTACAATTGAAGAGAAGCGTCTCGGAAGTTTCTACCCCAAAGAACGACTGGACCGGCTTGTTCAGACGCTTGCCGCTGAAGCACCGGGTAAGCTCAACAGGCTGATTCATGAATGGGCCGTGCCCATGGAGGTTGCGACCGATGTCATGAAGCTCGCGCTTTTCGACGTGATTCTCTACGTTGATGATAGTGGTTCGATCGAATTCGAAGAGAAGGGACTCCGAAAGGATCAACTTAGACAGATTCTTGGCATTGTGGCTACTGCTGCATCAACCTTCGACCAGGATGGTATTTCTGTTCGGTTCATGAACTCCACTGAGAAGGGCGATGGCATTCGCAACGCGGATGATGTCGAACGTCTAGTTTCCCGAGTTCGTTTCTCGGGTCTGACCCCGCTGGGCACCAGCCTGAAGGCCAAGGTCATCGACCCGATGGTCGTCCAACCCGTTCGAGCCAATCGTCTCGAGAAGCCCGTGCTGATTATCACCATCACTGATGGACAACCTGCCGGAGAGCCTCACGATACCGTGGGTAATACTATTCGTTATGCTGTGGCGGAGACTTCTCAGACCCATTATGGCCCTGGCGCTGTATCCTTCCAGTTCTCACAGGTGGGAACCGATCAGCGGGCTCGCGACTTCTTGTCTTCTCTAGACGAGGACCCTCATATTGGCCGCCTGATTGACTGTACCTCCAGTAAGTTCCATGTGGGGTTCATAGTGGATCTAGCTAACATGTTCTAGACTTTGAGGTTGAGCAGGATGAAATGTCCCGTGCTAACCCACCAGTGCACCTTACTCGTGAACTTTGGGTAAGTTTTTTTTAACACATCCTCACGTAGTATTTGAACTGACTGTCTATGTAGTGTGCCAAACTGATGCTTGGCGCTATTGATTCTTCTTACGACACCAAGGATGAGCGAGAGAGCCAACGTCGTGGACCGCCTCAGCCGACCGGTCAATATGGAGGAGGTTACGGCCAACCTCAGGGCCAAGCTCCTCAGGGGCAAGCTCCTCCGTATGGACCGCCCCCTGGTGCTCCTCCTGGTTATGGTTCCCAGTCTGGATACCCTCAAGGCCAATACCAACAGCCTCCCCAGCCTCCGTACCAGGGTTCACAGGGTGGATATGGTCAGCCACAGTATCCGCCACAGGGCTCTGGCCAGTATGGGCCACGTTACTGAATGTGACGTCACAAATGATTTTTGCCATGCGGTTTTGAGAGTTGTGGTTGGAGATGTTTACTCCACGTAGTTTTTTTTTCGAATGGTTCGAACCTAACATTCTAAGAATATTCAAATTGTTCTCTGTTTCCTTTTTTTTTTAAACTGGGTATGGGCCCTTGACAGGTGCCAAGGCTACACTAAAATCAGTCCACGGGTTCGGTTGAAAGGTGAAACCTGTATACAACATACGCACTTGGATACACGCGGCATATATAAACTTACATGTACGGAGTATTAAAAGAGAAAAAAAAAAAAGTTACATATGTTGTACTCCGTAAGTACCCCATACATATGTTCCAGTTTGACATCTGCAATAGGGCTGGAGGGTCCAAGGGAATGTTAGGTTGACCAATAACAAGGCAGATAGATCTGGATCCGGGCCCATGTTTCGCCTCAAAAACGTCTTGATTCGGTGATTCTTAAATTAACTTGGGGGGACTGTTGCCTGGAGGCGGATATTGTATGGTTGCATACGCGTTTGCCCAAACATCAGCTATGGACGGTTTTGACCATTGGTCCTGAAGACGTTTTTGACATTTAGGATTTTCCACTTGCGCCATTTTTATTTTATATCTCTACCTATAATATACCTTTATATAGAGTATTCGAGATCTATATCCTAGGATATCGCCAGTTGGAACACTAGGCCGTTTTTGGTATCCTTTCCCAAACCTGTGGACTTGGTCTTGGCTATTCCTCTCTCTCTCTTCTCTCTGGGTTTTTAGTCTCTTTTAGTCTCTTAATCTCTTCCTTTGGCCTCTCTTTCTTTTCTCCATAAGACATAATCATTGCGCCCTTCATTTATATCCTTGCGTCAGACGGGAGTACTATCGTTTACTCAACCCTCGCAACACCTTCGTTTTACGACAGGGGATCTCGTCACCCCCGCTGTGAAAGAACAGCGGAAGAAATGACTGTTTAATCAGTTGAAATCGAATACTTCGATCTACCCTGAGTGGGAACGCTAGCAGAGGAAAGATTTGAAAATCTCGGAGGTAAAAAAAAAAAAAGAAAATACCGAGATCGTCGGTATCTGTCCCGCGCACTCGTGCCAGGAATTCGACTGTCATGTCCCTCAACGATAAACCTACAGAACCTACAGAGGGCACCCAACCCGACCAGAGCGATGTTCTACGACGCCCGTCTCTTGTATCCTCGCGAACTCTCTCCGACTCCGGGCGGCGGATCTCCTCCCAACATGTGCGCTTCTCAACCGATCTCGATCGCGAGTCCGTCGAGGAACAACGACAGACAAACTGGGACCAACGCCCCAATTCCCGCGGCCTGACCATCGAAACGGCGCTGGCGCCTCCATCTGTTCGACCCGCCCACTCACCCACCTCTCCGCTCTCGCCTACCAATGCGACCCAGAACGCTACCCTCTCCCCGCCTGCTGAGTCCGCCGGTCGGTCTCGGTCGCGAAATCGTGGATACTCGCTCCGTCGCAGCATATTCAATAAGACCATCAACTCGACGGAGACAAATGATGTTGCCCTGGCTGAGCTGGGTGAGGTCAAAGAACCCTCTTCGGACGTGACTCCTGCCCAGGCCCCGCCTACTGAACCGCTCACGGCTGCCGATGAGAAGCATGCTCTGAGTGTCGCGCCCACGGCGACGCTCGACTCGACTCATAAGGATGGTGCCTCCCCTTACGTATCCTTCGATCCGTCGGAAAGAACCCTCAAGGAGCAGTTCTCTGTGTCTGTAGCCCACGATAAATGGCGCCAGCAAAAGGCGACAGCCGCAGTGGCTGTCGCGCGTTTTGAGGCTGTTATGACGTCCATCCAGAAATTTATTCTGCGCATCAAGGATATTCCACCTACTAAGGATGGGCGCCACATTGACTTGAATCCGTCTATGGTAGGTTCCATGATTGATGAGCGCACCGAGAAGCCTTACATCGGTAATTACATCCGTTCTAGTCGTTACAGTCTCTGGAGTTTCTTCCCTCGTCAATTCTTCGCTCAATTCACCAAAGTCGCCAATTTCTACTTCTTGATCGTCGCCATCCTACAGATGATTCCCGGCTTGAGTACAACTGGAACATACACAACCATCGTTCCGCTTTTGATCTTCGTTGGTATCTCAATGGGCAAGGAAGGATTTGATGACTATCGTCGGTATCGCTTGGACAAGGAAGAGAACAATCGGGATGCTTGGGTGCTTCGTCCAGGTCATGGGACAGTCCAGGATGGCGCCTCCGTGATAAGCAACGCTCAAGATTGGCAGCGGATCAAGTGTGAGGAAATTCGTGTTGGGGACGTCATTAAACTTGAACGCGACCACCCGATCCCCGCTGATATTGCTCTCCTTCATGCCAGCGGACCCAATGGCGTCGCTTACATCGAGACCATGGCGCTTGACGGTGAGACAAACTTGAAAAATAAGCAGCCGTGTCAGCCTGTCTCCAAGGTGTGCTCGACTGTGGAAGACATCAACAGCAACTCCTTGCACTTTGTCGTTGAGGACCCCAACTTGGATCTCTATAAGTTCGACGGTCACGTCAGTGTCAATGGACAGGAGAGACTGCCCTTGACCAACAACGAGATCGTTTACCGTGGCAGTATCCTTCGCAATACCGATCGCGCTCTTGGTATGGTGATCTATACTGGCGAGGAGTGCAAGATTCGAATGAACGCCAACAAGAACCCACGAATCAAGAAGCCTGCTCTGCAGGACAAGGTCAACCGTGTGGTTATGCTTATTGTGGTTCTGGTCGTTATCCTGGCTGTTGTCTGCACCGTGGCTTACAAGTTTTGGTCACAGGACGTAGAGAAACGTTCTTGGTACCTTGAAAACGCTAGTGTCTCGTACGGCCCGATTTTCACTTCGTTCCTGATCATGTTTAACACCATGATTCCCATCTCCCTGTATGTGAGTATGGAAATCGTTAAAGTTGCCCAGATGCTGCTCTTGAACGATATCGATATGTACGATCCCGAAACCGACACCCCGCTTGAGGCGCGCACATCCACGATCAACGAGGAGCTCGGCCAAGTTAGCTACATCTTCTCCGACAAGACCGGTACTCTGACAAATAACTCTATGCGCTTCCGCAAGATGAGTGTGGCTGGAACCGCCTGGTTGCACGATACAGACCTCCAGGAGGAGGCTGCTCGTGAAGGAGACCACACCAAGTTGATGCACAAGAAACGGAGAGTAAAGGGGAAAAAGGCGATGGGCCGCAAGTCGAATGTTTCCGAGGCTCAGATGCCCCGTCCATCGAATGTTTCTGGGCCCCTTGATGCTCTCCGTCAGCATGGTCGTTCGGCTACTACATACCGCACTGAGGAGATGCTCGAATACATTCAGCGCAAGCCGTACACCATCTTTGCCCGAAAGGCCAAACTGTTCATTCTGTCCATGGCCCTGTGTCACACTTGTATTCCCGAAGAAGACAAGAACGGAAAAACAACTTTCCAGGCTTCCTCTCCCGATGAGTTAGCTCTTGTTCTTGCAGCCCAGGAACTCGGATTTCTCGTCGTGGATCGCCAAGCAAACAAGTTGACCATCCGCACTCGACCCAACGGACCGGACGAAGCCACCACCGACGAAGTCTACGAGATTATGGACGTGATCGAATTCTCAAGCGCGCGAAAGCGTATGTCGGTAGTTGTTCGAATGCCCGACCAGCGCATTTGCCTATTCTGCAAAGGTGCCGACACTACGCTGATGCGTCTCCTAAAGCAAGCCGATCTGGCGCGTGAGAAGGCGAATGAGATTGAGCGCCGTGCAAGCAGACGCAAGAACGCCGAAATGAACCAGGTCATTCGACGTAACAGTGAGCACCACAGCCGGAAGAACAGTATGGCTCGGAGCAGTATGACCCGGCCTAGCTTCACCCGTCAGCGCTCGTCGATTACTGGGCAACAGGGTTCAGCTCTTCGGGCCAGTATCGATGTTTGGCTGCGCGATCGGGAGACAGATGGTGGTATGCGGAACAGAGAGGCTGATAGCGAGTACTACAGCCCTCGGCCTTCGGCGCAGATGGGTAGACCCTCAGCTGCGATCTCGGATTCTGGTAGTTCTACGAATGGCGAAGATGATGAGGAGGATCTCGTCGAGGAGGCACTGGTTGTCAACGAGGCCGCTATTTTCGAGCGCTGCTTCCAGCATCTAAATGACTTTGCCACTGACGGCCTTCGGACTTTGTTGTATGGCCACCGATTCTTGGATGAAGCGACCTACACGAACTGGAAAATTGCCTACCATGAGGCTTGCACTAGCCTCGTTGACAGGCAGCAAAAGATTGAGGATGCAGGCGAGCAGATTGAACAGCAGCTGGAACTTACTGGCGCTACTGCGATTGAGGACAAACTGCAAAAGGGCGTGCCAGAGGCTATTGAAAAACTGCGACGAGCCAATATCAAGATGTGGATGTTGACTGGTGATAAGCGGGAGACTGCTATCAATGTCGGCCACTCGTGTCGTCTTGTCAAGGAGTACTCGACACTGACTGTCTTGGATCAAGAGAATGGCGACGTTGAGCAAACGATCGTAGACCTTATCGGCGAGATTACCGGCGCTCGCGTGGCACATTCTGTGGTCGTGGTTGATGGTCAGACGCTGTCCACGATCGAAGCGAATGAGGTAGTGCGTGAACGATTCTTCCAATTGGCTGTCAAGGCAGACTCGGTCATCTGCTGCCGAGCGAGTCCGAAGCAAAAAGCGTTCTTGGTGAAATCAATCCGCAAACAGCTCACCGACGCAATAACGCTTGCTATTGGAGACGGCGCCAACGATATCGCCATGATCCAAGAGGCCCATGTGGGTATTGGAATCACTGGAAAGGAGGGATTGCAAGCAGCACGCATCTCGGACTACTCGATCGCGCAGTTCCGCTTCCTGCTCAAGTTGCTTCTTGTGCATGGCCGATGGAACTATATGCGTGCTTGCAAATATACACTTGGCACGTTCTGGAAGGAAATGGTGTTCTACCTGACTCAAGCGCTGTACCAGCGCTGGAACGGCTACACTGGCACTAGTTTGTACGAGCCGTGGAGTTTGAGTATGTTCAACACTTTGTTCACCTCGCTCGCTGTGATCTTCTTGGGTATCTTCACCAAAGACCTCTCAGCATCGACACTGCTAGCCGTGCCGGAGCTCTACACCAAGGGTCAAAGGCACGGCGGCTTCAATATCAAGCTTTATCTGGGATGGTCCTTCATGGCGACCTGCGAAGCAGTGATAATTTTCTTCACGATGTGGAGCCTCTTCGGTCTCGCAAGAATCAACCCCAGCGACAACGATATCTTCTCCATGGGCCTACTCACCTTCTCCGCGTGCATCATCGTCATCAACGTCAAGCTCCAAGCCCTGGAAGTCCACAACAAAACCTACATGTCGCTAGCTGTGATAATCATCTCCGTCGGCGGCTGGTTCATGTGGGACCTCATTCTCGACCGCGAATACACAATGGAATCCGGAAAAGGTATCTACTTCCTCCCTTCCAACTTCATCCATCACTCCGGCCACAACCTCCTCTTCTGGGCCGTCCTCCTTCTCTCCGTCTCGGCAGTCCTCCTCTTCGAATTCACCGTCTCAACCCTCCGCGCCTTATTCTTCCCAACAGACGTCGACATCTTCCAAGAATATGAACAAGACCTCGACATCCGCAGGCGCTTCGAAGAGGCTGCCGCCTCAGAACTCCAGCAGGGCTGGGACCACGGCACCAAGAGATCAAGCTTGGAGATCGCCCGCGAAAACGCCGAGCTCGCCGAGATCGACGCCCGCGAACGCCAGGTCCGCGAGCTCCTCGCCCGCCCCCGCGTCATGGACACCAAGCCTGAAGCCAAGGAACTCGAGATCGATGGGTTCACCAGCGCCAGCGCGACGGCCAGTCACAGCAGCAGCGTGCCGAGTCGCGATGCTGCGAATGTCGCTGATGCGGAGACAGACCGTGGTCGCCAGTCTGGCCTCCTCTGTCCCGAAGACGCTACCGGCCGTCGTCGCTCCGTTGAAATCCAAGAGCTCTTCAGTAAAGGCTATGGTGCTGTGCGTAAGGGCCAGCTCAAATGATTCAAGATTTGATTTGTAAATGTATGACGTGACCCGTCTTTTCCCTTCCTTTCTGTTATTTTCATTTTCACTCTCTTCCATAGCGGTTACATACGTGTCCATTCCCTTATCATATCCCCTCGGGCATCCAAAGGCGTTTGATATGGGTTCCCACTTTGTCTTTCCTTTTTCGCTGTTCGGTCTGTTGCACAGTCGGCCGTCAGTTCAAGATACCCCGACTCATTGTTGGCAGTCTGACTTTTCGCGTTACATATCGGGTTCTTTTGCATACGTGTGATTCCCCCTTGCCGTCGTGGTTCAGTACATATTTCTTACCGCGCCGAGTTATTTTTAATTTACAGATTTGACATCCGTTTCTGCTCTTGTAGTTTTCTTTATATGGTATTAGTGGGTTAGGTGGCTACTACGGAGGTCATATAAGGACTCACCTAGGCACATATATGCCTGCTACAAATTCCGTGATTCGATGTATAGCTCGGGACAAGAGCTATTCAACTGTTGTATGTATATGTTCGTTATATTCATTTCATTGGCCGTTATCATGACTTCATGCACTCTTATTATACAAATTTTTCAAAGCAATATTCAGAACATCGGCAAATGACTCCCTATTCAAAGAGACTGACTCTTGATGCCAATCCACCTTGGGAGAGGTATCCGATCTCTTCGAGGAATGAACACTGAAATATGAATGATCCAACAGAGAAGCTAGGTTTTCAAATACCCTAATATCAACCTGCGCGGGAAGAATCTCAACAACAGTCGACCGCGGAGGTAGGAACATCGCATGTGTCAAACCAGCCCCATGGACCCCAACCAGAATATCCGTCTGCTGCGTAACTTGCAATTGTTCTTCGAACGAAATTGTTTCAAAATCAACTTCCTGGATTATAACGTTCGGAAAAGAAGACTTGACATCTTCAAGGTATTCAGTGTGGTTGAGTAGGATGCGGGTCTTCATGCGGTCGATGAAAGTTACTGTTATCTCGCTACCCTGGCGCGGCTGGACTGGAATTTCGTAGTGATCCAAGACTCGGCGTGAGAACTTGCGCAGAAGCGCCGAGGTATTACATGAAGCACCATCCCGTGAGTAATCGGTCTGCCAAAGGGGGTTGCTTCCACCCGCGAGCGGGAGAATGATGTTCTCAAAGCTTGTCGGGGACAGGTCTTTGAGACGTCGTATTGGTTGATTTGTGAAGATCGACCACAAATCGGAGAATGGGCCGTCCGTGTGATCGTCAAGCAGGACGACTTGAGTATTAGAAATATTGGGGGTGGTAGAAAATGGCGAATCGGATGTTTGGCCCATTTGGAGTACGTTCAATGTTAGGGATGTAGAAAAGATCTCTAGTAGGCAATGCCATAAGTTGGATGATCCCTCTCGCTTGATCAATATCGTATATTTAGGTGTTTTTGACTCGTTTGGCTCAAGGGTTTCGCCAAGCTCGACCCAGTTATCCATAATGACGCGCGGGCCGGTGTCGAACATGTATTTTGGGAATGTGCCATATTCGGGGACGAGGAAGGGTAGCTGTAAATCAGGGAGCATGTCGAGTGCACAGCCTAGATGGAATTTGGCTGTGGTGGGATCGAAAATTGCGTTACGGGCGATGCATAATGAATCAACACGTCCCTTGACGGTTTCACTGTGCAGGCACGTAATATTGGATGGCGAGTCTGCGGTGCAGTACTCTGTAATGGAGTTGTGGAAGTTTTCAAGGTACCGAGTACCGAAACGATTGTCACAAAATATTGACTCTTCTGTTGATGATAGGCAGTCCTGGGGGAGGTTGGGCCTTGGTTCGTGGGCCGGTAATACCGAAGAGTGGGTTGTAGGACTTAAGATGTTAGAGCACTCATTCAGCTTGATGGGAACGGGGAGAAAGTGTGCTTTAGGAGGATCATCGGCGCAGTGTATGCACCCTGGGATGCTATCACTGATGAGCCAGACGAAGATAATTAGGGAAGCACTCGTTATAATTCTCAATGGCCATGATGCACGCCTATATCCCATCATGGCCAATATTTCATAACGAGAGCCACATAACAAACATTGGTATATGGAAGAAGATGTAGTTAAATTTGCCCAGATGAGTCCATGGGCCTCTAATATTGAATATTACCCAAATCCTTTAAATAGAAATCCTAGGTATGGATTGAATACCTTTGGGTATATTTTGGGCGATAGCATGGACCAGTCATATCTAGAAAGACAACAAATCCGCCATCTCATAGTTCTGCCAAGTTCAAAAACATTGAATACGAAAGGACATTGGAGGCTGAAAGTGTCCTGAAAGTGTACCGGTTCTTTGTTCCGAAAAAAGAACAACTAGGCCCCTTGCAGTTAAAGCAACGTCTGATCTATCTATCTGGTTAGGCCTATCCGACACCAAAGCGACGGGTCTCGGATCTTTTGTTGTCGCGCGGGGGCTGTATCAAGTTTAGTTACTTAACCTAATACGAGTGCCCGCATATACAACACGTCAGTTCTTTGAATGTATCTCCGGAAAACATCAATAAGAGCGAGGATAATGATGTTTATTCTTGACTATTAACTCTGAGAAATTGGGAATTGATATGTTTGAGGGAGAAACTGCACCGAAAGTAAAGAACTCGACAGTATTCCAAAGTTGCGGTCAGCGAGTCAGAGACACGAGGGGCGTGGCAACAAACATTGGAAGCTGAATTATATTTTCTGACTTCAAATGGTCTTGACTTGAGATGAACTCAATTCCCTTTGATTTGCACCAATAATTGGTTGCTTTGGTTGATTGGTTTCAGCCTAACTCCTATGACGGACGTGTTATTAGCACTACGGACTACGGACTTTATTCTAATGTGCCAAGAAGGCCAGAGCCCCGAGCTAAATGACATTGCTAATGGTGATGGCCTTAGGTCTTATTAGGCATCAAGCATGCCTGGCTTATCCCTAAATAGGTTTTCTTTATGCAATCCATCATACCCAAGGAGTACATATGACACAAATGCGTTGAAGTTCAATGCGTTTTTCAAAGGCATGTTATATCTGTCTTTTGCACACTCACCTTCCCTCGATGTCAAAACACTGGAGCCTTGACCGGAAAGCATAGCCAGAGCAAGTTGCGGACTTAAGTCCGCTTGACTCATTATAAAAGTGCCCTTCACAGTTATGGAGAACTACAATCTTTTTCAGATCGTAAAGCCCCGCTCTTCCGCTCAGAGGCCTCAACAAAGCGTTCAACATGGCGATTAACTTAGCCAAAGCTGGGAGGTTTCGGTATCCAAGCGAAACATCTCGCCACGCAGCAACTATATTGAGTTTTCCATCTATCTACTCCATTGCCACAGCATATTATGACAGCGCGTGCTTCGAGATTGCTAGTCTAGCCTCTGCAATCTCCGCATTTGAGCCTGTCCGCCTATTTGCACGACCAGAAGATGTCCAGAGAGCCCAGGCTCTGGTGGAACAAGCCAATACCAAATACCCCAGTAATATGTCCAACATATCAATCATTCCATTTTTAACCAATCACCTATGGGCTCGTGATACAGGCCCCGTCTATGTCGAACCACTTGACGCTAGCGACCAGCCAGGGCGATTTGCGATCAATTTCCGGTTTAGCGAATGGGGACGCAAAGGTGCCATCGGTCTTGATGACCGTGCCTGTGACGGGCTCGACTGGCCAGTCATGCAGACAGCGCAGCTTGAAGAAAATGCGACTTTTGCGCAGCGTGTTATTGAATATGATCAATCGCCATCTCCAGTCACACGCATCGAATCCAAGGTCTGCCTCGAAGGGGGCGCGCTAGTTGTGGATGGTGACGGGACGCTATTAGCTACAGAGAGCAGCATTCTCAATGAGAATCGCAACCCTGGGATGTCACGCTCAGAGGTCGAGGAGGAGCTAAAGCGTTTACTAGGAATTGAGAAGATTATCTGGTTTCCTGGTTCCAAAGGCCTTGACGTTACAGATGTCCACGCTGATGCCGAGGTCACCTTCATTCGACCGGGTGTCGTGGTTCTTTGTCGACCGCATCCAAGCGCACCAAAGGCATGGATAGACGTCTATGAGGAGATTCGAGACATTTTGCAAACTACGTTGGATGCAAGGGGACGCACTTTCGAGGTTCATATTGTCGATGAGCCTGATCCCAAGGTCTTTGGCAATCTAGCTTATGACGAACCTGCAACCAACTACGTTAACAGTTATTTTGTCAACGGGGGTTTGATTCTTCCACAATTTGGAGATGTCCAGCGGGATCAAGAAGCACTTGCTCTCTTCCGGGCCTTGTGTCCAAATCGTGTGGTGCAGCCGGTCCATGTCACCGGGCTGGCGCTTGCGGGGGGTGTTATTCACTGTGCAACGCAGCCAGTCCTTGCAAGTGAATAGCGTGAAGGGTGACTTGTACGATCATATTACGTGGCAAGCCTTGTTTGCAGCTTCCGAAGTAGATATTCTTGCCTCAATTGATAACTCCCCGTCTCGACATACTCACAATAACAGAAAGGTAACGAAAGTGAATAATACAAGTGCACTAATAGGATCGATAACAGGTCCAAGTTGCTGAAAGCACCTCATGTATAGTAGGGACTTGTGTAAAGTTGAAACAGTATGGACAGAGGTCTAGCCAACTGCGTCTTGGGTTGGAGAACGCCATTAGTTGGCCTGATAAATAAGGCCATAATCACTTTTTGTGATTCACAGAAATTGAAGACATCAGTTAAAATCCATCTCGATAGAAGAAAAATAAGTTGGCAATGGGTATCGCCACGTGGCGTTATCCCCGGACCTCTTTTGACTTTTGCTGACTTTCTCCTCCACCGTCGACTTACTTGGAAAAATACCTTTTTTCTTGTCACTCGAGGATATGCCGGCAGGTTTGTGAAACATACGACCGAGAAGATACAGTTCTAACGATCACTAGGCCCGGCTTGTATAACATGCCGTGAAAAGTGTCGTAAATGCGACCGCGCAAAACCCGTTTGTCAAAGATGCGTCACCAAAGGCCTTGAGTGCAAAGGATACCCGGATAAGTTCCGCTTTGCGGGCATAGCAACCCGGGGCAAGTGGAAAAACCGCGCGGTCCCTGCTGTAAGCCGTGACCATGCTGTCCCAAATCGGCTAGGCATCAGAACCGATCATTCAGATGTCAGCCATGAGGACTCTGGTCAGCAGAATTCAAGTGCTTTGGCCTGCGAGGACCAGAATATCGAACCACTGCCAATTCTCGATCATCCCTGGCCACAGCCAGCAGGGCGAGATGTGGAATTGGACGATTTATTGATGCTAGAACGGACGGAAATGTTGTTAAAACATTGTGTGTTTACTCTATCCTAGATGTCAAACACTTTACTAACTCAACCATTTCCAGATGACAAGATCATATGTCCACATCAAATCGCGCTTCCAGCTGCTGACATGGACAACCCTTACCAGTTTTATGTTTTACCTCTGGCATACGAACATATAAGCCTGTTGTATGCGGTGCTAGGTCTTTCTGCATGCCACATTGGAATAACCAAAGAAGATGTATATTTGCGAGATACACTGGCTGTTGAGTATCGACTCAGAGCTATACGCTGTCTTGGAGAAACTCTCCGAAAAACGATATCTAGCGAACTGGATGCAAATGAACGCGATGGGATTTTCGTTACTATCCAGATACTGTTACTCCAGGATGTAAGTCGCCAATCTTGCATACTATCCGATATATCCAAGAAACTAATGGCCGAATTTGAATGAAGATCTTTGAATCGGGCATCTCCACTCATGGAGTTCATATTACAGGTGCACTATCAATTTGCAACCAGTTGCGCTTGTGTAATACACTATCCACAGAGAATGAACGAACTATCTTTTTCTTGGGCAATCTAGCATGGCAAGTGATTTTATACCGTTCTTGGGTATAGCCCCAGTTCTGACGCATTTCCTATCAGGCTAGACATCATTCGCTCATTTGCAGATCCACAAAGGCTATGTTTCTCCCGGGAGCTTCGTGAGGCCGTGGCCACTTTGAGCGACTTAAAGTTCGAGCGAGTCAATGGCTGTCCACGCGAAATGTTTCTGGTCATGGGAAATGTTATAGAACATGCCAAGGCGCATGCCATGGGCACGATAACAACACCAGAATACGAGCGACTCCTCCATGCTTGCCGGAATGAAATCTACTCATGGCGTCTAAAAACTGAGAGCTATCCGAACGATAATCCCCGCTGGCATGCAGTTGCCGAGGCATTCCGTCACGCATGCATACTGCATACATCTCGCTTGTTGGATGTCAACCAACCAGCTGAAGCGCCCATGATACAAAATTCCGTGACAGCGATTTTAGACTCATTAGCGAATATTCCTGCAGACTGCCGTCTGATCGAGTTAATGGTCATGCCGCTTTTTTTGGCTGGTGCCGATTCTTTGTCTCAGTTCGCTCGGCACTATATCCTGCTGCGATTCGACCATATCAGAGATCATGGTGGGGTGAGTAATTCCACGTCGGTCTCTCTGCTCAAATCTGTTTGGGATGCTCGAGGTCGACAGGCCAAACATGACAACAGCAATATTTCATGGGTGTGGTTTGTGAGTTGCCCTATGAAGTGTTTACTTGATCTTGGCTAACTTCTGCAGACTCGCGACGCGGAATCGGAGCGGCAACATGACTATCTTATTATATGAATTCATCCAGTACTTTCGTGCATTTAGTCTCGTGGCTGCCTTTGGATACATCCGGATTATTGTTGATATGGTTAGCTATTCGACGTTTTAATGGCGATCGCTTGAAAATACAACTTTCAATCCAGATCACGAAGAATTGGGGCGAACTCGTCGAAGATTTTACGACGCTTGTCGACTAGATCCTGGAAGACCTCCGTGGGTCCAACACTTCCACCTATAATCTCATCGCTACCCTTTTCCAATGCTTGATAGGCATCTTCAGCATACTGCTCAACCGGCATCCCCATGCCTCGTCCTTTCTCAATGCCCATATAATCGTGAAGTTCAGCTATGTGCAATATGATTAGCATGATAGATACTCTTCATTCTCATTCCACTATTGGTGGTCCGATTGAACCGAGATATCCACTTACTTGACACAAGAGGCGGAGCCAACTCGATCACTTTAACATTTGAATCCCTCAGCTGGTCTCGCAAACAGTATATAAAAGCGTTCAACGCAGCTTTAGCGGCCGAATAGGCAGGGATTCTCGACACAGGCGTCAGAGCCAGAAGCGACGTTGTACTGTCCAGAACAGATTAGAATATTAAAAGACATGTTCTGAATATGCGTACTCACAATATAAAACTTGTTGGAGTCGATCTGGACATTAAGAACGGAGTGAATGCCTGAGTTAGAGCAACGTAGCTGATAAAATCAACGTCCATCTCAGCTCTGAAATCACCCAAGTCCCCATCTTTAGGGTCAGTCAACTTGTATTTCCGTTGAGTCCCCTGATTAAGAAAGATACAGTCGAGATCTGGATGTTGAGCGATTGCACTGTTAGAAACTTGTTAGAAACCCAAATATTCCCAAATTCCGTATCTCGAAGTGTTCGCCGACTGACTCTGCGGCGAATTGTGGAGCACCGTCAATATTGCTGACGTCGTAGTTCATCCCCGAAGCCTTTTCCTCGCCGTGTTTTGCAATAAACTCGTCCAGACGCCGTTGGCGCCTTCCTACGGCAGTCACTTTGATGCCAGCTTGTATCAGACGATCGGCCAGCGCTCTGCCGATTCCGGATGTAGCACCGACGAGCAAGATGTGCTTGTATGGGAATGTCATTTTAGATGAGATCTGATCAGCCTATATGGGTTACCGAAGGGAGTATTGGATCTGAGGGCGGTCGTCGGAGCTCAAATTGACTGTTGGACTCATTAGCGGTGTGTATATGCATACAGAGAGAACCCCGCATTAGGCAGATGTATATATGCCAGTGCGGCTTGAGGTCTTAGGGTTGATGCATCAATGCTTAACTTCGGCCTGTGCGCATGAATTGTGGCTGGATAATCAAGATGTCCTATCCACGGAGTGTCTGTAGAAGTACCTAAAGTAGTTTAAGCTACCTGACATATCTGTAAACCGGATGTGCGAGCTAGTAACTGAATTATTGCAAATGTGTTATAGTGGGAGAATAATAGCCAAGCTTCAGTGCAGTTATCGTCATGTAAGATGTAGCATCAAGTATTGTAGTCGGGTTTGATTCGCAACTACCAACATGTCGAGTATTTAGGTGCATATCTGAATTAATCCAGGCCAACATTTTTGACCCGAGAAGTGCTAGCTACCTTACCATCATCTTCCCGAGATCCTACCGATGTATCTCCCTCTATAGACGATGACTCAAGGGGGTCAATAGCTGAAAGACCCGCCTTTGCCTTTGCGGCTTTCTTCTTATCGAGCCACAGAAGTAATTGAACAGTTGCGGTGCTCAAGACTAGAAGTATTGTCAGTGGGATCAAGGCTTGAATGGAGAAGGGGCTTCTTACTGAGCAATACTTGAAGTACGATCGACCAAGTATATCCCTTGGGGGCTTGGGGGAATTCTGTGGTTTTCCACACGAAATTGGGAGCCTTTGTTCGATCTCGTTAGTATGAAGCTCAAATCAGAAGAGTATACAGGGAGACTTACGACAGCTTGTACAACATAGGCAAGGTCATTAGCCATGGCAACAAGCAGCGCTCGCTTTTCTGTGTCATCGGAGCAGATCTCGTTGATCCAACTCAAGATCAAAGGGCCGGCACCGCCCTAAAAGCACTGTTAGATGTGACGGTTGAACCATTGGTATAATGGCAGACTTACACCAATATTGCTCAGCCAATAAATAACCGTACGGCCGTTGAGATTCGTGTAAAACGGCATTTTCATCATTAGGGAGGCGAAGATAAGCTGTGCAGTAGAAATAATCATTAGCCATTTGCCACCGCATGAAAGGTACTCGGCAGATATAAACCCTTTAAACTTACAGTAGTAATGGCACCGGCATAAATAAATGGCCAGCGAGCTCCTCGACATGGCCCATCGGAAAGCCACGCCCAAGCCAATGACATGGCGATGAGTACACCCGTGGTAGGGAGAGGTACTTGTATATAAAATTAGCTATTTTTAATAGAACAAAGAATCCCAGGTCAAACTCACAGTTATTGATCTGTGCGACAGTGTAGGATGTCCCGGGGAGAGGAGCAGGGTCGGCATTAAAGCTCTTCAGCCAATAACCCATAGCAGGCTGAGGAATGCCATTGTTCCAAAGGATGTATAGCAATGCTGTGGAGCATGGTCAGTATAGTCCCAGGATAAAGGCGTAGACCACGACTCACGAAGAAGATAAGTATGCCAACTCAGCAGGATTCCTTTCACCTTTGCCTTAGTCCAAGGCTGCTTCCCGGCACGTCCAATCTTCTGCATTCTTTTGACTGACAAAAGATGTTCGTCTTGGGTTGTCCACCATGTCTTCTTGCCGCTTTGTGGTAGGTTCGGGAAGAATACATATCCAAGGAGCGCAAGTGGTAATGTAATGATACCGTCGATAATGAAAAGCCAACGCCCTATTCTCACGAGTTAGCGGTTATTTCCTGGGATAAAGAAAATATAGAAGCGTTGCAGTCACATACATCCAGCGTAACCATGTGTCCCGTTCAAATTAGTGTATGCAGCGGCCTGGAGGAAACCGCTGAACAAAGTGCCAACTGAACCGGCAAGCCAGAAGATCATAGCCCTCTTTCCAATTTCTTGGGGTGTGTACCATGACCCTAGTAAGTAATGAATACCAGGGTAAAATCCTGATCTATAGCGGCGTCAGTTACTCGCCACTTGACAGTGAATAGAATTTTGGGGTATTAACATACTCAAAAAATCCGACAAGAAAACGCAAAGCATACAGAGCTTGATATGATTTGACGCTTGATGTACAGATAGTCGCGAGTCCCCATCCTACCTCCAGCGAGGGGATGACCCATCGAGGTGAGACTCTGGTTAACAATAAGTTGGATGGAATTTGGCCAATGACATATCCCACGGTCCAGATAGATGTGCCTATAAAAGTCGTTAGAAAATACCGGAACACTTTTCGGCTTTTTCCAAAACAGAACGGAAAAGCACTTCGGGCGAGAGCAAAAGCACGTACTAGTCACTAGTTGATTGCCAAACATCTCGAGATCTTCCTGCATGCCACTGAGAAAGGCATTGTTGACATTTGACTGGTCGATATTCTTCAAAAAATAACCGAGAGATGCGAATGTGAGGACGAAAGCATCTACTTTAAACAGCATCCAGCGCTGATCTGGTGGAAGCTCCCATGTATCCCATACATAACTTTTCCATGACCTGGCAGGCTTTATAACATCATCTCCCTGGGTATTGTTGGTCTGGTTCTCCGCATCTATGCTGTAAACTGAGGCGGCTGTCACTTGTTGAGAATCGCCCGCGGTTCCCATTGTGTTTTAGGAGTTTTGTAATGCCGAAAACCCCCCAGCGCGTATGTGGATAACTGTACAAGACGTTTCGGTAGGGATTAATCTTAGCGATGCTACTGATTTTATACGACTAGTGAGATATGTCCTCAGCGGGCCTAGTAATCGCGTCACTGAGGGATCCAACAATCATTCCGCGCCGATATCTAGATGGTGAGGAGAATTCTAGGCAATAAACCCGACAGTAATCTTGGTTGTATCCTATAGGTTTATCTAGCGGGTCCCTAGCACATAAGCATGGCGATTATTCGGGGTAACTTGCGCAATAACTCACGCAATTTAGTTTAGATCTTGCAAGCTCTCGATAAAAGGAGATAGCAGCATTACTAGTGCTGAGTCTATCTCTAAGGTCACGAAAAGACTTGAATTATTTTGCTGATAGAGCCGGGTCTCTCTTAAGGTTACGTGCTAAGACGCAATCCTTCAGTATCTTACGTGCTACCAACAGCATAGACTCGAAAAATATATGTAGCTATTAAAGAACAACTCTTCTTTTCAGATCTCATGCTGGCACACCGTGGTATCAAAAGGACATCTAATTGTCGGAATCACCTTAGGTCCTGAAACAACTATGCCAAAAGATATCCAAGCCAGGAGTAGATCTATGTTCAGGTAAGCAAGCCACTCTGTGATAAAAGGAGGATTGAATAACCACATCAATTGCATTACCCAGAGCTTTTCTATTGCTATGACATGAATACATTAGATGGCCCAATCGGTCTCAACTGTTCCAAACACGCTCGCATGGAATCCCAGGAATAGCTGTGCGGTAATCTGGGAATATGAAGACATTCTCGAGATATATTTATGGGGTTGTTAAATCAACTTGTCAAATATGGGACTTATAACACAGCCAATAAATAAGCATTCAGATATCCTCCGAATATATTTCAAGTAGTAAAATCCGTTCGAATGGGGAATAGCGTCAAATTCCAGCCTTTCTCCGCGAGTGATAATTGCAGGTGAAGGCTCGTGCGTCAAGTTGCCAAGTCTCGGCCTGCAATATTTTGAATATTTTCATCGCCTTTTGAAATAGCTAAAAGGGCTAGAATCTGATGTCGAAGGTCCCGTGCAGGTACTTTAGGTACAGCCCTGGAGGCATATGTTCTTAGATAATCAAGGGTACCACAGATGTTATCAACTTTCTTCGTGGATACAACTCTCGTGGTGATCGACCTAAGAGCCATATTTAAGCCAATGAAGAAATATCGAGGGCTTGGTGGTTGCCGCTAATTCCCCTTGCAGGGGGTGGTCCTACCCCTCGTGGCGTCAAATTCCTTGTTTACTTTCCTTCACTTACTCTCCTACGTAGCTACCGACGGCATCTTCTCTTCTATCGCCAATTTATATAAACTCAGAGAAGCATCATCCCTCGCTGCTTATGGATGCTAAACATTCCCCTAGCTCAGTTGTCCCTACGGGCACAGCGGGCACAGCGGGCAAGAACAAGCATCGGACGAACTCCTTGCTGGCGGAGGAAAGATCGATCCGAAATGGAGACCAAGATCTCTTACAGGGAGAGAAAGTAGACGAGGTTCTTGCTGCCAAGATGGCACTCATCAATGATGTGGGAAATATCCTCGCACTATGAAAGAGACATGCAACTAACTCGGGGCCGCTTGTCCCCCATAGACTATTGATGAGATTGGTTTCACACCTCACCACTGGAAACTGTTTTGCCTGAACGGATTTGGGTATGCAGTTGACTCTCTCATTGTCTTGATCCAGTCCATCATCTCGACCCAAGCCAGGTTGGAGTTCAAACCATCATATTCCACCGGGCTCACCATCGCAGTTTATGTCGGTATGTTGGTGGGCGCCATTTTCTGGGGGTTTTCGGCGGACATTATCGGCCGGCGGTTTGCCTTCAACTTCTCCCTGCTTGTTTCGTCGATCTTCACTATCGTCGCGGGGGCTGCTCCCTCTTGGGTCACCTTGGGTTTGTTTGTCTGTCTGAGCGCCTTTGGTGCTGGCGGAAACCTAGTTCTGGATACCACGGTCTTTCTCGAATATCTTCCCGGCAAGGAACAGTGGCTGCTGACACTCATGGCGGCGTGGTGGGGTGAGCTTACACTCCCAATAAGCCTGTCGAGACTCTGAACTGATTCTCACTTAATAGGTCTGGGTCAACTCATCGCAGGTCTGTTTGCTTGGGCATTTCTTCCCAATTTCTCCTGCAGTGACGCAGCTACATGTACTCGTGACAACAACCAGGGATGGCGCTATGTATGGTACACGTCCGGCGCCTTGGTGTTTGTTCTCTCCATCCTCCGTGTGACCATTATCCGCCTTGAAGAAACCCCCAAGTTCCTCATTTCCGAGGGCAAAGACGAGCAAGCAGTAGGGGTTCTACGCAACATTGCCAATCGACATAATCGCCCATGCAGTCTCACCATCGAGAAGCTTCAGACATGCGGACAAATCGCTCATCGCAGGGCTCCAGGATCTGGTTGGTTTGTGCGGCTCATCTCCCTAGGCGAAGTGTCGTTTCATCTCCGTGGACTACTTGCGACTCGCAAAATGGCCCTGTCAACATCCCTGGTCTGGCTCTCATGGCTCCTCATCGGCCTCGCCTATCCGCTTTACAACGTGTTTCTCCCCACCTATCTTGCATCGCGGGGCGCAACCTTCGGACAGAGCAGCCCATATATTACCTGGCGGAACTATGCCATCAACAATACCTGTGGTATCTTTGGTCCTGTTCTGGCAGGATTCATGTGTCGCTCGCCCTGGTTTTGGGGCCGTCGGGGAACTATGATCATCGGAGCTGTGGTCACCATGATTTTCTTTTTCTGTTATACGCAAGTGCGCACTGCGGATCAGAATTTGGGCTTTACGTGCGCTATTTCTTTCTGCTTGAATGTTTACTATGGTACCCTATATGCTTACACCCCGGAGGTATGTGCTTTCTAATTGTTATTAACTCTATGATCCCGTATCTAATTGCTCGATAGGTCTTTCCCTCTGCCCATCGGGGCACAGGAAATGGTGTTGCTATTGGGCTCAATCGGATCATGGGAATTGTCAGTGCCGTTGTCGGCCAGGCGGCAAATGTAAGGATTTATTCTTTGCTCTCTCGAGGAAAATGCTTATATTTTTAATAGACCAGTACGCCCGTGCCTATTTATATATGCGCTGCCCTTTACATTGTGATGGCGATTGTTGCTGGAGCCTTACCTTTTGAACCGTATGGCCGACGAAGCAGCTGAAGATCAAGTACTTTGGTTGAGCCTAAAGCAGTCGCGTGTGGATGGATTTGTTCAATCCAATCAGAGGAGCTCATTTTGCTGCTCATCGTGGCAGCTTAGCCACCCACATCGCATTTATATTTAAGAAAATATCAAAGATTTGGCCTAATTACCAGCCCCTGTTGATTGAACTATAAAGCAGATTGGTATTTAAGGCCAAATTACCTAGAATAACTAATATCCAGTCGTCAACATCAAAGCAGTCGACACACCGGTAATCGCTAGCAACCGCTCACTGAGCAGCCAGCGGCAAATCTGCTCATCTCTCCATTGCCTGCGCTGCTCTTTCTCTCATGCCATTTTCCCACTGATCCCATGCCAGTGTATGAATCACAGTATCTCTCCACAAATCCTCAGGATCACTCCCAGGTGGCGGCTCCCTGCCATTTCCGACTTTCCCATTTATCTTGCCTTTCACAAACCGCATATGCCAAGGTATGATCCCAACCTTCTCAAATCCCATCCTTTGCGCAAGTCTAGAACTAGCAGGGTTCATCGTGCTAGCCATCCAATGTACCCTGCGTAATCCAAGCCCTCCGTTCTCCGTAGACTCAAAGGCAAGCTGTAAAGCAAGTCCAGCGGCATTAGTTGCCACATGGGTTCGCTGGTACGGAGGCAGGATGACAATAAATCCAATCTCTGTGCACAGGTTTACCGGCGACGTGCGAATAAAGCTCACAGTACCAGCTAGTTCACCTTCTGGATCTTCCGGTGATGGAGGTCGTGTCTTGTCTATAATCGCAAAGGCGAATGACTCTGGGTTGGAGAAGGACAGAATGTGGCTTGTGGAATTACTGTAGAATAGGGATTTGAATTCGGCTGCTGAAGCCGGGGAGGTCATTGGCATGTGTGTGTATACCTCGGGCGTTGATAGACGGAAGAAAGTTTCACAGTGTTGCTCTGGATTGAAGGGGATGAGCTTGACACGTTCATTGGAAGTCTCTCCCACGTGGAAGGGGAAGACAGATACTGAGGCCATTTTTGGCCGATGGGGCAATTTGTTTGGGGTGAAGTTAGGTGGCTTTGGTGACTCGATGAGAGAGTATATTCCTAACCAGCTCTGTGCGATAAGTTGCGCAACAAATTGGTCTGAATAGGTTCTCACGGGGTGAGGTAGTGAGTCACACCTCTTGGTGGAGATATCGATAGACACGGGCCATTTTATATGTCGTTTCCGATACATTTTAATGTTCCGCTTTTCGGAGTATTCACCTCTTTGCTGACAGCTTCATGCGCCCACCTCTGTATGATACCTAATACTCTCGTATTTCCGTACTTTGTCATTGGACCTCAATTCCACGTTCTTTTCCCAAAACATAAAAAGGGAGCAAATCCAATATTTCACTATTGATTTGTATCGCGCGGCGTCAGGCATATTTGCATTCTCAATCACCTTGATACGTTGCTACCACTCTTTTTGGTAGCAACAACAAAATTGACAGAGGAATCATGGAGTCATTCGCTGCTTCAAAGCCGAGGCCTACCGATATAGGCAATAGTCGTGAGATCGAAGAAGCAGCACTTTCATAATAGCGCTAAGGCAGAGTTAGGAAGTTGGTCATCGACCAACAGACTAGGATCCACAGCTCGTGTCCAAACAGACACTCGGAAACTGTTGATGTAGCATTCCACCGTCAATCAGTGGTCCCCGACAATGAAAGACTAGCGTCGGTCAAATTATGACTAGCGCTTACTTTGAAAGAACGCCCTTAGGGCCAGGTAAGCAGGACCCTTTACGGAGTACGTGGGCCGCTTTTGCAAACTCTCTAACATTTGCTTATTCTCCTAAATCAATCTTGGCATGGATTGACTGGTTGGAGAATATCCTTAACAGTTTCACGGTGCCAATCAGTGGGAAATAGCTGGATTTTCTCTTTGAGCTGAACGCTATTAATCGTGGTCATGTTAAGCAAGACCAAACTATCTCCGAAATTGCTTCGCGCTACCTTTATGGTCATGGTAACTTGCTTGGGGACTATGACATTACTAGGACTTCGAAGCATGAGCAGTTTCAACACTTCGGATCTTGGGTTTGCTGTTGGAGCTGGGAACGGGAAGCATGTTGATTGGTCGCGATTTGCGTATACCCAATATGCCACCGACCGGTTTTATTTGTGCAATTCGCTCATGCTGTTTGAGAGTCTCCACCGGCTTGGCAGCAAGGCTGATCGCGTGTTGATGTACCCCTCTGAGTGGCCCGTATCTGAGGAAATTTTAAAGGAGAGTCGTATGCTTCGCTACGCACGGCACCATTATGGGGTTAAGCTCAAGCCAATTGAGATACAGATAAAGTTTGGGAGTGATAGTGAGTGACCTCAGCTCATACGGTATCGAAGAGCACTTGGTCGGATCCAACTTGAAGCTAACCCTACAATATCTTTGTTAGAGACGTGGTCAAAGAGCTACACAAAGCTGCTCGCGTTTAACCAAACAGAATATGGCCGTATTCTTAACTTGGATTCAGATGCAACCATTCTGCAAGTGCGTAGATTGGTTCACAACTTGCCTATTAGAACAAAGACTGACCTTTATTCAGACTATGGACGAGTTATTCCTAGCCCCGTCCAGCTCCGTCGCCATGCCCTTAGCCTACTGGAAAGTTAAGGAAAAAGGAGTTTTTACCTCTGCTCTCATTCTGATTCAACCGTCTGCGGCTGCATTTGATCGCACTATGGATGCAATTTCTACTGCCAACTCTAGTACATTTGACATGGAAATTATGAACAACATATACAAAGAAACTACACTTACTATACCACATCGGCCGTATATTCTTCTGACTGGAGAATTCCGCTCTAATACACACGAGGCATATCTAGGGAATTCCGGGGAAACGTGGGATGCCGAAAAGGTCTTTAAGGAGACTAAATATTTGCATTTTTCTGACTGGCCTGTTCCTAAGGTTTGTCAGACTTCAAAGTAGACATCACCAATAATTGCTAGAAAGGCTAACTTTGGTAGCCATGGATTAAACCTCACCCTGGTGTGGTGGAAGAATATCAGCCTCCATGCGAGTTGAACCCGGCAACTGGTCAGAAAGATGACTGCCGCGCCAAAAACCTTTGGTTGGAAATTTACGAGGATTTTAGGACTAGACGAGAGGTATTCAGGTTTCCCTTCATATACATTAACTCCATCAAGTTTACTAACCTTGGTTAGAATATATGTGACACTGCTGTAAGAGAAGGCGGATATCCTGAAGGGGTTTCATAGATCTGCTCAACCCCATTGCACTTTCAAAGATTCACGATATAAAATTCGCCTACCATCGAATGCTGGACGTTCATATATTGATGGTGACTTTAGATTAATGAAGACCAAAGTGTGAATCATAATTCCATATAAACAAAAATACTGGGCCGCATAAGCGGCCCCGTGATATCTTTTCAGTAGTCTTCTCAGGTATCATTCTGTGCAGATGCTTTGTCAAGTTTAGAGCTCGACGGCGAAAAAGGCAAGGAAATGTTTAATTGGTGCTGCTAAGTATAACCTTTAATATTACATCTATATGGTCGTTTTATCAAACTGACCCCAAAAAGTCTGAGATAATTCTTCAGTAATATATTCATGGCAAATAAAATGTGTCTGTGCATGGTTTATTGCGGCAAAAGAAGTGACTGTAAATAGTTAATGCGCAGACTGTTTGCCTACTATTTCTTTAAATAGTCTCATCAACATGGCTCCAACAAAATCTGACATCAAGGCTCGCCTTCCCATCCGCAAGCGAGAGGCTATCAAGAGTCACTCCATAGACGAAGAGACGTTGTTGATTTGGAAGGTAGTCAAGCTGACCAACGAAGAAGTAACATCACCCCGTCCTCAATTTGATTGATTGATACAATATACCGATTCACATTACTTCCAGGTGAACAACCCGGCTCTAGCTGAGGAACTCAACATAAATTGCCTACGGCTCGCATGCGGTGGACCCGATTGAAGGCCAGACTTATAGCCTTCGAGAAGGCAGCCGAAGCCAAGACTGCAGCTACCGCTACCGCTGCTGACAGCTCTGTCACCCAGCCCTCGCTAATACTACGGAACATTTTGGTGACACTGAGGATCACAAGGAGGCGAAAGACTCTGATAACGCGAATGATGCCAACGAAGACAAGGATGCTGAATGAGCACCCCAAGGATTGATATTGTGTGTCCTTGTCTGTGGGATGTTTTTGAGACGTGACTTTGCGGATTGTACCCTACCAAGTCAGATCTTCGATAGTGTATATCATCTACTTAGCTCGGTACACAATTTCTATTGGGGCTTGCGAGGTCCAGAAATATACGCACTTCGCACACCATCACTCCAGGCTTACGATGCACAAACCCAGTCCTCCTTTATCCCTCGATATGCACCGTACCTTGAAGATTACCGGTGATGGCACAGCAGCTCACTCTTTTTGATATGTTACTTACTGTACACAGGGGCTATATGCGCTTATCCAGAGTGGCTATAGCAAAGGTCTGGTGAAGATCGGTGATGATGGGGATGCACTATCCAGCACTAGCTAGAATCGTGAACGGGCTTGTTTCGCAGACGACTAGCCGGTCGACTATCTCTGTTGCTTATCTCCCTCCATCGGTGAATAATCCTGCGGTGCGCAGGCCGGATATCGTATTGCGAGAGAGGTGTTGCGATAGGCGCCGGTTATTCGGCTGGAAGAGGGATTGCGGAGAACAATCCAGTGGCATATCAATGAGGGGCGGTCTGGCTGGTTGGCGGGTTATTGGTGGGTAGTTGCATCGTGTTCTCGGTTATAGCTTCCGAGGTCACTTGCCTGTTGGAGCATTTCTTTACTCAATAATGTCTGTTTGGGCTGTGGTCGGTCCTCGGACTCCAAAGCCTTTCCGATACCCCTCTATGTCGCCTGTCTCTAATGCGTGTGACAAGTACGAGGTCGATTTTGAAATCAAAGCGCGATCCCCAGAGATTCTTATCGATAATCTCTATCTGTCGAAGTATCCAACCTATCACATCCACGTTGGAGTCAACGAACGTGGGTCCGACAAAGATTTCCTCTTTGGGATTAGCTTATCGCGGCCAAGTATGAACTTCACGATGTGCGACAAGGTGAGACTCGCCAATCACGGCGTTATGTATGGGCTATTTTTCAAGTACCAGTGCCCATAATTCTGCAGCTGGGTTCTTGGCTATGGCGGGGTGAGTATATATAACACCCATCCCCCAGCACAAGACCCAGTCCAAATCGAATATCTTCAGTGGCTATCGCTTGGTTCATCCTTCTCTGTTTATACACCAACCTTTCAGTACAATCAGTCCATACAATGGGTGACTATACACCAGAAGTGGCAGCGGCTCCAGTAGCTACCCCATCCGAGAAGCAGGTCGACACCGCTGGCATCAAATCTTCCAGCGGAGTCCTTTACCACCAGCTGCGGAATGAACCCTTGAACATTGTCGGTGGTCGAGACAGCTACTTGATCACCGAGGATGGTCTGGAAATTTTAGATGCGACATGCGGTGCAGCTGTATCCTGCCTGGGTCACAGCGACGAGCGCGTCCACGAAGCCATTTTGGACCAGCTGAAGAAAATCCCCTACTGCTACTCCATGTTTTTCACCAACAGTGCTGCAGAGAGTTTGGCAAAATTCTTGGTAGACTCAACCGGAGGCAAGATGTCTCGTGCCTACATTGTGAGCTCGGGTAAGAAACCTGTTCATGCGGAATCAAGATTGGTTACTAAAATCACAATAGGTACCGAAGCTGTTGAGGCTGCTGTGAAGATGGCCATTCAGTATTTCACAGAGCTGCCCGTCCCTGAGCCCCAGCGGGTGAACTTCATTTCTCGAAAGTCATCCTACCACGGAAATACCCTCGGGTCACTTGCTGTTGGACACCACGCCGCCCGTCGGAGAATCTATGAAAGTATTCTTTCAAAGAATATCCACCATGTGCCCCAATGCTATCCCTACCGCAGAATGAATGTCAATGAGAGTAACGAAGAGTACGTCGCAAGACTAGCCCAAGAATTGGAGGACGAGTTCCAAAGACTTGGCCCCAACACTGTCTGTGCATTCGTCGCCGAGACAATGCCAGGTGCTGTGAGTACAACCCCATCCCACCATACTAAACATGCTAACTGTCTTTTTAGACACTTGGCTGTGTCCCTCCATTGCCCGGCTACCTCAAGGCACTAAAGGCCGTCTGCGAGCGACACGGGGCACTCTTCATCCTAGACGAAGTAATGTCCGGCATGGGCCGCACCGGAACACTTCATGCTTGGGAGCAAGAAGATGTCGTCCCTGATCTTCAAACAATTGCTAAAGGACTCGGCGCGGGTTATGCCCCGATCGCCGGGTTGCTCATCAACAAGCACGTCGTCGATACTCTGAACAAGGGCACTGGCGCGTTTGTCCACAGTCAGACATACCAGGGCCACCCAGTTGCCTGTGCGGCTGCATATAAGGTGCAGCAAATTATAAAAGAAGATAACCTGCTGCCGAATGTGCGGGCCATGGGAGAATACCTGGGTCAGCGCCTTCATGAGCGTTTGGATAGTCACCCTCATGTGGGTGATATTCGAGGCAGGGGCTTGTTCTGGGCTGTTAGTTTTTCTCATGTTTTATTTTTGATATTTCAAGTGACTGACATGGTTATAGATGGAATTTGTTCAGGATAAAGAGACGAAAGAGCCATATCCGCCTTCAAAGGCGCTTTCTCGGACTCTACATGCGACAGGGCTCAAGCCTGGACATGCAATTTCGTTGATGCCTGGAAATGGCGGTATTGATGGTGCTAATGGTGACCATATTATTCTGGCGCCGGCTTATAATACTACTCGTGAGGAGATCGATTTGATTGTCGACCGGACTGTTGGGGTTATTCAGGAGGTTCTGGGGTAGGGTTCTTTATTTGAAGTAGTCTCTATTATATTTTCTGGTTATTAGCTTAGTTGAACTGTCATTTGTTTAATCAATGAGAATGGATGGGTACTGAAGCATGTTTGGCAACAGATCAATGTCGCAGTATCATCTTCCCCTCAATTTATAGCCACTCTTCCTTCACCCTCGCTTCCGGTGGTTCTTATATGTGCATAAATCCTATCATATCTTATATAAATTTAGTCTAGTCTATCGTTATTGCAATATATACGATTGGATATAATTGGTCAGTCATCAGGTGACTGTTATATTGGCCCCAGATAAGGCTGCGGGGCACCCGTTAATATATAATCCATGCTCCTACTCTCGTTAGTTGTCGATCTTCCATTAGTCAATAGTACATTGGTTTGTTGATCCAGATGCCTCGAGGCGACAAATTCTCACGGTCACGGACTGGTATGGCTGCTCATCCTAGGGCGAAGTGCAAGTGCTGATATAAATGTGGGAACAGGATGTCTGCAATGCCGAAAGAAGCACAATAAATGTGACGAAAAACAGCCGGAATGCTCATTTTGTGCTTCGCGGGGTTTAGAGTGCAAATATGCATCCGGTATAAAATGGGTTCGACCAAAAGAGCCAATGCCGACCAGGCATAAACCTCGCTCCAAAGACAGAGCAATTGAACAAAACATGCTAGGGCAACCTTCAGCACTTTTCGCAGAGACATTTTTTGAATCTGCAGAGGACAAATCTGCCTGGGAATATTGTACGTGGTCTCATGGTATGTAATTGGAATTGGAATTATCTAATCGAGAATACTTTGACAGACATAAGCCTCGTTTCATCGAATGTCCCTGCTGTAGATGGCCCAGACAACCCTTACCGGCAGCTCTCCATCCCAGCTCTATCATCACCAATTCTCCTAGAGACCATTGTCTGTATATCGACAGAACATATGCTCAACTTCGGATTAACCAGCATTGACATTGCAGCCAAGCGTCAGCAGCGAATGCTCAGAACGCTCGGACAAAACCTTCTCAGCATCGACGCTGAGGGCGCCTGCGATACAACAATAGTAACCAGTAACAAGCATGAGCGAGAAGCACTCCTCACAGCCGTCGTCTTACAGGGGATCGTGGTCGCACAAACAGCAGATGGCGTATTGGAGCCCCACGTCAAATGCGCTTCTTGGCTCATGCAAGCACTAGGCTACTTTGATGAAATCCCACAAAACCCCATCACACGCATGGCAGTACAACGCTTCGGCATGGTTGATGTAATGCTAGCTATCTCACGACAGCGAAGACCGTACGCACCGCAAAATTTCATACTCAACCAGCCTGACCACAATCGCTGGGACACCACCGAGCCCTCATTCCACAAGATGACAGGATGTCCACAACCACTAATGTGCTTCCTAGTGCGAATAGCGCATCTAGCCTGCGATGTGAGTGAGGGACTCGAAACGAATACAGATGAAAGCGCGATTCTCAACGAAGCTTTCAAACTCGACACCGAGCTTCGCGCCTGGGGATCTGGATACAGTGGAATCCCGGTGCAATGTGAGCGGTCGCCTCTGGATATCCTCACCGAGTGTTTTTATTGGACTGCACATTTACTACTTGCTCGTCGGGTATTTCGAGATCAGACGTGCTCGCCGCGGGTGCAGCATTTGGTGCGTGTATGCTTTGGGCTGATGGATCATCTGTCGACAGGATGTGGGCCTGATTCATCGCTACCTCAACCGTTTTACATTGCTGCGAGGGAGGCTATATCATCGGACGATCGTGCGTGGGTTCGACAGAAGCATGAGTCTATGACGGCATATTATAGGGAGCAGCAGCGGAACTCGGCAATGGAGCTTATTGAGCAGATCTGGGAAACGACGGATAAATTACGGGAGTTGGGGAATGGATCTGGTTGGTCGAGGGAGATTGAACTGTCAATAGTGGATAATTATGTGCAAGCGCTTGATAGAGGGGCTTGTTTCTTTATTTTTTAAGTTCATTTTATATTAGGGGCTTTCTACTCGGGTATCGGGTAATTATGGATGAACCGGTTCAAGCTTTGAAACAATGAACTATCCCAGGGGTATTTACCTAGATGGGAATAAATCGGGATCTCGCATGTCAACAATGGCAGATAGGGTACTTACACATGCCGAGTTCACGAAGATTACTACCAAAAAAAAAAGTACGGAATACGGAGTACTCCGTACGGAGTCGTGCGTCAAGGGCTAACTGTACTCCATAAACTGCTAGATGATAGGCTAAAATGGAATTCCCGGATTTGGAGATTGCTTGAAGAGGTGAATTAACACAATGTGTATCTGTATATAGAAGTACAAAGTGTAGATCATACTTAGAAAGAGAAAAAGATCAAAAGGAGAGTCGAGAGAGAGTCTGGAATGACCTGTCATCCTCATTTCAACCAATCATAATCAATACCGGAGCGGGTACCTGAATGTTTTCTTTGGTCCGCGGAACTGCACGTGTAACTGAAATTTGATTGGTTAAAATTACTTGGACTAAGCCCCCCTAGAAAACTGTGGGTGTCCAATAGTCCACTTCAACTTGCAGGGGAAAACTTCCAGGGGAAAAGACCTTGGAACTTCTCTTAACTAGGCTCCTGTCAAACGCACATACATTGTTTCAGATTCGATCTTGGATTGCCGTTCAAATCCAATGTTATGGATGTAGTTAACGCCACTATTCTCTAGTAGTATGGAGTACTTCTATACAATTCTGCCCCTGATGGGGTAACACAAGTAAGGGGAACACTCGTACCCCTCTTCAAAACACAACTCCGGACTCGCTGGCTTATGCAGGTCAACGCAGGGGCCAAACGCATTTTCCCACTCTCCATACTTCAAATACAGGACCCAAATGGAACACATACAATTTCTGGTTCAAATCCATAACAAAAGAAAAACAAGAAATAGTAAAAAAAAAACGTAAGAGAACTAAAAAAAGATCCGAGAAATCGAGGCCCTGACGAAAAAAAAAAAAAATAACAATGGGGCCCCCACGAGGTGCCAATAGTTCAGAAAGCCCCGGTGTATCCATCTCTTATGCCCGGTTCCCCTTGTAGTCAGCATCCCCATCTCCTGATCCGCTTTCTTCTTGTTCTTGTTTCCTATTCTCTCCATTCTTTTCTTTCTTTTTGCGTCCGTTTCACTCTTTCACGGCGACATTATATCACTCTTTCTACATTCGTTTTCTCGGTTTTATCCCCGCCGTTCCCGCCCCGTTGATCGATTCAACCCGGGTATTAGCCATCCTTGAGTCTTCATTGATTCTTGTCGATATAGGGTGAAATTATTCCCCTGCCATTCGTTTCCCAGCTGCTTCGGCCAGCCTTTCTATTTATCCCCTCTTTTTTTTTGGACGCCTCTGCGACGCGCCCTTTCAACCCAACCACCCAGTCTCTGACGTGGACACCCTCGAACGCGAGATCCCTACGCTAGACATCCATTCATTTTACACTTCACACTCTCGCGCCTGTGGCTGCTTCAGAGAATTAAGACATCCAACACTTACCGATCACATCTATCCCATTATCTGTCGGCCGGATCGTCACACACCGTACCTTTGATTTCCGAAAAAAAAAAACCTATATACGCAACCCAAAAAAACTGCATATCGAATACCGTGAACACAATTCCAATTTTGTGCGATTTACTTTCTACCGTACCACGTTACATTATGTCTTCGTTGACAGAAATGCATTACCCGCCAAGCGGCGCAACTGTGCCCACGGCATCCTCTTCCTCGCCTCCAGCTTCCACCCCCTCTCCCTCGACCTCGAGTGCTACCACGGCGCATTCTTCTGCGCGCCGACCTCCTCGCAAAAGCACTCTGACTCAACAACAGAAAAACAACAAACGTCAACGCGCAACTCAGGATCAGCTTGTCCTTTTGGAGATCGAATTCAACAAGAACCCGACACCCACTGCGGCTACCAGAGAACGTATTGCTTCGGATATTAACATGACGGAGCGATCTGTTCAAATCTGGTTCCAAAATCGGTAGGTTCTACACAGGATCGTGTTTCTATCTCTATCTTTACTGACGCAAAGATAGTCGCGCCAAAATCAAGATGCTGGCGAAAAAGAGCATTGAGACTGGCGAAGGATGCGATTCTATTCCAGAATCCATGCGACACTATCTCGCAATGCAGTTTGACCCCAACAAGCCTGGCGCAAGAGACCCCTTTGGCCGTGCTGGCGCATATGGCCCGCCTAGCATGTACGCGAACGAGACTAACCCTTCTGGCAAAGTTGGTATGTTGATGGCGCCCCTGTGATACACCGTCTATTGAACTAATTGGTATTTCTAGTGATCTCTCATTTCACTTGTCGTTCCTTGACTGTCGGCAGCTGGCGGCGCATTGGACAGAACGCCATGGACTTGGTTGTTTTCTATTCCCCTGATAAGGCATGCATGACTTATTATATCAACAACGATGCTGCCGGCTATAAGATCGAGTATCCGTTCGCCTATATCAAGAATATCACCTTGGAAACCGGTGATCCGAACCCTGGGCCGAATGGGGAACCACCTCGACAAGGTGGTCTCGTCGTAGAGTTGAACCGTCCACCGCACTTTTACATGGATTCATCCAACTCTGGAGGGTTCTACCAGTGTGGTGATTTCACCGAGGAGCAGCAAGCTAGTCAGATCATGGTTCATCATCTGGGAGGCCATCCCAAGGTCTTGAGTGTCCAACTTGCCAAGCTTGTGTCGTTGGAGTCCTTCCAGAATCGCCTGGCTTATAATAACCCCAGTTTCGCTGTGCCGGCTCCGATGTCCCCACCATTCATCCAGCGCCCTGCGTCTCAGCCTAACCAGTTTGCCGCTCCCACTTACGTGAACCCGTACCAGGACAGCAACCACTTGGGCTTCAATATGCCAGCTGCTCGTGGCCACAAACGCCAACGAAGCCGTTCAGTACCTGTTGCAATTGACTTCTCGTCACTCCAGGGTCCAATTTCTTCATTCCACGTGCCACCCCCTCCACCCCCATTCAACCACACCGAGGCCGGCATCTATGCCCCTGTTCCACAGTCAGTGCACCATCTCCCTACCGACCTCCGCATCGACACCCAAGGCTATGGACTGGATTTCCATACCAATCCCATGTCTGCGGCGACAACCACTGGATCCCCTCCCGACTTCGCCAGTCCTATGTACAGCAATGCCGGGCAGGGCGAGATTACGCCAGTTGCCAGCATGGCGCCTCAATTCAACGTACCCTTCGTTTCGACAGGATCAACCGATACCTCGACAATGGGCTCCCACGCACCATCACCTTACTCCAGCATGAGCCCTGCAGACCCACTTATTGCAAACCACTCGCCCCCACTGTCTAGCATGTCACACAGCTCGTCCGATATGTATAGCTTCTCGCATGACCAGCAGACTAGCTTCGATGACAGTCTCTCGATGAACGATATGTACTCGAAGCATCATGCCAATTTTGGCGTTTCGCACGACAGTCCCAGCTTCGAACTGCCCATGCACGGCCTCTCTGCACACCCTTCTCCCGGCATGGGCGATTACTCCCACGGTATGGCCAACCTGGACGAGATCAACTCGCAGGGTATGCCAACCGGGTCATGAGTTTGTGTTTCTCCTTTTATCTCTTGATGTTTCACGGCCTTTTCTGTGCATGCGGCGCTTATACTTGTCGATGGGTTCTTTGGGCTTTTCAACTTGGGAAATTTCTTCATTGTCCAATATCAAGAGGCGTAGGTGTTGGGTTTCGGTATTTTGCAAAACCCATCCACTGCTCTCTCTTTGGATTCTCGTCTCGCTGGCGATGGCTAGGGAAGCGATTTTACCTTTGTGTTTCTTGCGTGACATACCCTGTCTTGTTGTATTAAAATACCCTTTCTATTCTGGGGCCGGTCCTGAAGCGATTTTTGTTTTTGTTCCTGTTTTCCCGGCTGTCCCGGTTGAATCCAGGACCTTTTTTTCCTTCTTCTTTTCTGGTCAATTTACTCTTCTTTTTCTTCTTATGACCGACTTTCTTCTTTTCTCAATTTTTTTTTTTATTTTCAGCTTTTCAATCTTCTTTTTTCTTTTACGTGGTTATGCCAAACAGACCGACTTGGACTGCGACTCCATTCCCGTCGATTTTCTTTTTTTCTTTTTCATTTTTCATTGAGGATAGTGCTAGATTCGCGTTTGCGCTGTGCTCCTGTTACAATGGTCCGTTTACATATGGGTCTGGAGTCGAAATTTTGCACATGAGCTTGTTCTGTCGGCACCTGTTTGGGTCTGATATCCAGCTAATGCTGATCCTCTGGGCTGCGCAGAGTTGTGATATCTTCTGCTCGAGACTTTATAGGACAGTCGCTGAGCTGGCGGCATACGAGTGTGGGGGATTGACGCTAGACTCTAAATCAATTCATTTTGTATCGCATGCAGATCCGTGTAGATTGTAGTCGTGGTTCACTCGCACTATACTGTACATATTATTATACAAGGGTATCTCAAATATCTCATCAACCCATCACGACATATCTACAACTGCTTTTGCTTCTCCCACCCCATCGGCAAAGGCGCAACACACCCTCGCTTTTCTCTAAGGAACCATTCAATCCAAACCTCCATCTTCTCCAGAATGTTCCGCTCCGGCTTCCCCTTCATCCCAACATCAAACACCCCCTCTTTACACCAAACACTCCACGACCCCATCATCCCCGCCATAAGTACATCGGTCCCAAGCCGGTCCCCAACAACAGCAATCTCATGCGCAGATTCAACAACTCCCCTCTCCCGGAACCACTGCACAACCTCGTCACCACAAAACGGCTTCTTTTCTGCGCCTACCGGCAGCCGGAAGACTGGAATACGCAGGTGCGCAAGCTGCGCTTCTAGCTCAGAGACTTCCCCGTCAAAGTTCGCGTGGCTGCCGGCGCGGTTCGAGACGATCAGGATCGCATGCGGGTTTGTCTTTTGGTTGAAGGGGGAGGTTGGCGAGGTACGGAGGGAGGAGAGTTTAGCGAGGATCTGCGGCGGGAAGGATGTTGTTTTCGCAGCGCAAAGCGTATTATCTTTATCGAGGACTAAAGCGCGGATTGTGGGTGTTTGCAGAGGCTTTTCAGGTTGGATTCCTTTCCTTGCGCTTATCAAGTACGGTCCTGGGTTCTCGGGGAGATGGGTGAATGTTGGGATTGTGAGGTGTGGGAGGAACTGTGTTGGTTGTTTGAGGAGGGTTTGTACGGCGTGGTTGAAGCCTCGTAGGTTTGAATTGGGTGAGCCGGCCATTATGGTCGGTTTTTTGAGAATTATGGTAGTAGAGCGGGCTATTCGAGCATTATGTGGGTGTTTTTGTGAGGTTGGAACTGTTGTTTGGTCGAGAGAGCCCAAAGCGGAGAGGATGAGCTTAGCCGCAAAACTCGCCTTTCTCTTAACCTCCACCGACTCCAACCTCATCACTGTCCCACCATCTCCCCACAACCATCCATTGTCTTGAACTGTGCCTTTCTTTGCACAAGGGAAGATATCTGTGTTTATTTGGACTTCTTTTAACCGCTTTCCGTTCCTCACCGTCACATAATCAAAATGGGCAAGCTCACCTCCACGATCGGCATCCCGATCAAGCTCCTCAACGAAGCGCAGGTGCGTTACATTCCCCGATACTGTTATTCCGATTACTGGACGGGAAGGAAGGATGAATGCATGATGTCGCGAAAATGGAGACCACTGTGGATAGCGAGACAAGAGGGGCTAATATCGTTTTCCAATAGGGCCATGTCGTGACGATTGAGATCACATCTGGAGTCGTCTACCGGGGGAAGCTTTTGGAAGGTGCGTGGCTCATTCCTGTTCGAGTTTTTAGTATCTGCTCTCGATTCAGTGGGGCAGTCTATCAACACGTCTCGAGTAGTTCTCTTGCGCGATTCGAAACTAACATGCATTTTCCCTATAGCCGAGGACAACATGAACGTTCAACTCAAGGACATCACCGTCACCGCTCGCGATGGCCGTGTCTCCCATCTCGACCAGGTCTACATTCGCGGCAGCCATGTGCGATTCTTCATTGTGCCTGACATGCTCCGGTACGGCAAAACCCTGATATCCCAGCCTTTGGATCGCGATTTCGCGATCTGCGCATCTCCAGTTTCATCTTTATTAACTCTTCTCTTGCAGCAATGCTCCCATGTTCCGTACACGAGGCCAGCGCGGGCGCGGTGTCGGTTTGGCGCGTGGTAAGGCTACAGTGCAGCGTGCGCGTGGCCAGCAGCGCGGCCGGGGTTAAGCATGATGTGGAAAAGACGAAATCGCAGTTTCAAGGCCTCACAAATTCAGACTGGTTGGCGTTTTTCTTTGTTTTTCTGGTTCTTAGGGGATTTCTTTTTCGGGCTTTGATCTTGCGAAGTCTTAAAATACCGGCTAGCATTTCTTCTTGTAGATGCTTCGTCCGATCACCATTAAATTTATGAATCAACACCCGACATGTATCTCCTGCTTCCATAGGTTCCAGGTGTTCGTGTACATCCAACTCATGGAGCCGTATCGAGTATTGATATCGACTTGATTTCTCGGATGGCGGACCATGTCAGAGGAGCATATCATGCGCACGAATTTCATATCCACAGACATAGTCTAGCTAATGAATGCTAGAAATCAAGAAGAAGATCTATTTGCCTCTGTTAAGATATTCGGACAGAATAGTACTTAGTAGCTGTCGCTTTTATGAGGGCCTCACGAGCACGCTCAATCCTCTCGCGTGATTATACGTCCCCTATTAGACAGAATCATCTACGTGTGATATAGGCCTCATAGAATAATTTAGTTCAACCTTGGGCAGGGCCGGTTTGAAGCTATCTCGCTTTGCTGTTTCCGGGCTGGAATCAAAGCCTCTGCAGCTCCTGTAGCGAGACAGTCAAAGTATGTATATCACTAAACTAAGAAGCCAATGATGGAATTCTTAGTATATACCTGACAGGAATTGTAAGTCGTCTTCAGGTGTTGACCAAGTGCTCAATTTTAGTTTGAAATTAAAAGCGGCAAGAGGTAAATACAAAAGGGAAAAGTTGTGAGCGGACATTATCCGGCCATATTATCCACTCTATTTTTTTATGCGGGGGACAGCTAGCCTTCTTGACGCGCCACTTTCTTCCATCAAACACTAACTCATTGAACTGGGCACTATCTAGCACCAATTTGCTAAAGAATACCTCAAAACCGCGATTGTCCAAGGGAACCCACCATCATGACTTATTCCGCGCCCACGTCCAACCCCGCAACCTCCAAGTCCAAAGTGAAGAACATCCCCAATCCGCGCCGCCTCCTAATCCTCACACCAACCTCCCAATCCCTCGCCATAATCCCTCCACTCCTACACTCCCTAACCGGCGTGCCCGTCCTTGACCCGCCACAACAGCCAGCCCCTTCGCCAACCCAAACCACACCGCAGTCAACCTCAAGCTCAACACCCCCGCCGCCAACAACCACCTTCGCCGGCTACACAACCCACAGCCCTCTCCGCCTCGAAACAAAATACTACACGACAGAAGTCCCTGTCTGGGTAGACGAGATCCCACTCGCCATCCACGACAATGTACAAGCTACCGCCACACCAACACCAACAGCCGAGCAATGGAAAACAGACTTCTTAAGCACAGAAGCTGAGATCGTGCGCGAGGCTGTTGGGGCTCTTGTTGTATGCGCGCATGCTCCTAGCGATGTGACACCTCCACCCGGTTCCAATGCAAACGCGGACCCCGGTGAGCGGCCCGACGTGCGCGCACTGCGTGACTTGATGCGCGGTGTTGGCGCTGTCAAAGAGCGTATTGATGAGGAGCGCGGTGGGTTGGGCGATGTTCCTGGTGTGTTTGTGTTGATTGGGGGGAGGAAGGGTGCTTCCGGTGCTGGTCAGCAGGGATCCAAAGATCCCGATGCGGAGCTGGGGCTTGGTGTTGATGATGCGGACTTAGGTGGTGGGGATACGGTACCGTTTTCGGTAGGGTGGTGGGAAGATCAATTCTTTGATATGGGATTGTTGGGATGGGAGATTGTGGAGTGGGATCCTAAGGAGGGGTTGGAGGTTGAGACGCGGAATCAGTATGGAGGTGGGTTACTGAAGCAAACTTTTGTCTAGAGTTTGACTGTGGTTCTATTTTGGATTTTGGCTGACTTTATTCTATTAGAACGTGAGGGGATGCCTCGTATCAGAGAGGTCCTTGAGACTCATGACTGGTCTATGGTTGGAGGTGACTCTGGCTTTGACGGAGATAATGATCCTGATATGGATTCCGAGGATGATCTTCAAGACGAATTATTAGGTCTAGGTGGCTCTCGTGGGTTTGGTGATGAGGTTCATGAGCTAGAACGTGAAATGTTCGGTTTGCGTATGGCAATTGAGCGTGGAGGTGGTGATGGTGACGAGGATGGCTCTGATCATGATGATCGTGAGGACGAGATTGATGTCGAGAGCATGGAGGCATTGATGATGCGTATGCAGGCAATCAAAGGTATGATTCTATGTTGATTTCTCGGGATCTCTATAGTAAACCGATGTACTAACATGGCTATTAGATATGAGCTCTGAGCTGCCGGAGGGCGAACGGAAACGATTTGCTGCGAAAGCCGTGCAGGATATTATGCGCGAGCTCTGAGATTTCTAGTTATTAAATCTAGATTCTAATCCCCTAGTCATAGATATGAAAAGTGATCTGTACGTTTTACACTCTTTCCCGCCTTTTCTCGTCTAGGTATAGAATTGAGAAGGAGAAACTATATAACAAAAGACATCTAGAAAAAATAATATCTTCGAAGACCATAAACTCCATGTTCCATGTAGACAGTTGTTTGTATACAATGGATATAGATCCAGCACTGCCACAATCCAAGCCACACCGCCCCAAAGTGCCGAGACCCAGATGGATCCCGTGCGCTTCTCTGACGTCAGGATATTCCAAGGCATAACGCCAACTTTGAGAATGAGCTGTGCTTTGTGCATAGATCATCCTGGTTAGCTTACTGCTAAACCTACTCTTTCCTACATCATCTTTTCTCCACACGTGTCTTGAAACGCCGCTTCGTCATGTCTTGAATCTCCTACGCGACACAAATCTATCAATTCCCACGGTCTACGACATATCCTTCCTCATTTCATATGCGAATTGAACATACAATATAAACAATTGGAAGACCAAAGGATACCGCCCTTTTTAAAATGCATTTCCCGACACGGAATTGCGCCCCTATCGTGTCGGCGGCGACGGGGAGGATCTCACAACGCGGGAGCCCGTACACCTCGTTAGTTAAGATTGGCTCGGCGGGGCTACATGGCTGGGCTAGAAATGGCTCTACTGCTTCAATTAGGCATAGCAGTTCATTTTCAGGGAGGTGTATCGGCAAGGGTATTGGTCTGGGAGCTTCTGGAGCATCACTGGTAACGAAGCTGGGATGTTCTGGGCCCGCTGCAATTCCACGAGATCATCTTGCATGGATTCCGGTCAGGAAATTCAGCCAACCTGGTCCAACACAAACCTCCAGTGATAAAAAGAGGACCCAAGAGCTTTTGGAGAAGTTTGAAGTTCAAGAGGGCAATCAAGAAGCTCGGCCTCGGCGGACAGTTCTTGGTGAAAATGGCAAAGAGGGAAAGTGGCCTGAGAGAATGACCAAAGGTAAGAAGTTCCCACTGTAATCACTTTGAGTATCAATGTTGACCTTGCGGATAGGTAAAATGTTGACGACGCCATCGCGGCTTTTCAAATTAATCATTCCTTTAACGACCATCGGCCACGAAGGCTACGCTAAAGGTTCGTCGGTCTTGATATATTCTCTGCACATAATTGGGCCAGCGTGCTAATCACTCTCCCAGAAATCGAACCCATAGCTATCCTAGTCCACCCCCAACAACCACTATCATACCTAGAGCGTCTGATCCAGTCAGAGCTACCCCCAATTAAAGGCAACACCGATAAGCTCCGTCCACCTGCCATATCCTTCATCGCACTCCAGCACGATGACAACGCAATCAAACCTAAAAAGCGAATCGAAGACGAAATCGACCTAGACGCAAACCAGAACACAGGAGACTTCATCCCCGGCAACGACGGCGTTGGCGGCAGCAAACCCCTCAACGGCCGCCGATCACCAACCCAGCACCGCCGGTCTCGCGAAGAAGACGTCGAAACCTACAGCTACCCGCGCAAAACGAACGGCGCCCCGCCGTCCGACGGCGAACCCGAACGTTTCGTGCGCTGGTCACAAGCCACAGAGATAGGCGACTTCATCCGGGATGCTGCGCGCGCAGGCGAGTTCATCGTGACGATCGAGGGCGCGCCGTCTGGTCTAAGCCAAATCCGCGTCGCGGTACCCTCGTTCAACGAGCGCACGTATTACCTCCGCATGCGTTTACGCAAGCTCTCGCGACGCATCCAAGCCATAGCGGATGTGAAGGAAAATTGCGATGCGCTAGCGCATCGGGGTGCGCAGCGGGTTGCTATTGGCGGGTTTGGAATTCTTGCCATTTGGTGGTTTACGGTCTATAGATTGACGTTCGAGACTGATCTCGGATGGGATACTATGGAACCTGTGACTTACTTGGTCTCTTTGTCCACTTTGATGGGTGGTTATTTGTGGTTTTTGTATCACAATCGGGAGATTTCTTACAAGTCTGCGCTGGATTTTACGATCAGTGCGAGGCAGAAGAAACTTTATCAGTTGCATAACGTTGATTTGCAGCTTTGGGAGTCTTTAATTGATGAGGGGAAGTCGCTTCGTGGGGAGATTAAGAATATCGCGGCTGAGTATGATGCTGAATGGAATGAGCGTGCTGATGAGCAGGATAAGCGTGTGACAGAAGTCTTGAAGTCAGACCGTCGAGAGAAACATGAGAAGAAGAGTGAGGATGATAAGAATGACGAGGAAGATTGATTTCAATCTTGTCATTCTTGTACTTTTGCATTACATCAAATTTATACTCCAATTATACAACATCAATTATGTATTAGCAGCACTGAATATGAAAAGGAAAAAACAAACACAAACACCCTCATCCTCAAATATCATACTGTCCCATTCCGCACAGGATCATAGTACTTCTTCGGCTGTGTCTCTTCCATACGTTTATCTATAAAAACCATCAGCATCTAAAATAAACCAAAAGAAACCACATTATACATACCAGATTCCGAACCCGCAGACCCCGCAACATCTCCTTTCCTCCTATTCCGATTATTCCTCACATCCCGCGACCGAAAAACACTATACAACAACCACCCGGCAACCCAGTTCGGGCCGTACTCGCCATTCGTGGCTCCGCGCTCAAACAAGCCGCGAACCAGCGGCGGCGCATTGTGGCAGATCTCTAGAATCGCCCAGCGCTGGCAGTCCGGACGGATATGGTGCCAGAAGAAAGGGGGACGAGTTGCTGGGTCGGCGCGTACAGTGTCGAGAAGGTTGGAGGTGTCTAGGTTCATGCGGTTGTAGACAATTATTGCTTCGTCCTGTGTTTTGTTAGGGTGGTTCTTGGGATATGTGTACGTATGAGAGGTAATAGGAGGGAAGATAATAAAGGTTCGGTATACTTACTCGCATGGCGCGGTAGTATTGCTCATGATGCGGGTCTTGTGGGTTCAGACCCAATGCGTGCATGAATTCTTCTTTGGATACTCGAGGGCCGACGGGCATTGTTGAATTCCTCTGAGTGTATTGGATAGGGTTGTCGATGTGTATAGTATGTCGTGGGTATAAAAACCGAGGTTCTATATGGGAAATCAAGATATGAATATGAATGTGAAAGTGAAGAAACAGCTCGCATCATACACTTTATATCCCCCATTCAAACAGATCTCAACTGCGCGGAAACCCATCGGCCGTTGGCTGAAATTCGCACGGCGCCGAAGCCGATACAATCAGAGATGTCTATATCGGAATTAAGCAGAGCGAACGGAGAGACAGAAACAGACGCAATCAGACCAAGCGGGGAATTGGGGAAATGGGGCAAATGCAATCAGATCGATATAACACAAGCACAAGGATCCGGAGACAGGGATTCAAGGGAGACTAAGACATCTCTTACCTATAAATATTATTTATTTTGTGCTCAGGTAAATATGGAAGTCAAGGTAGAGGTATTTTTGTTATTTTGGGATTTGTCTGTTGGCGCTTACTATTCTCCGGGGTTAGGCGCTACTATACTTGCATTCGTGGAGTTGAGGTGGTACATGTACAATGTGTGGACGATCACTGCACAGCCGTTGATATACAACCCCGAGCTACGTCAAACTGCGATCCGGGCAGGGTATGTTCGCTGTTAGTGGCTTAGCGTGTAAGTAAACGGCTGGCTAGTGGAATTAGGCAATAGGGCTACGGCGCTGTGGTACAGTCCTTCTCAGTGGTAGACTGGGGGCATGAAGTTCGGATATAGCAAACGAGAGTGTATCCAGTTTACATCAAAGGCGATGAAGGGAGAGAGAAACAGAAATGGAGGTTATACAAACCTCCTATTCATGTTATCTAATTCTTGCTCGCCCCTTCGAAAAGAAGTGTTTTGGACAGAATGATAAGTCGGATAAAGAGAGACAATCGCAAACAGAGCCTTCGTGGCCCCAGCACTCGGGATCGAGGACTGAGCGCGAAGGCAGGCTAAGTGCGTTCTGGTATATCAAGGCCGACCTGCTGAGCTCAGGTCTGCTATCCGAGACAGACGGGTAGAAGATATATGTATGCTTGCATGCATGAGAAAGGGGTGTGTATTCGAGGGCAGTTTGGATATTGCATGTTGCCAGCTCCCCATCCGAACAGGAACAGGCAGGTTACTCGGCAGGGAAAGCTAGTATATCTGAATATTAATATCCTTGCCACGCACATGTACGTATCCGCAGTGGAGGAGATATAGCTCTAGCTTAACAGGGCCAGATCTAGAAAGCCACATTCGCTAGCTAGAACGTCCGCTGTGTAGAGAGCTAGAGGATCAGACTGTGCACCCCGAACTCGGCATCGAGGTCCACTGAAACCCAACCCAGCAAGCGAGACATTCACAGTCACCCTTGCTAGCGGGAAATAAAGCCAAATAAGGCACCTGTGCCTACCCGTCGGCTTGCAGGCATCGTGCAGAGGGCAAAAAGGCTCGTTGGCTATGTCGTGTGACCTGACAGGCCGGAATCCAGGCCAGCATGCAATCGAGCAGAAATTCGACAGACCGGAAACCAAATCGGTGCTGTTACTTGCATCTGCATCGGCTTTCGATGGTGAGCGCGTACTTGCGTCCTGTTGCGGGGAAGGGGGATCCGGTAGGGAGATGGCTTGACTCGATTTCAATTTTCTCGTTTGTGATGGTGCATATGCAATGGGATAATTGTTGAATTGGACGAGCAACGTGGCAACAAGTACTGCGGATTGGTGTTTGGAATTAGATATATCCTTTTTAGCGGACTCCGAGCGACACGGTCCCGCTATAATTAGATAGGGTTGAATATAGCATTGCGGCTGGTATATGTGCTGAAAGCTAGTTTGGCAACCAGATCGCGACCAGAGAGCAAATAGATATACCATGGAGGGAAAAGCGGCACGTAATCTTTGACAGGAGGTCATACCGTCCAATCTCCGGCTCGAGAGCCTTTCCTCGTTGGCATTGCGATTAAAGAACGGATGTCACATTGCGCACAAGGCGAGGGACAGTCAAAGGTGGATCGTCTGCATGCCACGATTTGAATGACACAGCATAATCCCGCCGCTGCATTGCATACTAACACATCCTCTGTTGAAAGATCGATCTTTGGGAATGGCCAGGCCAAGGAGATATGAGCATTTGGATCAGCCATTCTGAATCGTGCCTTGAGATATACAGAGCGCTCTTTAGAGGCCAAATGACTCTAGCTAGTTAGTCAAACCAGTTAAATCTCAGCTCCAGCAATATGGGAGTATGCCCGTTGGATGTCGCCGCCGTTGCACCATCTCCCCATACTGTAGGTGCCCGGTACTCGTGTACCATTCGCCATTAGCCATGCAAGAGCGGATGCAGATGCAGATACAGCAGTATTTGCTGTCAGTTGGAGTAGATCATGGAGTGGGATCTTTCTAAAAATATGAATCTCATCAAGTGCACATTCGGGGATTAGGGCTTATGAAGCGCAGACACGAGCTTTCGACTCGAATTCCACTGGTGGTATCCATCTTGAATGTCAGGTCCTTGGCAGATAGACAAGTGAGATCGAAGAGAACGAGATTAGGTCCATTCTGGAGCCAAGTATATATTAAGTTCCCAAGGTTGAGTCAAGCTTATTCGGGCCCCAGGGGTCCCCACGTAAGTGGCTGAAGGTAAAAAGCTTTTTAGGGCGCCACTTCTCGGGATACTCCAGGGCTTTGATCTGATAAAAGTTCTGATCTTTTGAGCTCTTCAAGTATTTGTTACTTTAGACTTTGACGTGGCATATCTACTTCTCGCGTTACACGTGCCTCAATACTGACGCAATGGCTACTTATGCGATGATCCAAGGTTATAAAGAAAACAGGGCCTGACAGAGGCACTCGGATTTCCGTATGTCGCTATTGTTCAAGACTCCTCGGAATCGTCACGATTCTCGCGCCTGCACTTACGTGACAGACCAAAAATATCCGTTTCCACACCAGTGTCCGGACGGGAAGAGGAGGTATGGTGGGGGAGGTTGTTATGTACGTGTCAAGAAAGCCAGAAAAGCCAGGATCGGGAGGGGATGAGAGATGAGAGAAAGGGAGTAAAAAAGGGCAAAGGGGAAAATGAAAAAGAAAAGCCATTTGCCATGCTCCATCCGTCGCTAAAAAGAAAAAGGGGAGGGAGGAATATCAATCAGCCTGCATGACCGCTTATTTCGAGACTTCCTTAGTGGGCTCCTTAGTGGGCTCCTTGGTCTCCTTGGCCTCCTTGGCCTCCTGGATCTCCTTCTTGGGCTCTGCCTTGGGCTTTTCTTCCTTCTGCTCCTTAACCTCCTCTTCTGGCTTCTCTTCTTCATCCTTCACCTCCTCACCATAGTACCGGCGGAGGAGCTTCTCGACCTTGCGGTATTCGACCTTGACTTCATCCAGAGTCTTTTTGATAGCCTTGAGGCAGACCTCGGTATCGGGTTCGTCAATGAGACCTGTCTCGTCCTTGTTGGCGCCAAAGTGTTGGATCTTCTCACAGCCATCCTTGACCTTGATAAGGCCCAGTGTAGCCGATGAGCCCTTGAGGAAGTGACCGAGGGCAGAGAGTTCATCGAGGTTCTTGTCATCTCTGTGCAAAGTTTAGGCAAAGGGACAATTACCCGAATTGTTGCAGGACTCACATTTCCTTCTGAATCTTCTTGTAGGTATTCTCGGCCTGATCAAAGAAACCGTACACAATGCTCTTGCTGAAATCGCGATCCTCCTCGTCATCGTCCATCTCAAGGATCTGTTCGAATGTGCTCTCGTCGAGGATTTCCTTATAATCAGAGAGCTTGGGTGGGCCCTGATTGGCCTAAACTCGAATGTCAGGCCGAGGAACCTTTGTCCACGGGGCAAAAGATACTTACAGGCTCGGCCTTTTTGGTATCGGTTGGTGCCATGGCTGTGTATGTGTGTGCGTGTGTGTGTGTGTGGAGATGCCGAAGGGAGTAGGTGGGGGCAAGTTAGTTGCACTGCGCAGATCGTCACAATCGTTGGATGAAAATGAGGTTGATTTCTCCGGTCTGGTTTTCAGCCAATGCAGGTGGAATACGAGGGGAGTCTGCTTGTAAATCCCAGTCAGCTCAGGTTCATCCAACTGGTCCAGATCTTGGATAGAACAATGTGGCAAATCAACGAGATCCCAAATGCAAAGATCAATGATGATACAACAAGGACGTCAGAATCGCAGAATCTGCACACAGCGCATATGTCTTACGAATCCAGCAGGGTGTTACGGATCCAGGCACCAAGGTAGCAAGGGAGCTGTTACCGGGGACAATGGCGGCTCCGGAGGTCTATAGCCAGGGGGGTAAAGAGGCTGGACCCGAGATGAGATACAGATTGAATAATCAGGGTAGTGGGCAGTAAAGAGAATCACAATGGAGTCGAGGGGGTATAAAAAGGCAATGCGACACAAAGCAGGGTTCGGAGGCGGGGGGGAAGAATTAAAACAGATTGTGGAGGTATATGCGGTAAATGGAACAGGGCCATTCGCATATACTCGAACGTGATCCAGTCACAGCCTTGTAAACAGGGACTAGCGCATCGCGATAGCTGCAGCCCCAAAAGCCAGGGTCTCCACTTGACAGGGAATTAAAGGGAAAAATGAGAAGATATTCAAAGAGGGGCAAATAGGAATGTTCATCCCACCTATAATGATTTTTTTTTCTCGTTTGAGGTGATCAAATCCCGATAAAAAAGGATAAGGAGCACAATCGGGTAGAGCCCAAAAATGAAAGGGAAAAGGGAGAGAGAAAAAAAGAGAGAAAGACGCGTGCGGAAGAGAAAAGGAGAAGTCAAAGAGATGAGAAGAGAGAGAGGGGGGGAAGAGAGGAAATCGGAGGGGCGGAGAAAGAGAAGGTGGGTAGGTCAACTCCAAAGGAACCAACTAGGAGGATGTTGGGATTTTGGGATTTAGATGGGAAAAAAAAGATAGAGAAAATAGAGAAAAATAAGGAAAAATCAGAAAATGAATTTATTTAGCATTTCATTGATCACTATAATAAATATATATATATATATATATATATGAAAATAAGTAATATTTGGTATTGTACATTGCTCTTCGTCCTTGGCATACTCGGGGGAAAACATGATTGTAGAGCTAGTACATTATATTATTAGCTACAATCTATACAATGGGTTCTAATTGGATTCTGATGAAAAACGGGATTTTATTACTTTTCTCGATAACTCCAAAAAAAGCAATTCTGCGCATACACAATTAGTACAAGATGTACTTGTACCCCACAAACCTTGCTTTTTGACACTGTTGCTGCTTTTATTTGGTTGAATCGTACATTATAATCTTGGATTTTCAGCCACGATCTTGCAAGGAACTGTTATCTCTGAATCATAATCGTCCGAGTTCCGTTTATAAGAGGGTCTGTTTATAACAGGGTCCCACAGGAGCAGACTATATTGGCGTGGCATCACCTCTCCAACTGATTCACCGAGAAGAAAAAGCGTGGAGCGAAGTGGATAAACACCCAGAACTGCTGTAAGTGTACTGGATAGTACGGGTTTCGTGGAGACTGATAGGGCACAAAAAAAACAATCCAAAAAAACACACGTTTTCTGACCGCAAAAGACTGCTCCTATACCCGTCTGGCAGCGGTACGGAGTAGGGGGGGCCAGCAAGACGACATCATCGGGCCGCCGATCACAGGGAACGTCATTTGGTCTTTCCCAAAGAGAAATCTCAGACGGTCACACGCGGAATCATTTGGGGAACTGCGAATAGCGATAGCCTTTTTTTTTTTTTTCCTTTTTGGTTCCTGGTGGCCATTCTTTGAGTGGAAGAGGATCAGAACTTTTCAAGACCCGGTCTGTATTGCTTGAAAACAGAAAAAAAACACCTAGTGTCCTAGTAGACTTTTAGCCGCAAAGAAAAAGGGAAAAAAAAAGAGGGTAAGACGTAATAATCCCGGTTCGTACAGCAGGGAAGCATCGACTTGGGCCAAGTGCGCAGAGATAACCTGATCCAGTTGGTCTGGACCCTCAAGGACCGTGTCCAGTTAACTCGGGACGCGTTCTTCCTGTGTGTTGCATGGATTTCTCATCTGACGTACTCGGTGACAGTGAGTTGAACGATGTGTGAGTCCACGGCTCCACGGGTTTGTTTTTCCTCTCTCAGAGGGGAAAGGGGCGGTAATATTGCTGGGCTAAGACAGAGATTATGCTGTCACCGATAACGATGGGTGTTTTTGTTCCTTTCATTGCTTTTTTTTCTCTGGTCTGATTTGACGGTTTCAGTTTCCTAGGAAAGGACTAGCGTAGTGGTTAGTTGTATGTCGAAGTCGAATATATTCACATTCGCGAACCGCAGCTATCTTTGTATATATAGAGAATTAGGGGGTTGTGCATCTCCATTGCCCTGGCTTTTGCTGGTGGTTGGCTCTCGCACACTCTTCATCATTCTCGACCAATGATAAGATGCGATGATAGCCATGACATCATATAATGGGGTTGTAGTGCAGCCCACCCAGCCGCTGATGTCATTTTTAGCATACCGGCAAATTACGCCGATTACGTCAATTACACATTACTTTACTTTTCTATATATACACTCCTGCATATGTAGCACGATATACTAGATTTTAGGTCACGGTTGCAATTATCCCGATCAGGGTGTCGCCGCTTTATGGGAGCTCAGGGTATGCTCAGTCAGCATTCGTAGCGCTCAATACTCAGACGGCGCTGATGTCTTTTCAATGGTCTTTCTAGTGTTCTCTTTAATACGGAGTAGTCAACGGTATTCTCGGATATCGTTTTGTCTTGCCAGTCTTACGGGCCAAGGATAGTGTGTGCTTCATCATTGTTATGCCTGGCCAGATATCAAGCTAAATATAATTACCTTCTGTGGGTGAAAAGAATCTATTAGCATCCAGTTGGCATATAGAGCAAAGATTGGCAAGTCAAATCATCAAATACGGGTTCCATAACTCAGTTGGTTAGAGTGTGGTGCTAATAACGCCAAAGTCGAGGGTTCGACCCCCTCTGGAACCACAATTTCTTTTTTTTTGTCCTTTGTTCTTTTTGCTACTCTATATTCTTCAACTCGATTTTATTTTTGCTTCAATAACACAGTTATATATACAATGTACTTAACAATTTATCCATCCCTCAAGCTTTGTAGGCTCTAAGAAGAAATGGGCCTACTATGCCTAACCGGGCAAAATGACTTCCAAGGTTGAGCTACGTTTATCTAGTTTTACGGTTTCGAATATTATGAGAACTTCCTATGGAATCACCGGACATTCAAATTATCATTTCATTCAATTTCCACCTTGATTGAACTACCATCACTCTCGTTACCCACAACTACCCCGGCTCCCACTCCACCTTCGTTTCCCACTTGTTAAGTCAACTTAGACTTCGCTTCCATCTGCGTGAGCCAAACATCCCCTCTGACATGCAGTGGGTCCTCGATATCTGCTCTTCAGTAGTATCTCGATCATGGGAAAGGCGTGCTCCACCTTCTGAGATTCCCAATATGAACACGCTAGCCGGTCTCCCTGTCGAGCTATTGATATCAATAACCGACTTCCTCCCTTTGAAATATCGTATTTACACTTTACTCTGCAGTCGCCGGCTCTTTGTCGTGTTCAATCATCGAAGTGTCACCCCGTTTCCTCAAGGCTAAGATTCCATTATTACTGTGCGCCTCCAGTGTATCCCGGGTTCGGGCTTATATCATACCATGCAGTTCCCTAACAGAAGGGTTCCCAAAAGAAGAGACAAAATGTCTGATGATAAGGTACTATATACACCACATGCACATACGTTAGCCCGTGCATTGTGTATACTGCCTTGGAATTTAGGACACAGGCCTCATTTACAGGGGTAGCAAGGAATACAACAAGTGTACTCGAAGTACCGGCCAACATCCACCCAATGGGAGATGGGGGGCGGCTGGGCAAACAACCCCATAGAGAGCCAACGCATAGCCAACCGGAAAACCAGCTCATGGCAATAACAAAGGTGTCCTGGCGCCAGTAGAGATGATGAAAATGAGAATTTCGCAAATTGGGAGTTCCATTATTCTTGTAGCAGTATTTGGTGAATTTATGACAAGTTTGGAGGTTAAGATGAATGTAAAGCTAAGGTCCCCGGGGCCTATGTGAATTACTATAGGAAGGAGCGATCAACCTATTCAGACCAACTTCTTAATCCATGGCTACCGAAAGGCGTGAGCTTTTCCAGCAATTATTGACGACAGATATCTATTTCGAAGTCTGACATACCTTACTTAGGAACAGGCTTGTCGGAAAATGCAGATATTTAATCTCCTCAAACCCTTGTCTAGTTCATGGAAAAGTAGCAAAAAAAGGGCCGGAGAAGGCTTTATTTGTGCAGACGACTTTCCTATGTATAATAAGGCCGATGTAGCATAGAAAGCGTAGTTCCTTTGTATATGGTGTTTATGATTTCCATGTTAAGAGGTACTAGAGTTGGTACTAGAATTTGCGTCTATCGTGTAGTCAAATGCAGCGGCAGATAATTAAATGAGAATAAGTGCAGAATTAAAAGCCCCCTTTGCTTTAAGCTTTCCAGCTGGCTAAGGGCATGGCGACGGGGCTGGACGGTGCTAGAGATAATTCATCTATAGCAAGCACCGGTTCTCTGTGATGTTCGTAGAAATTGTTGTTCTTCTGGCACTCGATGCCCTGGCAATAGACAGCTTGCGCCACGCCCCTTAAGCCAAGCTGCACTTATATAGCAAGATACGGAGTACAAAATACAGAGGAGTAAAAAGCACAGAAAGGGCAAAAAAGAAATCGTGGTTCCAGAGGGGGTCGAACCCTCGACTTTGGCGTTATTAGCACCACACTCTAACCAACTGAGTTATGGAACCCATCTATAATTTATCCAGATCGTTAGAATTCTCAAGAAACATTTGAAGTAAACTATCAGTAAAATAGCCTCATAGGACCAGTCCACGTAGCAAAGCATGGGTGCATTGGCCCTCACTAGTCAAGGGTCATACTTAGAAAAGCATCAATGGAGAATAGATCTTCCTGTTGGTGGATCAAGTAATGGATTAGGTGTTGAGCTGATAGAAATAATATCTTACTTGGGTTTAGTTGACCATCCTCTCTCTGAAGGAGTAATGGCGTAAACGATATTGATTAGGTCGTTCGTGCCCTCGAAGAAGTTGTTGTTGATCTGGTATTATTTCCAGAACCCTCGGAGATTCCGAGAGAGGATTTCTATACCCTTGTCTCTAGTCCCTTAGAGCCTAGTCTTTTGTATTTCTGTTGAACTGTGTCTATGTCTGCTCTAAACTAGTTCCAGTTCTGTTCAAAGGCGTTCTTTCGTTCTTGGATATGTGGGGATTATATTCTGGCTGATGGTTGAGGCCTTGAATAACTGTTCGAGGGACGTATTGACTGAAACAATGAGCTTCTAGGAATCTCTGGGACTAGTGGTAGAAGTCGTTGGAGGCCATTGGGATCTATACCACTTCTTCGTTCGGCCTAGGAGGCTTCAAAGGTTGACTGTTGATGTGGAGTTTGTACGCTGCATCTTATTCCCTGAATTGGACGTCTCTGGAAATTCGTGGCTTTGACTTCGCTAAACGGTAAGCTTCGCGGCCGATATTGACATCGTCTAGAAGCTCATCCTCTGTATCCACGATTTCAACATTCTTATTCTTACTGGGTCCCTTTTTTTTTTTCTTTTTTTTTTTTTTTGTCAATGGCAGTTGATAGGGATTTTCAACTTCATATATAAATAAAGGTTAAAGAAATTAAAATACTAAGATGTTACTGTATTGAGGATTTCCTCATTGAGAACTAAAATATATATCGCGACCACGAAGTCATAGAATTTCTCTAAACCCCCCTAAAGATCATAGATATCACCCAAAAAGTACCAACACACAAGGAAAACCCCAGTAGAAGATTATTGCTGAGATATTAGGTTATAATTTATCGCATTTCCTATGTTTCGAGATGGCCACGGCAACGGGTTTGTCAAAAAACCTATGGTTTTCTGGAAGCCCGCGAATGAGTTGTGGAGAAAAGCGTGTTTGGGCTGTGGTATAGTAGTATCTTTATGCATAATTTTATTGAGGGTATACTAGTCTCACCATACCTACTAGCAGTTGGGAACTATGTTGTACATGCTAGTTATACATTGTCAATCACCCATTGAAGAGATTAGCCATTCATCCTCTTTGCCCATGCCGAATATAACCCGTATCCGGCCGGCTTCTCGGCTGCAGCTTCCCTGCCTGGACGGTGTCAACAATTCTCAGAAGCTGCCTGCCGAGCAATAGACTAGATGTGATTCGCTGAAGGTAACCGAGTGCATAAGCAGTCAGCCAAGCGGATGGCTCCCCCTGGAGGCGTTCTTGGCCAAGAGGGATATCAGGACTAGCTGATCCTGTGGTGTAAAGCTGCATGATCTAGTCGACTACTGCAAGTGATTGGGTTCCACCTCGTATTGCCGACAGCGTGGTCTATGTTTGACTTGACTCGTTTGAATGGCATGATTCAAAACGTTGGACAAATATCGGAGGGATTGATGTGATCGTTGAGAGTTCACATCATAAGTACATCAATATATAGTCCAGTTTACTCTCCGGGATTGAATTTGCAAACTTGCATGTCTTACATCTCTACCTCGTACAATAGCCATTGCGATTAATATATACAAACACTCGACACCATCACATGATCTGGTTCCATAACTCAGTTGGTTAGAGTGTGGTGCTAATAACGCCAAAGTCGAGGGTTCGACCCCCTCTGGAACCATGTTTCTTTTTGCTCATTTTTATTCAAAAGTCTTTGTTTTTTCTTCTTCTAATAAATAACTTGCTCAGGGACACTCGCTGTTACTTAGAGTTTGGTGTTCTAGGCCTTTAACCATAAAAGGCAAGAATGGTAGGCCGGCCGCATAACTTGTGATATCAGTGGTATTTTTAGAGGTCTTCTCAAATATTGATTCCGCTTAGATGTGTCAGTTTTATAGTCGACGGCCAAAAAAAAGATGGAAAAAGGCTACTTTTCTAATATACACTCCTATACGGAGTAGTGATGAAGCTATATAGACTTACACTATATCCTTTCTGAAGTCGGTTATCATATAAATTTTGGTAGCAAAGATGTAAATAGTCCCTAGACCAGCTTTTTTTAAAAAAAAGAACTATGGGTTCAAAAAAATGAGAAAAAGAAATGTGGTTCCAGAGGGGGTCGAACCCTCGACTTTGGCGTTATTAGCACCACACTCTAACCAACTGAGTTATGGAACCCGATTATTGTTCATGGCAACAATTTACGTCTGATAAGCCAGAGAAAATTGAGGGCCTCAATTAAGAACAAGGAACCTCGGTTCCTTTTTTTTGTTGATCGCGAGCTTCCCAACCAAATCAACATTTCCAATCCCCACACCCCGCGTAAGACCATCGTCAAACGCCTTCACGAGACCAACGAGAAATATACACGGTCAACAATGGCCTCAATCAAAACTTCAAGCGCTCCGCGCTCCGGCTCCTCGGGCTTAACAAAATCCTACCTCTTCACCTACAACACCCTCAACCTCCTCGCCTGGGGAACCTGCGTCGTCTACACGGCCTCCCTCCTCCCAGCCCATGTCTCAAGCAAGACTCTCCCGAAGGTCTTCGGCCAGACCTTTTCCCCGCTACTGCTGGCCACGCAATCCCTCGCCCTGTTGGAAGTCGTGCACAGCATTGTAGGCCTCGTGCGCGCACCGTTCATGACGACTGCCATGCAAGTTTCTAGCCGGCTGCTGCTGGTGTGGGGGATTATGGCTCAGTTTGGTGGGGAGATTGTTGGTGCTGGGCGGGATACCCAGCTGGGTGATTATGCGTATCTGGGCTGTGTTTTCGCTTGGGGAATTACAGAGGTTATCCGTTATGGGTTCTTTGCTATTACGTTGTCTGGGAACTCGGTTCCAAGCTGGTGGACTTGGTTGCGGTAAGTCTTGGCTTTTTCACCCTGCATGTTTATCGTCTGTCTTCATTGAGCTGATGAGTTTTGCATCGACTAGATACAACACTTTCTACATTTTCTACCCCATTGGTATCTCCAGCGAGTGCACACTTATCTTCCAGGCCCTTGGTCCTGCTGGCGAGCTGAGCCCGTTTTTCCGCTACCTCTTGATTGCGATTCTCGTGATCTACGTGCCTGGTATGTTGTTTTTCTGTAGTGTCCGTAGTATCAGTTACTGACTACTTAACAGGGTCTTATATCCTGTACACGCACATGATTGCCCAAAGACGCAAGATCATGCGCGGCAAGAAGAGAGCTGATTAAACAGCTGATCCACATACGGCACAATATAGATCTGATTAAACTGATTGGACATGAGAAGGTGACCTATATTTATAGGCCGCCGAATCATCAAAAAGAGTGGGAGTATCCGTCATGCTTAGAGCCCGGGACCCCTGAGCGTGCGGGCGTGGTTTGAACAATCGAGGGGCCATCTACAGAAGTCAGGTACCATAAAGGGGCAAAGAAAAGTCATTCAAACTGCCTCCTGAGCAAGCAATGCGTCGGTACACCTACATCACGCGTAGAGATCTATATCTTGCATTGCAGACTCGTCAAGATGTAATGTTCATTCAATTCTTCAACAAATCTCTTCTCGCTGAAATATCAAGTTGCCAATTCTTCCTTAATTCAACTTCTTGGCCCCAGCGTGCACTGGGCGACCTTCACGACGTTGATATGCCAGATAGCCATAGCCACCAAGGGCGATTATAGCTATAACAATGATGTTGCCTTTTTGCATGAATCGTTAGCTGGGTATTTTGCTGAATCAATCATGATAAACTCACTGGTAATGAAAGTTCCAATCCCACCTGCAGATTCCAGGCTGCCCTTCACGGTATGCAGTAGCATCTTAGGAATGCCAGCAAAGAAGTCGACGAAAGCCATGAGTAGATCATACACCGTACCCAGCGTGCTCTTGATGACAGAGAATATCACCTCGAATATTGAGGCAATGAGGTCCTTGATGGAAGTAATAATTGAGGTCATCGTTGCTAGAGGATTTCTGGGAGCTCTTGTGAGAATGAATTGCGATAGTTGTTTTGTAGGGAGCTTTAAAGGAAAAGAATATGTTTCAATTTCAAAGGGGCAACTCTTGACCTAAGACCGGGTCTTTATACTAAAGCAAATTTGCAGGTCCGATGACGAAGTATAGAATAGTACTGGCATATAGCAGGATTGGGCGTTTTTTATTTCATGTCCTTCCAAGGTTGTCTTCGCCTCTATTGCCGGTTTAGTGGTCACCGGTGACGTAAATTACACAACTTTCAAGATTCACTTCAAAGTTGGAATGACAAGAGATCAAATTTACTTCAGATTATCTATGGTATTGAGAGGATGAACACCTTGGAATGTCCAAAACCTTACCTATATTGTAATATTACATCCATGTGACGTCATGTGTGGGACCGATTAGATAACCTTGGAAAGTCAAACCCCAGATTTCGGCATTCAAGTTGCTTGTACATCTTACTACTAAAGCATATTTAGGCGTATATGTATGTGCTCAGACACAAGAGATAATAATAAGACACAGCGATAGCAAGTTTGTATACACTTTACAAGATTCAAGATATTTATTACATGAGAAAGTAATTCATTGGCATAAAGTCATCCGCAAATATTGTACAGGTAGAGAGCTGGGTCTGTCTTATCACCTGAGTGCTAGCAAAAGTGGTATCTCATTATCCCAGTAATCCAATTTCAGTGAGCACCCGTTTAGTGCTTGGTGGCCTCTGTATATCATTAGCATTGATTCGATACCATAAGCTTGTTGGGTTTCCATGATCTTACCCTTGTGGACATCGGCCTTGGTGTTGTGGGATGCCTCATCCTTCTTGTCGAAGACGGCATCCTTTGCGGCGCTAGCTCGGCTGCCCAAGCTGGCATCAGAGTCCTTGGCGACGTGCTTGTTGGCCTCCTTGGATGCCTGAGCACCACCACCCTGGATGGTCTCGGAAACGTAGTTAACGGCGTTCTAAAAGTAGTGGTTAGTATATGAAAACGGATATGTATAAAGACATGATGATGCGAACCTTGGCGGTCTCCATTATGATTTTAAAAAGGTTGTTGGAATGAGGTTTGGAAGTCTTGGATATTTGTTGATTTGAAGGCTTGAGGATTGTATGATGAATGAAGTGAATGGCAGAAGCATAAAGGGCTACTTATAGTAAATGGCAGGCGGTTTGGTAGCAGGGTTTAGGATATGACGTCATTAGACAAACAAGACCGAACTCACAGCTAAACTAGCTCGGTGATGTAACAAATTCCTTGTTCTTACATGTATGATGATAAGAGGAATCCACCTTTTAATTTGTTCTGCATTGTACAATAGCAATGTAATTTACCTTGGGTACATTGTAGGCCGTTTCCTTGGAATTGTGGGGAACAGATTACACTGCTATGATGCATATTGAAAATAGTAACCTTGTTAATTGCCATCAAAAACAGGTATTCTACATTTCATACAATACCTATAGCTACTGACTTCACTAATACTATGTGATTGGCTAACCTCTATGCCAACCTCGGCTATATTAGTCTATTTACAACATAGTATTGCGAGGGTGCAAATCCCCTGACACGAGCTGTCTTTTCCGGCAACGAGACCAGGTACATTTGCCATTTGATGTCGACTTCTCGTGTAATATTTAATCCTTACCAGTCTTCAGCGCCTTTTACATAGTAAATAGCTCACTGTTAGTGGTAATATTTGCGGAGTAATCTGCAGCCACCAGTGACGCTCAGTCAGATTGGGCTAGAGAGGTTCTGACAGGCCTACAACATAGGTGCGGAGTACAATTATAAATAATAAACACAGATCCCTTTCAACTTGGCAAGATATATCATCCGGGGTCAAACATTTTCTACTCGGTCCCACCACGGGGCATTGACATAGGCGCTAGCCCCCGCATTTTGGAAACCAACCAGGCTCAACAACTATGAGCATGAGATGTGATGGAGGTGCAGAATAATCCTTTGGGAATCCACTGTGTCTTACTCGCAAAGACCCTTCTAGATTTTCTAATAAGATACTATTTTAGAAACTTGCAACAACCTCCTCCAAGAATATTTAAAGAGTGGCGCCATGTAAGCGCCTATGCACATCTGTCAAGTTCTAATAAATACAAAACGCACTACAACATAGTATGATAGTGAACTAATACACTTCCAAGATTGAGATGTGTTATCCACTGAAAACAATGTGCAAACTAAAAAGTTTGGGTAGCAATTCGCGGGGACGACTATCGTCCCATTTTTGGTAAAATACTACTATAGCCTACAGTATAAACTCAATTCTTGATAGTTGCCCTCAGAAGCATGTGACAACCTGTCCTCACCATTTGTAATAATAACAACAGCTTTAACCACTTCAACTTAGCCCCAAAGATCGTAGGCAGCAGTCTTGCCCACGTTTGCCCTTTTTAGCGCATCCAGAGCATTTTGAAATCTGGACCTGACCAAATTTGACCAAGGGCACCAGGACACTAGCTAAATGGAGATCCTTTTGTACTCATCTAATTTGTATTCCAAACTAGATGAGTTACACTAAGGCATTGCCTACTCGCCAGTTGTTAGATCTTAATTTTGCTAGTCGCGTTCTATAGGCATCCTAACCAGGAATCTTTTTGAATGGAATTGTAAGCAAATAATATCATATATATATTAACGAGAAAGAGAGTTTGAACTGGAAGGTCTAATGGGTACGCATTCCTCTAAGTTGGTGGTGATCATTGGTATTTAGTCTTAAGTTCCTATTATTTAACACATTTAGGTCTGGAATTGTTTTTAATCGTAGATATTGACACAGTACATAATCTCCCAAGAGAGGGTAGTGATCATACTTCAAAACACAAGTCAATGTTGCATTGGCGCTTCCTACGGTGAATATATCCTATCTTCCAAGCTGCGCAGATTGCTGATACCAGCGGTCATATCTCCAATCCATGCTTCAATATGCCGGGTAGAAATACAACAGTCACAGTAATGCACCGCATAGTCAAAGTCTCTTTTGATCTGGCTATTATCAAAAACTTCTACCCATCCTTCGTCCAGTCTTCTCATCTCATCAATGAATATACCGCGTAAGAGAGTGGTCTCATACTCCCATAGGTGCTCAAAGTAAAGTTCACTGGGTTGTCCATTATCTTTGATTCCATAGCGTCCAATAACAGGCTCTTGGCGTCGCGGTCTCCCCTCTAAAAATGAAGGATAATCGCAGACCTTCCATAAAGGCACCGGGCACACAGACTCCCAGCCTAGGACACCAGTCAGCTCCCCACTGTCATCAACGAGGATATTGCCTCGCGAGAGGTCATCGTGAAATATCATGGACGGTTCTGGATTATCGTCAGCCGTTGGAAAGACCAGAGGAAGAAGGGATCTGAGGTTGTCGATTATTTTCAATGTCCTTGTAGCATCCTTCACTTCATCTTCACCGTCGCTATCAGGATCTTCAACTGCGTGCTTAATCAGAGCCGAATGACAGTCATTTTCGTTGAATAAAAGGCGAGCTATGAGTCAGTCCCTACTTGAGCGAAATGGACCTCGGTGAACATCTTGGTGGATATGTGAATCCCAGAAAAATTGCATAGAAACAATCCGGCCCACATCAGGTAAGGCCCCTTCTGAAGAACCTGTGTTGGGCGGACTAAATAGAGGGGCCCCGGAGTGATTTTTCATGGATACGCTACCATCATCTGGGTCGGTTTCCCTTGCCGGAACTGATATTAGAAGGTGGAGTTTGCTCGCTCGATGTTAGATTTTCAATGACAGATAATTCCCCATAGATGTTTCCAATTCCGCGTAGTTAATTTTGAAAAAGTGCAGCCGAGCTTGCCGCAAGTTCCCTAACCAGGCGTACTTTCACATCGAAGGAAAAAGACTGCAAATCCTCACGAAAGGGCTTCCCAGGCATTTCAGTCATGAGCATCCATTCAAATCCGACCAGATTGTCACGAGAAGGTTGGTAGGTAATAACTCTAGGTATTGGGAGGCTTGTGATACGGCGCACCCAATCCATTGTTGCCACTTCACTCATGACTTTGTATCGTGAGTCGACGGGCAATGAGACTCGCAAAATGGATGGTTTGTCATCTATGCTGACGTTGTAGATCTTGTTAAATCCACCCTGTGCGAGGAAAGTCACTTCAACCGTGCTTGATGGCCGAAGCGACTGTACTGTCTTAGTTATAGCCCCAATGTCAGGTTCAATAGTCCATCCGGTCTCAGAACCAAAGGTCTCTTCCACCCATGTGAGACCATGGAGCTGCGATTCTTGTGACTCCATTTTTGGTTGCACGAGGTAATATTGAGGCAAAAAAACACCGCTGTAGGTCCTAAGGTTGCTGCAATATGTTGCCCGGCTGAGACGGAAAAGATATATGCGATCTAAAAACTGCGGTTAGTGACCACAAGTGGGGGAGGATCCAGGGGCACCTCCCGCTGAGCCTCATTATATCCCAATGGCCCACGTGACTGGCATAGTCTATAACTCTTGAAAGCCCCCACAATCCTGTTTCCAGATATGTACAATGATTATTTCAATAGAGACCCAAGGGCGAGAGAGGTGTCATGTTAAATGCACAAGTGGTCCCACGTATCACTGCCACCGGGGATATTTTATATAGGCAAGTACCTACTTGAACGTTTTTAACGCCATTCGAGAACGAGCGAGCATAGATCAAGCAAATAAAGAGCATCTAGTGATCTTGGTCTTTGGATATGGTACTTTGGCCGTTTGACGGAGAAGTTAAGCTGGAAAATATTCCGGTTCTTTACATAGCAGACTGTCCAGTGGTGGAGGCGGATAGTAAGATATAAATTCAGCAAGAGGCTTAAGAATCTATAGTAGATCTCTAGAATAGAGTTGAGAGGTATCACTAGCAGTTACTTTTACGAATTCTACCAATGTACGACAAGTTAGTGAGTCCTATAAGCTATAAGTTCAACTATCAAAATCAAACAACTACGTAACAGAATTCATCGCTAACCACCCCTCAAAACAAATCAGTGAATCCACCATCTAGATAAAAGCATCATCAATCCACCATAAAATAACGAAGACCACAAATCAGTCATTCAAAATCCCACGGCTTTTCCCTCTAAAAGAGTCCATCATACCTAAAAGGCGTAGTCATAATCATCCATAAAATCATAAAATCGTAATCCCCATCAAATCTCAAACCCTCCCCCCAAACCCACTCCTTCCATCCCCATCGATCCCAACCCTAACTGGACTACTTCCCCCACTCCAACTCCCACCCTGAGAACTATCACTCCCACTCGCACTCCTACTCCCAGACCCGAACGAAAGCACATCATCCTCACGAGCACTCTTCCGTCCTGCACCAATTGCAGCACGCATTCCCTGCACAGCGCCACTGTGCTCATGACCCACAGGGTACATGCCGTCATTGACGGAGAAGTTCCGGCAGATAAGGTAGGCGCGCATAGCGGCGCTCTCACGTGCGAGAGTCTCGTTGCTGCAGATACTGTCGGTTTGATACTCGCGGTTGTTAACGCGCACAGTGCATGTGTATCCGCTGCTACTTGTGTATGCGTTGTAGATTGGTTCGGGCCAATTGCGGCGCCGACAGAGGCCTAGTTGTGATATGGTTAGTTTGATTCCCCGATTGGTTTGGAATTGATGTGGGGAAGGGACTTGGGCTTAGGTGTTTATTTTTTTGCATTAGGGGATTGGGCTCGTGTATTGGCAATGCTGCATGACACACATAGCTTCGAGATGAGATGGGGAGGATGACTTACTGGTCAGGTAGAGGATATAGTACATCTTGGGATTTGGACTGGATGCAAGCCGGGAGCAAGAGAAAGGTGGGAAAACTGGAGACGGACGACAGCGTTGCCACTCGTCTAACTGCAACGAATTGGGACGATTACTCGACACACATTGGGCGGATCTGGCTTGCAGGGTGACGGGTTTAGGGCTGATTCTGTGCTGCTAGCAGAGTAATATGCGGATTGTGATGCCCAACGGCGGGACTGCGTTTGCTTTGCTAGTGGGAGGATGTGCTGGCGTTCCAAAAGCACGATTATACTAGTAAAGACCAAAGGTCTAACTCAGAGAGGGGAAAGAAAATTGGAGTGAGAGCAAGAGGAGAACTAAATCAGGACTGGAAAGATGCCACCATATACAGATATACTAGAACCGAGTCCCCCGTACAACAGAAAAAAAAAGAAAATTAAATAAATAAATGAGGGGAACAGAGCTGTTTGCCATATACTTGATATTACTTCAAAAACAGGTGGGGCTTTTGCATTGATACCCTCAAGTCATACCGTGAGCTGGCCGGTGTACACAGTACAGGGAAACGGTTGCAATTGCGACAGCGCACAAAGGAACAAAAAAGGAGATGCTTCCAATGCAGTTGACCTGAACAAGAAAATATTGAATCAAAAAGTTAAACCTGAGATTTCAATACCCACCGAAAGATTGAAGGGGAAAAAAAAAGAAAAGACAAGTATACAGTAAACAGTAATATTAAGCTAGTAAACAAACTTCGAAAGAGACCCTAGGACACGGATCTGGAATCCGAGTATAGACTACTTCACTCAAGTAAACAAAGTACAAGAGAAGAGAGAAGAAGAAGAAGAAGAAGAAGAAGAAGAAGGTAGATGCCTGCAAACGCCAGACTCGCATTGGACGTTGAAAAGCCACGCCAAAGATAAAAAAGTAACAGTAACTCAAACGGGTGTTCGACGTGTTTCGTCCGTTTTCTCGGCGGGTTTTTACTGATGCGCTGGCATATCTCTTTGCCAGTAGAACCGGGAGTCACCGTGGGTAAGATGTCTGATTATGCTGCAATTCGCCGATCGAAACATAAACATTCTCGGAGACTAACCTTGCCCGCTTGCAGAAGGGGTAATATCTGAAGATTATTCACGGAGTGATTCGAATAGTCTTATAGGACTATATACTCTGTAAACGGGATTTTGTTACCCTCAGAATGGCTTTCATTTTTGGCCCCGCAGACGCAAAGTGCAATTAAATTTGCCGCCCTGGATATCAAGACGTGCAGGTCTGAGAATGGTGATTAGCGCCAAGGAGGGGTTCATGTTGTGCAGAACGCATCTAAAGAGGGGTTGTGAAAGGATTATGAGACAATAAAATACTTCACCAGAAGTAATAGGAATCGGAACAACATCGGAGAATGGGAAATTGCATGCACCGAGGAACTTCACTCGGCAGGCATCGGACGCAGTGATGAGCTGGCATTGCAGTGGGGAAAGGCGTTAGATTTATCTGCATCTTCTACTATTACTTTTACCCTCTTGGGTCTTGTGCAGGTGTCTCTGTGGCAAAATACACTATAATTTACAAAGCCATATTGATCGGCGAGAATAGGAAAAGTAAAATCATCGTCCTTAGCGCTAAAGTGGGTTCGAAAACTTCAGACCGGTGAAACAACTGCCAGCACGAAAGAAACAAGGACATGAGCAATTGGTGTTATGTGCTAGGACCTGTGCTGTAAAGTCATACTCGGACCCCCGACATTCCCAACCGCATAGATCCAGCCCCTTGCGTCTAGGTCTCGCTCACAGCGTCTTCCTTGGCTTGAAATCATCCTCGTGGCTCCCATGTTATGACCGCTGCTATGACCACGGGGCTTGCAGTCTCAAGCATCTAAGACTAGTCATGCATATGCACTCGCTCGGAGTCTCTGGTTACCAATGACACCCTGCTGCTTCAACTTTCCGAAGGCAACCTCATCCGTCATGGCGCTTTGTCCCGTGTCTTCTTTTTGATATGAGGTCGGCTTACACCCCTTCCTCGTAGATAGTAGGGGGCTGGACCTCGGACCAGAGCCGCATTTGCTCCGCGGCTTTGTGTGGGATCACATACAAAGGGTGCATTGCCTCTAGCCGATCGCCTCTCGAAAACACATTGCTCGGATCACGGCTTGGTGAAGACTTCCAGGAAAATGAGGATGAAAAGTTGCCGCTTGAGACACTCGAGCCTGTTCGGTAATGATGGTTTTGAGTCGCGCTCAATCCTGCCATAACGTAGCAGGTGTGGTATGAATCGACGTGTCTTGGTCTTGATCAGCTACATGTGCAAAAAAAAAAAAAAAACTGTCACAGATAGGAGTGAACATACTTGCCCGGTTTATCGCGAAGACCACCATCGACCCCTTGACAACATCCAAGGATGTATCGGGTTAAACCTTCGCGGCTGAAAAGACTGTTGGCTGGTGGCTCGGCGGTGTCTGGCTTTCCTTGCAGAGAAGATTCAATCAATGGCCAGCATCCACCCACCCAATGGCTGTAACATCCATCAACCAGCTTATTTGTGCGTCCGGAAAGACCACCTTCTGGGGCGGACTGACGTGCAGACAACCACGACACTAACATGGGAATATCCATGTGTCTATCAGGAACCATTAGCATACAAGAATCAGAGACCATTCCGACCTGGAGTAGTCACCTATTGAACATCTCCTCGGGAGATCCCAAGATAGACAGACATGCTAGAGCGCAAAAGGCGTATGCCCCATGAGCCTCCGATCCAGGGCTGCCCGAGATACCTCCTTCAAATGTTTGGCCTAGGGGTGAGTGTTAGCACATCTTAAGCCTGCTACAACCCAAACCACCAGTAATTCATACACCGTGAAAGATATTCAGGAAGACCGCTCGTCAAATTGAACAAACCGGCCTCCCGCGCTTGGCAGCCCGGAGCAAGCGTCAGCGGCAGATCCAGTAGCGAAATCAGAGTCATAGCGCAGTATGCGCCACTACATTAATGACATGTCAGATCTTGCATCGGGGAAGAGGGAGCAGGTTTACGAGCAAGCGCCTGCTCCAGCCCTGCAGTTTCACTTACCGCACATCTTCCTCCCCGCCTTCACAAACACGGAATCCCCCATCTGGCTGCTTCAATCGGCAGATCCATTGCCATCTAGGAAAGCCAGACATAGATAGTCAGACGCAAAGGACCACACATGCACATGCAACAGGACGCTGCCGGTGACAACTCACATCGCGTTTCGATCCACCAATTCAAAGGCCTGTTCGCCTCCAACCATGGCCAGCGACAGGATGGCTGCATAACTGCCCGCTAGATGAGATGTCTGGCCGTGGCCGCCGCCAAAGCCACCTGTGGGGTTCTGCATCGGCCGAAGCGTAGTGATCACACTAAAATAGAGCAAAGTTTAGAATGGCTTTCTTTTCACATGTTTCACGTTGTACAGATGATCTTTTCCAATCAGGGTATATCTCCTCTAGAGGCTCTCCATTGTGTGGATATATGACAGGTAGAAAAAAGCAAATAGGAAAACGAGGCGGGGAAAAGGAAATAATAAAAAAAAAGCAAGGAAGTAATGCACGCACCGTTCGCGAAACTGAGTCGTATCTTCTCCCAGCATGGCAAGTCCCGCCAATGCCCAGTACACAATCCACGGGCGGCTGGCGTCCATGGCGACGAACCCCTCGGGATAATCCTCCAGGGCATCATAGAGGTAGCCGGTGTGAAGATCACGTTGCAGGGCGGGCACACCATGTTGGTTAAATTGAGTCTGGGTGCTGTGGATGCCTTTTAGGAATGGCAGGCATTTTTCCAGCGTCGCGTTCTGCAGATCGATTGTCTCGGTGATAAGCGGGTCACGGATGGCTGGCGGCTGCGTAAATAAGGCCGGGATCCCCGGGCGCGGTTTAGAGTCTGTCGACATGATTTTGACTAATGATGAGGTTGGGTTGGATCTTTTCGGGAATCGAACTTTGCGAGGTTTCCCGATGAGTGGCATAGGTTTATGTAGATTTTGAAGTTCAAAGAGATGTTTGAAGTTGCTTAGTATTGTTCTGTCGTGAATGTAAAAAAGTCTAGAAATATTTCTTTGTTTCCCCACAACCAAATATTCCCATTTGACATCAGATAGTTTTCCTCGATCTTTTAGTTAAACAGTGATGCATTCCTATAACTATATCAGTTACTCCTTAATGTCCTGCAAGTCACAAAAAGTCAATATAAATATATATGTGATTGATCTGACGCCATGTAGTGATATTGTCGGCTTACACCCTTGCTGCATGTGCCCAGGTGTCCCCCAGTAAGAAAAGACCTGTCCAATTTCTTGTTTTGCTGTTCACGATGTTAACTTGGCGTTCTCAACAAGATTCCACATTCTCTCAATATACTCTGTGCTATTCACTATTTTACTATTCTACTATTTTAATATGAATATTATATTATATTATTACTCCATACTCTATACGCCGTATATATTTTTTTATAAAACGGTATGCATGGTCAGCATACTGAACTGGCCTAAATACCGAGATAGGGAAGGAAAACAGCTGATTGGATCTGATTAGGAAGGACTCAATTTATTTATACGATCAGACTGTCAGATCTCGGTTATTCCTATTGCCACTATCTGTACGCACTGTTTTTTTTTTTTTACTTTTCCCCCCACTGATCTTCCTCGGTCTCACGGATGATTTACCGTAAGGATCTCAGTATAGCCCTGGAGAACCTAGGAAAGAAAATAAGATATACGGAGTCTATCAAAAAGTGATATAATAAAATAGATATATCAAGATATGGAAAAAGATATGAAATATAGTAGGAGAAACAAAAAAACAAAAACAAAAAAAATAAGGCAACCTTCCAAGTTAGGAAATATTTCAATAAATACCCACTCCATACAAGATCATGGGATCAGCAGGGTAACTATCCCATAATACACTAATGCAAACTAAATCCGTGGCAATAATTTCATCGTTCAGTACTGGATCAATGTCCTCTCCCTCTCTCCACAACTCCCCTAGCGCATTTCTTCGCTCACCGCTGCTTTGTCCCCCCCACCGCCTCACTTCCCTCTTCTTCATGGTGGTGTCACCCTTCTGAAGAAGGTCCTCTCATCCAGGCTGGTCCTTTTCTTCCCCTTCTATTTCCCTTCCCCGTGATCGTTTTGGCTCCAAAAAAGTCATGTCCAATGTCGATATATCCAGTGACGGCCTGATTGGCGTCGATTATGACTCTAGAGGTTATCTTCAGCACCAAACATGGCCTGTGGCGGTAGAACAGGTACCCCCACGGTCAGAAGAGGCCCATGGTCTCTCTCCGTTACAAACTGGCGGTCACCCTATGGAACAGTCGGTGACCCATGATCCAAATCTCATGGTCGATTGGCACTTTCAACAATTACACACCCACCATCAGCTTTCATATTCGCCCGAAGACCCATCCTCAGCGCCCCAGTTCACCACTAGTTATGGAATGCCCATGCAGTCTTCCCCCGTCGATCTGATGTCTGGCCAGGGCCAGATGAATGCGGGTTTGCTCGATGGTCCTTATTTGCCAATGTCAGCCCCAGTCGACATGGTCCCATTCACATATCAGGACTTTCAAGCGGATTTAATGACCTTCCCCAACGGGCTTTCGGATGTTTCTTATGCCCCGCACCCCGTTCTTGAAAGCAGCTCACCCACCGATACTTATTTGGAGGTCCGTTCCTTGTCCAGCAGTGACAACGGCTGGAGTACTATCGACCACCGCCGCTCTCTCGACTTTGGTTATCCTGAACAAGGTGTTTTCGTCAACCCCACCCAGACACTGCACGACCGCAGCCTTTCGGAGTCTTCATATTCCACATCATACGGCAGCTTTGTGGATATCGCCCATCCGATCGGTTCTCCTGGTTCTGAGAATAATATGGACTTGCCTTGCTATAATCATCATGGCCATGGCCACGGCCATAGTTACAGTCATAGCCATACTCACAGCCACAACCACAGCCACAGTCATAGTCACAGCCACAGTCACAGCAGCTCCATTGGAATTCACGGTACCTCCCCGACAAGCAGCGCAATCGTCCTTCGTGATCAGTCTTCGCAAGGTTCTCGCTCGCCTTCCGCAGTCAGTCCCGTTGGAATGGTGCGGCCGATCCCGGTTCCGATCAAGAAATCCACATCCCCTGCTCGATCAGCTGGATCTTCTCAAGCATCTACCTCGCCACCGAGCCGAAAACCGTCCCGCAAAAGTCCCATTGCCGCCAAGACCGCCGAGACTAAGGTTCGCAAGCAGTCCCAGACCGGCAAGCCCGAGACCGAGAAGCGTGTTGGCAAGCGAAAGGGCCCCCTCAAGCCCGACCAGCGGAAACAGGCCAGCGAGATCCGGAAGCTGCGCGCGTGTCTGCGCTGCAAGTTCCTCAAGAAGACATGTGACAAGGGCGAGCCTTGTGCAGGATGCCAACCGTCGCACGCACGGTTATGGCAGGTGCCATGTACTCGCATTGATATCAAGGAGATTGGGTATTTCATGAAGGACTGGAAAGCGGATTACGAACGCCACATCACCATGGGCTTCTCTGTCGGCAACATTACCGGATTCTCCGATCAGGAACGCACTCTCTTCATCACTCACGGTTATGGACAGGTCATGCCTATCAACGCTCGCGAGGTCTATGTTCGTGACGAGAAGTGTTTCAACATTGACTGGATCGAGTCGATGCAGCGTGATCCAACACAATACGAGGTCGAGACCGCCAAACTGTCGGCTGGTATGGAGGGCATCTCGCAAGCGATGCTGTCGGATTACCTTGACCGCCACATCGACGGCAATGGCACCTTTGAGAAGTTTGTCGACGATTACTTCGAGGGCACTCCTTTCCTGACGCAGATGCTCAAGACCGCCTTCCGCTTCTACTTCCGCACTAAGCTGCCCGTTATCCGGAAGGCACTCAAGCTGGTCGTTGCTTACAACCTCACCATGCATGTCACCATGGTTGAAGGCATTGGCGAAGAGGAAGGCTTCCTCGGCAAGATCAAGACCAAGGGCTCCAAATTCGCTGGCAAGACCATGGCTCCTGTCATGATCAACTTCCAGATTAAGTATGCCATGGCTAGCATGTGGCGTGACCTGCAGAAGGATGTGCTGGAGGAGCTGTCGGCTCTTTACTCGAGTGTGTACAGCGGCGACAAGCTGAAGAACTGGCCGACAATCTTCATCCTGGCCTCCATTCTGTTGGCCGTGTGGGAGGAGATGCAGTTCGACAGCCACTACCGGACACCAGACCAGTCTGCCGTTGATAAGTTCTGCAACGATATGGAAACCACACCGGTGGGCGTCATCGTCGGGTTGTTCCAGGCCATTTCACAGAAGCTCCCCCCGTTCACCGAGTGGGACTCACAAAAGCACCACCAGCTGTTGTACTCCAACCCCGATGTTTGCAACACCATGACCGAAGTCCGCCAACATGTCGAGCAACATGGTAAGAGACGAAACTCTTACAATCTCTCATTGATCTTGGAGACTAACCCTATCTTGCAGAAACCTATCTCCGCAGCCGTAGCGGTACGAAATTCAACCGTGGCGACTTTGACTGCCTTTCAAATAAATTTGTGTCGCGACTGGTCATTCGCGCCAATTAGACGACCTCGATGCGCAAACGCATTATGATGATGATATTTACCACGACTGCCGTTTTCCAGCGAGTACAGTTCCGCGATTTCGTTTTGAATGCTTATGCGAACCATTGTCGTGACGATGCGCGAGCGCATCTATCGCTCTTTAACGAAGAATCCGACGGGTCCCCCTCCTAGCGAGGTTCTGCCCATTTTTTGTATTGTGCTTCCGAGCGAACCGACTTTCTTTTGATCTAGCTTTTCATGAGCCTTGTTTTTTTTGGTCTTTTTTTGGCGTCTTTTTGTCATATTTACCTTTTCCTTTTTCCTCTGTTTTTTTTTTTTTGCTCTTGTCTTTGGTGTATACCTACCTTTCTTCGCATAGCTTTGCCTCCAGCGATGAACGAGGATCACGAATGTCATGACCGTGTACGGCCGAAGGTGTTTTGTTTTGTTTTGATTTTTGTGGCATCTGGCACCCGCCACGGAACAGGCCAATTCAAGTTAAAGCAGTGCCCCGAGAAAGGGACTGTCTTAGCCCCGAACTGCCACATTCTTGGCTGACGCATATCTGCCGGGGACGGCGTCGGAGGTATTTTTGCGAAGAGCGGATTTGTTTATACATTGCCAATGGGCTGCTCTATATGATAGTTTTTAACTCTACTTGAAATCTGATTCTTATTTTTGAATACATATAAAAAGGAAGAAAGAAAGAAACAGAAAAAAAAAAGGACTACAGAGTACACGAATGATACTAAGTTTGGAAGCGGGTACAGAGTACCCGGGAGACCGTAATAGTTGCCATGTACAGCCCCGTACCCTCTACTTTCTCACTAGCGTCCCCATTTTAAGGTCCACCCCCTCTTTTCGATAAGCAACACAACGTCATCACTTGGGGGAATCAGACTTGAGACTTGAGGGATATAACAGATATTTAACACCCTATAAGATAGGAGAAGATCATGGAATCTTAATAATAGTCTATTTGTAGATATCCAATAGAATATCCCTTTCGGAGTTTTTCAGGTGGCGTCAAATGGGCTGTTCCCAGGCACCCCCTGTTTGACTCATCCGGCACCTTCTGGCATTTTCAGAGCGTCACCTGCACCTGACTAAGACGCCTCGCCCCCTCATCCTTCTAAGGTTTCCTACATAAGGACACTGTTTTCCCCTCTTCCACTTTTTTCCTTTCAACCCACCCATTCTCTAGGTCGCTTTACTTGAGAGCATCCTTTTCTTCAAACCATATCAAATAAGCCCATCATGCAGATCTTTGTCAAGACTCGTACGTTCACCTATTCTAGTCTACTCGACTTTCTTGCCATGGACATCCTTACTAACATCATTTTCTCTAGTCACTGGCAAGACCATCACCCTTGAGGTTGAGTCCAGCGATACTATCGACAATGTAAAGTCCAAAATCCAGGACAAGGAGGGAATTCCCCCCGACCAGCAGCGCCTCATCTTCGCAGGCAAGCAACTTGAAGATGGTCGCACCTTGTCGGACTATAACATCCAGAAGGAATCCACACTTCACCTCGTCCTCCGCCTCCGTGGTGGTATGCAAATTTGTAAGTGTTGTCTCCAAACTCATGTCGTTTGTTCTTGACTAACATTTGCCACAGTCGTAAAGACCCTGACCGGCAAGACCATCACCCTTGAGGTTGAGTCCAGCGATACTATCGACAATGTAAAGTCCAAAATCCAGGACAAGGAGGGAATTCCCCCGGACCAGCAGCGCCTCATCTTCGCAGGCAAGCAACTTGAAGATGGCCGCACCCTCTCAGATTATAACATCCAGAAGGAATCCACACTTCACCTCGTCCTTCGTCTACGTGGTGGTATGCAGATCTTCGTCAAGACCCTTACTGGCAAGACCATCACCCTTGAGGTTGAGTCCAGCGATACTATCGACAATGTAAAGTCCAAAATCCAGGACAAGGAGGGAATTCCCCCCGACCAGCAGCGCCTCATCTTCGCAGGCAAGCAACTTGAAGATGGCCGCACCCTCTCAGATTATAACATCCAGAAGGAATCCACACTTCACCTCGTCCTTCGTCTACGTGGTGGTATGCAAATCTTTGTCAAGACCTTGACTGGAAAGACTATCACACTGGAGGTTGAGAGTTCAGACACTATCGACAACGTGAAAAGCAAGATTCAAGATAAGGAGGGAATTCCCCCTGACCAGCAGCGTCTTATCTTCGCTGGTAAGCAGCTGGAGGATGGACGTACTCTTTCGGACTACAACATCCAGAAGGAGAGCACCCTGCATTTGGTGCTGCGTCTGCGTGGTGGTCAGTAATTGATTCAATGATTTTTCTTCAACTTCGATAGGTTCTACATGACCTGCATGGCGTTTGATCGGTTTTCGAGGCTGAGGCTTCTTTGCAACTTGTTTCCTGAGGACGGCTTCTCTCTTTTACTTGCCCACTTTATCATTTGATATGTGATAGATAGTTCTCTACAATTCACTCTAGCAACCCTTTGCTAGTCTCTACCGAGCATGCCATCTAATCGTAGGTGAACTTTTATGTAGTATTTACATCGATGCCAACATGCATGTTTATCCCTCCAGCATCTCATCCATGTGCAAATGACATATAGGCAATTCGGTTCAATCTCACCAGTTCTCGCCACCTCACTTAGAAGGCGCTTCATAAGGTCAGTTTTTGCCTCTTTGCCACTCTCATGTGCCAGGAACCACTTGTGGCGCAAAGCGCAGAAGCGGGCGACAATAAAATTCCTGGTTGTACATGAAAACTTGTGTATGATATACACTCTTCTAGCATTTGATTTTTGTGATCACAGCTATAAAACTGAGGGGGGAAATAGCCGATTAAAAGAAGACATCTGAAAAGTGTTTCAAGAAAGACTACCAAAAGGCATTATTACCAGGCCAAGTCTCCCGTGGTTCTCCAGGGCTGAGGTCCTGCCCGAAATCCTTGCATTAAGTAATCATATCCTTATCGTCAACGGTGATAACACGACTTCCTCTTTTGACAGTTCCAAGTCACAAAGCTCCAAAGGATGTGAGCCGTCATCCGTGATGCCCGCTTACTTCTATCACCTTAGCTTGCAACTTCTCCCCCACAGTCTATCCGACGCGCCAGGCTTGCAGGGATCCTCTCTCGCGCTACAATCCGCATGGGAAGCTCTCCAGCCATTCCAACGGAGCCGGCCATCAATTTCCAACCGCCTATCGCCCGGAGATAATAAAACCCCACTCCCAGACCACAATTTGGCGCATCGACAGAAAGTCATATCCACCCTCTCCACCCACAGCACTCTCACCCCACCAGGAACCACCCCCTCCGCCAGCACCTCCACTAGCTCCTCAACCACCACTCTACTCGAAGACGACAAGCGCTTCGGCGCCGTCTCCATCGAGTGCATTGACATGGTCACTCCAAAGCACCCGTCCAAGCGCACCTCGAAGCGCGGCTCCATATCCACCACAGAACCAGAAAACCTCGTTGCCACAGGCATTGGCACCGATATTCTAGGCGGCCTTCGCACGAAAGGCAGATACATCCCACTCGATTACGAGCTTGCCGACAGTGTCTGGGGAATTGTACACCTGTACCGCGACTCACAGGAGACGCCCTACCTCGCAAACGATGACGAGTACCCCGCCTACCTGAAGGGCTCCTCAGCTGCGGCCCGCCATCCCGGTGAGCAGCAGGCTACGTTTAGACAGGGTCTGGCCGGTGTCGGGGGTGCTAAACAACCTGGGACGGCGGGCCTTGCGGAATACCCTTTTCCTGAGACGACTTCTTCCTCTGTGCAGAGTCCAGATGAGGATTGTACGACACTATGTATCCTTGCTGTGCCGTCTTATCTGTCGCCACCAGACTTTTTGGGGTTTATAGGACAGAAGACTATGGACGATGTCAGTCATTTTCGAATGATTAGGACTGCGCGTGCGAATCGGTATATGGTTTTGATGAAGTTCCGGAGCGGGCGAAAGGCAAAGGAATGGCAGAAGGAATGGAATGGCCATGTGTTTAATAGCGTCGAGCCCGAAACCTGCCATGTTGTTTTTGTGAAAACGGTTGAAATTCAAGTCGTGGATGCCGGAACACCGTCTGAGCAGGACGCTCTCTCTTCTAACCTTTCAACTCCTTCTCGTCCCCCAGTATCTTCTACCGGACAAGCAACGCTCACCGGCAAACCTCTCGCACCACCTACCCCTGCATTAATCGAACTACCAACCTGCCCAGTCTGCCTAGAGCGAATGGACGAAACTACAGGACTCCTAACAATCAACTGCCAACACGTCTTTCACTGCACATGTCTCCAAAAATGGAAAGGTAGCGGCTGTCCCGTGTGCCGATACACACAGGACGACTACCGCAAAAGCAGCGCATCCATCAAATCAGACGGAGAACCTCAAGAATGCAGCATCTGCCACTCAGAAGAAAATCTCTGGGCCTGTCTAATCTGCGGCACAATTGGCTGCGGCCGCTACGACAATGCCCACGCCTTCGCCCACTGGAAAGAAACATCCCATGCTTTTTCCATGGACCTCACCTCCCAGCGCGTATGGGACTACGTAGGTGACGCCTATGTTCACCGCATCATCCAAAATAAAACAGACGGAAAGCTCCTCGAACTACCTGCAGCAGACCACAGCGCCCTCGATCCACCAGACTGGGGCGACGCCGTCCCCCGCGAGAAACTTGAAAACATGAGTTTAGAATACACTCACCTTCTCACCAGCCAGCTGGAAAGCCAACGTGCGTACTTCGAAGAAGTCGTCGAGCGTGCGGTCGACAAAGCCTCGCAGGCTAGTGCCGCCGCCGCCGTAGCAGAGGTTAATGCTTCCAACGCCTGCTCGCGTCTAGAAGAAATACAAGCCAAGTACGATGCCGTGACAATTGAGACCCTGCCGTCGCTTGAACACGACCGCGCACGTGCAGAGAAAAGAGCAGAGAAATTCGAGGCACTGGCGCGTTCATTTGAGAAGGGGTTTCAAGAGGAGAAGGCTATGAACCGAAATATGTTATTGCGGTTGGAGGGGCTTTCTAAAGAGGTTGATGAACTCAAGGCTGTGAATGCGGATCTCGCGGACCAGAATCGCGATTTAACGTTCTTTATTAGCGGCACGCAGAGGTTACAAGGGCAGGGTGAGGAGGTTGAGCAGGGGACTATCTCTGTACCTGAGCCGCCGACTGCTTCAAAGAAGAAGAGGAAGGGGAAGGGGAAGGGGAAGAGGTAGTTTTGAGGAGGTCTCTGTTTACTTTTGCTCGGAATTAGAAGTGAGTTGGTCTTGAGGTTGTATTCTTTTGCATCCCTAATAAGGATGCTTTTGGGTGGTTATATGTATTTAGCGAGGTGTATTCAGTACACTAAAAACGAGTCAATGATATGAATTTACGAACCATCGATACGGAATTAGTACAAGATACAAGAATTCAGACAATCAACTATACAAATATGCACCTGGACAAATATAGCTGTTTTCGCTGAATAACAAGAGGTATGTGTCACTATGGGAAACGGACAGGCTGACATTTCCCAAACTCAACTTCAACAACACCTCAAATCCACACAAATTGAACTGAAATAACTATCTTCAGCAATGGGATGCGACTATTACGGCCCTGAACCTGATATCATGCCGCTCGAGGCTCCAAGCGAGAAGACGAGCACGGCCTCGGGTCGGGAGGAGTTGACCCCCGAGAACCCGGATGATTGCTGCTCTTCTGGCGACTGCGCGGATAACAAGCCCCATAATCATACCGACGTGCCTGACTGCTGCTGTGGCAAAGTCAGCCCATGCTGCGACACGTCTTGCCTTGACCGCTTGGCTATGCGGGAATGCGGGATGAGTGCTACTGCTACCCGCGGCCTAAATATTCATCCAAATAGTGAGTATGCTCTGAGAATGACATCTAAAGATTTCTAACTCCCTTTAGCTTGCGATGGAGTTACCGACTATAAGGCATGTAACCAACATCATCTCTCTACCCTCGACCGCTACGGCGCTACTCTACAAGCCCTGGGATGCATCTGCCGCGCTCTCATCGCTCTTAGCTAGGAAACCTGCTGTGAAATTCGCGAGCAACAGTTACTGGACGAGAGGCAGTACTCTAAAAAGTCATCTGCTCCCTCACTTCGCACTCCGCTGGATTCCTGCAGCACCAACGGCTCCGTCGCCAAGTATTAGATAGCGCAGAACTATCTTCGCCTGCGAAAGGGTTCTGGTGAAAGCACCAAGTCTATTAAGAAGGCGTCCGCTGATGCTTGCGTTGTCTCTTTTTATTCGAAGAACAAGCCCACTAAAGAGCCTATCAAAAGCAAGTGCTCGAAGCCGTATTATTCTGAGGACACGCCTGCCACGGCTCCATTCGTCAAGGACAACTATACTAAGCCTTGCTACTTCCTCGAAAAGCCTGCGAATTAGCTTACTGCCCAAACTAAATGCCTTGATTCTTACTGCTCGGTAGCTCCCTGTGTCGAAGAATCTCCTAAGGTCGGCTACCCCGGATCTTACTATTCCGGAGACCGGGATGTTAAAGATATTGATACTAAGAGTGTCGATGCAGACCCATACTGTCTAAAGGCTGAACCAGTTTTTGGGCCTCCAACTACTAGGTATGTAGGGTCTTTTTGTAGAACATCTAAGAACACGATCACTAAAGAGGTTCCCAATGCCACCTCCTCTGGCTCTTACTGCGAGCAACTAAGGTAAGATATGGTAAAGTCCCCAATAACTAGTTACATGGGTTCTTGCTGTACAGAACAGTAGCCGGCCAGCCCTCAAGGCTCTTGCCCCGATACTTGCTGCTCCTCTACTATTCCCAGTTCTGCTTTTAAGATTCAGAAAGCCTCGATTCATACCATAACCGACGTAGAGAATCAGGGTACCGGTAAGGAACATGTTATTCTCAGTATTTCTGGAATAACTTGCACTAGTTGCGAGACCAAGCTCAACCGAACCCTTGCAACTATCCCTGCCATCAAAGACCTGAAAACCAATCTTATTCTCTCACAAGCCGAGTTCAACATTAATCTAAGCCTTGGCTCAGTGGATGAAGTCATAAAATATCTAGAGCGAACCACTGAATTTAAGTACGAAAGAGTTCAGAACCAGGGATTTAGCCTAGATCTTATCGTTCCTGATGAACCCTCGAAATTCATTAGTCAGATGTAGCCAGACGGAGTTCTTAACATAGCACTCGTAGACAAGCAGACCGTACAAGTTGCGTTTAATCCAAAGATTATTAGAGCTCGAAACCTCACCGAGAAGATCTAGGGTCTGCGAACTAAACTCGCCCCTCCACGCGGTAACACTTCGCTAGAGGCTGGCAGCAAGCACGTTCGTCATGTCGGATACATAACGCTTTTCTCCGCTGTCTTGACGGTTCCAGTTCTAGTTATGGCGTAGGCCTCGCTTCCTCAAAGGGAGGTAGCATACTCCTCAGCTTCACTCACCTTAGCCACGATTATTCAAGTTATCATAACAGGGCCTTTCTACCCAAAGGCCCTAAAGGCTCTCATTTTCTCGAAGGTTATCGAGATAGACCTCTTGATTATCTTAAGTACCAGTGCCGCCTACATCTTCTCGGTGGTCTCCTTTAGGTATCTTATTACAGGGCGGCCCCTGTCGACAGGTCAATTCTTTAAAACGACTACTCTCTTGGTCACCTTGATTATGGTTAGTCGATAGGTTACCGCTCTCGCTCGTCAGAGAGCCGTTAAATCCATTTCTATCCAATCACTTCAGGCATCGACAGCTATCATTATCAACCAAACGAGTGGAACGGAACGTGAGATTGATGCCCGACTTCTTCAATACAGCGACACCTTCAGAGTTCTCCCTGACACCAGAATCCCGACCGACGGCACTATCATCAATAGGTCGTCTGAGGTTGATGAGTCCATGCTCACTAGTGAATCTAGACTAGTGGAGAAATATCCCAAGTCTGTGGTAATTGCTGGGTCCATCAATGGACCTAGAGTCATAACTGTTCGATTGAGTCGTTTACCTAGCGATAACACTATAAATGCCATTACTACGATAGTAGATAAAGCCAAACTGTCTAAACCTAAGTTACAGAATCTCGCAGACCGGGTAGCGTCCTACTTCATCCCGATTGTACTAACATTAGCAGTAATCACGTTCGTCATATAGGTTGCAGTAGGCATAACTATTCGTGGATATGATAGATCTGAAGCTACAATTCAGGCTATTACCTACGCCATTACTGTTCTTATCGTCTCTTGCCCCTGTGCCATTGGACTAGCTGTTCCTATAGTCATTGTGATTACCAGCGGAGTCGCAGCGGAAAGAGGTATTGTCTTCAAGTCAGCAGATGCTATTGAAGTGGCTCATAAGACGTCTCACGTCGTGTTTGACAAGACCGGGACCTTGACTCGGGGAAAGCTTTCTGTCGTCACGAAGAACTGCGAAAACGAGAACAATCTCCCGCTTCTTCTTGGACTCATCAAAAACAGCCGGCATCCAGTCTCGGTTTCTGTGGCTGCTCATCTCAAGGATGCTGGAGTTATGGCGTCTACTGTTCCTGGGCCCAAGAGCCTTACTGGCAAAGGGGTTGAAGCCACCTTCTATGGCCGGAAACTTCGAGCAGGCAATTCTCGCTGGCTGAATTTATCGGAAAATGAACTTGTTCAACCACTGCTTGCTCAAGGGTACACCGTCTTCTGCTTTACTATCGACAATGCGTTACAGGCGGTCTATTGTCTTGAAGACGAGCCCCGACCTGACGCTGCGAGCACGATTCAGACCTTGCAGAAGCGTGGTATCTCGGTACACCTCGTTTCTGGTGATGATGATGGAGCTGTCCAGTCCTTGGCGTGCAAGCTTAGCATTTTTAACGGCAATGTGCGTTCTCGAAGCTCGCCCGCCGATAAGAAGGACTACATCCAAACGCTCCTCAGTACTGGCAATCATAAGAAACCGGTTATTGTTTTCTGTGGTGACGGCACGAATGACGCCGTTGCTCTCGCACAGGCTACGATCGGCGTCCACATGAATGAAGGCACGGATGTCGCGCAATCTGCCGCGGACGTCGTTCTTATGCGGCCTTCTCTGGCTGGTATCCTCACCATGATGGACGTCAGTCGGAAATCTGTCAATCGCATCAAGTTCAACTTTACATGGAGCTTTGTTTACAACACTTTTGCAGTTCTTCTTGCTGCGGGTGCTTTTGTTAATGCGAGAATTCCTCTGGAGTTTGCGGGACTGGGAGAGTTGGTGAGTGTGTTGCCAGTCATTGCTGCTGCGCTGCTTCTGCGCTGGTCGAAGATCTAGGCATGGAGTGCCATCATGGGGTCACAAGTGAAGTTCCACGAACTGTTTTTTATGTCTGAAATCATCGTTTTGAAGAGGGGATAGCTCCTGCCATACTCGGTTTTGAATCGAAAGGGCAGATATGATGTTTTCGATCGCCTGTTCCGTAATAGACAAGACTCTTCTAAGGAAGCCTTAATGGGGTTTATTTTTAGAGGAGTAGTACCTGTGAGCACAGCTTGGAATTTTACGTGTTCGTTTCCGTAACATTTGACTCCGAAATGTATCTGCAACAATTACAGCCATTAGAACGAGAATACCTAGTCTTGTTAGGGTTCGAAAGAGCATCTTATGTGTCGACATGGAAGGCGATCACGGCCAGTAGCTCGAAACAACGTTGAATGCAAGTATAGATACACGCCCTAATAGCTCAAAACAATGCAAGTATAATACACGCCCTAATATCACATCTAAGCCTCCTTCCTAACAGCCCAGAAATAATTCCCCCAGTCCTCACTCCCAGGAACCATCTTCCACCCAATCCCAGGAACATAAATAGCACCTACACACTTCCACCTCATCCCCTCCGCAATAGCACTCCCACCCCTCGAAACACCCGTATCAGCAGCCCTCATCAACCCCTCCTGCAACCATCCCTTAACCTCATCCGGGTTAACAAACTTACCCCACTCATGCGTCCCGCGCGGCACAACACCAATAGGCCACGGCGCTTCAGCAATAACCTGGTTCAGAATAAATGACGGCAACGTCCGCGAAATAGTAGACCCAATTAGCCAACCGCCAGGCTTGAGTGCGCGCAAACAATTTGTGAGGAAGCCTAGAGGCGTTGAGGTTTTCGGGTCGATGTGTTCGAGCACTTCGAAGAGGGTTACGATGTCGTACTGTGAGGGAGTTTGAGTTGGAAGGCTGGAGTTTGGAGCGGATGTCGAAATCGGTGCGTTGCCGGCAAGTACATCCTCCAGCGTTGTGTTAAGGTACTTGAAACGGCCTGTGCGCAGATGCGTGTCGACGGTTGGATCTAGGCGCGCGTGCTCGCGCGCCATTTGGATTAGATCTGTTGAAGGGTCGATTGCGGTCATTGAGGCGGCGAGGGTTGGGGTTGGGGCTGCGGCTGTTGGGTCGAGTGGAATTGTTCGCGCGAGGGACTCGGCGAAGATGCCCCCGCCGCAGCCTACGTCGAGGTAGTTGAGGGTTGCCGTGGCGGGAGTGGATGCGGTTGGAGTTGGGGTTCCTTCTGCTAGGCAGGAGGCGATGAATTCGTGGCGGAGGGGGTTCATTAGGTGCAGGATTCGGGAGGGGCCCATTGGGTCCCACCAGGAGCTGGCGAGGGCGGAAAAGTGGGAGAGTTCATCGGCGGAGACGGAGGATGTTGAGTGTGCGCGAGTTGGAGGTGTTTGGATTGATGAGGCGGGTGCGGTTGCAGATAAAGAGTAGATTGGTGAGGGTCTCGTTGAGCGGAGCGCTGATCGGAGCGATCGGACTGAGAGAGGGAGGGTACGGGGTCGGAGGGAGGCCATTGTGTAGGTAATGGTGTTGGTTGTGGACTAGATTTGAGGTCCAAAGGAGAATTGTCTCCGGGAAATTTGTGCTCTGGTGAGCTTTTGTCGGCGCAGAGACTCGAGACTCGAGGGTTATCTGTAAATAATTGTTTAATAGGGGTCTCAGTGAGTTTTGAAAGCAATAGAGAGCATACCAGTGACAATATCCTGAGCAATTGAGAAGAGAAAGCCGCATGAAGCCGATCACCAAATTGGAGATACCGAGACAAACATGCCAAGACAGTTTGACTGCTGCTCAGAAGCTATGAGATCCTCGGCTACGATGTACATCGACTACACAACAGCAATGGAGTTGATGCATTGAGGCATTGATCATGTTCTATAATTCAGTTCTGCATACATATCATAAACATCCATCTATAAAAATCCAAGTGGTATCATACAACAAAAGAAACCCATTTCCCAAATTCAATACAGTCGGCAAAGATGCACATTATCCCAAGAGACAATTCTCGAAGCCCAATTGCTGCGGCATATGCGCATGAGGGGCTGACTCAGCTTGGCCATTGTTATCATGGATCTCGATATCCTTTGCACTAGCAGCGTAATCCCAGACATGCTGTCCAGACCAGGAAGCCAGCTGATCTGGCACAGCAGCACCGAGTATAGGGAGGAAATTCCCCGTGGTGATGTTGCAGTCGAGTCCCAGCACGGTTCTGCAACGATCGAGAAATGTAGGGAAAAGGTACGAAGGCGAACCACGTATCTGAGAAAGCGTGTGAAGTATACCCCACAGCAACTCGTTTGGATCAATAATTGACTCGGCCAGTCTATGGACGGCTTTTGGTCCAAGAGATCTTGTGACATCCGCGACGGACGACCCTAGATCAAAGAGTTTTTGTTCCTATAACATCCAAAATTAGTATACAAGCAAGCAACTTCAGCTCGGGCTGACATACCATTCCAATCCCATGCGCATCAACAGCACCCTGCGATGCAGCACCAATCACGCTCATCACGGATTTACCCACCATCACTGGAAGGTGAAATGGCAAAACTGCATCGTCACGCGAAGCAGGCTGTGTGGCATGGCTCATAGACAGTTTCCACATCATTGTCTGCAGCCACTGTTGCGTGATCAAGATATCAACCTGCTGGATCTCAAGGACCCCCTCTAGGGAGATAGCCTTGCACAGGTTAGATTGGATGGCAGAGGTTGGTGGCTTCTCCAAGATGCCATCTCCGCCACCGGCAGATATCCAATCATAAAGGTTCGGGGTGAGATTCTCAAAGATGTTGATGAGGTTGATGAATCCGTAAGCCAGGATAGGATCTTCTGAACACAGGACTTGAGGCTTGTGGATTGAGTTGCGCAGCATAACTGGCTTCGCTTGCTGGAGAGCATAACCTCTGTCGATGCATAAATTAGCACCAGTCCAACCCGTCATTGATCCTTCACGACTTACCTCTCTGTGATGAACAAAAGCCAGAACACACGCCGTCTTTCCTCCGCTTCTTCAACCTCATACTCTGCATACGTCTGCTCGCGATGCAAACCAAGTGTAAATGCAAATGAGGTAGCCTGGCACAAAAAGAACCAAGCCTGATCCTGACGATCAAGGTTCCCATACGAGGCAAACAGAAAGAACGAAGTCAAAAGTGACTCCGTGTTAAGTTCTTCTAAGACATCACAGTCCCGCCGCGCCCGCACGGCCTCCGCAAGAAGATCTTCCCCAGACATCAACGAGTGTCCGTCCCCGATGCTCATATTGTGAAAACGCGCAGGATCCGACACAGGTGTCGGCCCATCCAGTTTCAACTGGATATGTGTAGCTGCACACAGCGACGCCAAAAATGCATACCGCTGTGCAGACAGCTGGCCGGGCTGCTGGCAATCTTGCCGGAGCTGGTCCCCTCGGACCACTGGCATAATCGGGAACAAGTACTTGAGGTAGATATTGACATGGACGAGCAGAATCTGTGGTGAGAGACGGCGGGCGGCCGGTCTCGCATATCCATAGCCATAGCCAATGGCAGATTCCACATTTGAGTCCGTGGAGCTCGGAGACGAGACAAGATCCGGAGGCGGCAAGTGGGAAAAAGTATCCGAAAAGTCCTGGCCTGAGAACTGCGAGTCTGAGATTATAAACCCTGGCGAAATGGGCGAGTTGAATTGGTAATCCGGGATCTCACCGGTGCTGGCATCCTCGGGATACAGACTCTCGGGAGGATCGGGTCGGGATGAGAGAGGGTGAATCGGGGCTAGAGGATATAAAGTGCGGAATTTAGGCCCCTTGCGACGAAGAACATCGCTATATGAGCAAGAGAGAAGTAGCCGTTGACATTTATCGCAAGGTAGTTCACGGGAACATTTTATTTTGCGACGGCGACAGTTGTCGCATGCTTGTTTCGGCTTTGATTGTTTGGTGGACATTGTTTGCTAAGTCTTGACCAGACTCAGTAAAGTTGAAGTTCATGTTAGGGTTTAAAAAAAAAAGTTATGGTTTCATCTGGAGAACTTTTTCTTCGCCCGGGGTGTAGCACATTATAATAAAAAAAATTAGAAACCTGGGGAAGCGCGGGGGGCAGAAAGGAAAGAGACCCCGCAAAGGCCCCCTGCGTTGGCGTTATGCTTCATTTTTGATATTACTTGCATAGTTATTCTTCTAGATGTCTCGGGCCGACTTCTATTTCTTGACAATACCCCTCAGTCTTTAGAATATAAAGGTACAAAAGGTACAAAAGGTACAAGAAAAAGAACCTCATGATCACCATGATCATCATCAAGTTTGACACATTGAGTGACTTCATTTAAGATATATCCTTATGATCTTCTAAGATTAATAAAGGATTCCACATGTCGGCCCGTAAGCAAAGTTTCTCCTTGGCGAGATGCCTTTCGGGGCCTATTCGGTCCTTTGAAACATTCAGAAATAACCTTGGAAGATCAAAGATGCGGGATTTTCTCGCCCCCTTTAACCCGTTTAGTATGAAGTGGGCACCACTAGGCCACGCTGAGCATTTATCTCCGTTTCGTGTCTTGATATCCAATCAATCTCTTTATGGCTTGATTTAATTTAATAGTGGTCCACCCTATACGGAGAGAACGGAGTACCGAGGTGACTTTTGTTCCTTCTCGGCTTCCCGATTGTTAACTTATTTCCTTCTATGTTGTATGCATACTTAAAGTGCATAGTTACGGTATGGTTGATTCCGTAGACCTATACTTATAGTTTGTATAGTTTGTATAGTTTGATATAGTTTGTATACTTTGTATACTTTGATGTAGTTATCGTATAGTTATTGATGTCAATAATTCGGGAATCTGAGGGTTACTCCAAGATCCGTAAACGTTCAAACATCCGGGCATGCCGTTGTTATATTCTCCACTAGAGAGAAATGGTTCACCGTGGCTAAGCATAGATTTATGAGATCATAATATTCGAGTAAGTCCGGAGTACGGAGTAGATTCCTGTCAATTCCAGAATATAGCTACCTAAGTAGACGGGCATTTATCGGACAACTAGCCAATCATCAGGCTAGAATGGCGTGATCCATATAATGATCGGCGGTTTTCATAGTCATGATATTGCAGGGCTGTTCTCACGAACTGGTTCTTTAGAGATATTTCTATGTAGACATTTGTAAATTTTATCTAAAATGTATACAATTCATACCCTCATACCCTTCTTCTGTGTACGGAGTATATGGAGTATATTGTAGATTATACATGTACAGAACGTTTTCCCGTACTCCGTACAGCCCAGGTCTCGACCTCTCCGCATTTCAGCCCCTTAGTTTTCTTTAGCTTGAAAGCTTGACCAACCCCACAACCACATTCAGCCACTCGGGATATGAGTGCATCGGATAATCAGCGGAAATTCATCTTATTTCGGGGTCGGCATATGGATTCCTGCATTTTCATGTAGTGTATGTGCTGTACTACCCTGTACAACGGACGGTTCCGCTCAACCTATAAAAACAAGGTGGGATATAATTATATGAGACAAAGATCCCCCTGATCTACCAAACAATCACAAGGAAATGACCATGGGTACAATGAAGACCCTTCTTGCTGGGGCTTGTCTCTTGCCAGTAGCCTATGGGGCTTTTTCAACCTCTGCCACTGTGGGTTCGGGGTCTCACTCTGTCGCTTCTTCGACTTCTTCGGGAAAATACTCCCAATTTACCATTCCGTCTAGTGCCGATGTTGCCGCAGACCTGATTGCCAATATTGAGGATCCCGAAGCCGTCGATGCACAGTCGGTTTGTCCCGGCTACAAGGCCTCGAATGTCAAGGAGTCTGCTCGGGGTTTGACCGCTACTCTGACCTTAGCTGGAAAGCCATGCAATGTCTACGGCACCGATGTAGACTCGTTGGACTTTTCCATCGAGTACCTTGCTAATGACCGCCTTAACGTTCAAATCGTCCCGACTTATCTTGATTCTTCAAACTCTTCTTGGTTCGTGTTGGATGAACATGTCGTTCCCCGACCCAGTTCCGATCGTCATGCTTCAAAGAAGCATAGTGATCTTGAGATCACCTGGTCGAATGAACCTTCTTTCCATTTTCAGGTGACCCGCAAGGCTACCCGTGATGCGATCTTCGATACCACTGGCTCGGTCTTGGTCTTTGAGAACCAGTTTATTGAGTTTGTTACCTCCTTGCCCAAGGATTATAATCTGTATGGCATTGGAGAGCACATTCAGCAGCTGCGCCTCTTGAACAACCTCACTTTGACTCTCTATGCGTCGGATATTGGTGACCCAATTGATGAGTGAGTTTTATTCCCAGACCCCCATTATCCCCCTAACTTGTACTACTTTTGTTCTGCATACTAACTACTATTACCAGCAATCTTTACGGCTCTCAGCCTTTCTATCTAGACACTCGCTACTATGAGGTTGACCGCAAGGGTCATCACACCCTCGTTGCAAGTGACAAGGCCGATCAGTCCAAAAACTATGTTTCCTTCTCCCACGGTGTCTTCTCTAGAAATGCACATGGTCAAGAAGTTGTCATGAATCCTGAGGGACTAAAGTGGCGCACCCTGGGAGGTAGTATTGATCTCACTTTCTACTCGGGTCCTAGCCAAGCGGATGTGACCAAGAACTACCAGTTGAGTACCATTGGCTTGCCAGCATTGCAGCAGTACTTTACTCTTGGCTTTCACCAGTGCCGCTGGGGCTACAATAACTGGACTGAGCTTGAAGAAGTTGTCGCCAACTTTGAGAAGTTTGAAATCCCTCTTGAGACTATCTGGTAAATTGACTCCCCCTTTCGATGGTTCGAGCAAGTTCTAACATGGCTAGGAATGACATCGATTATATGCATGGCTACCGTGACTTCGACAACGATCAATATCGCTATCCCTACAGTGAGGGCGAAGAGTTCCTAGAGAAGCTGCACAGCAGTGGCCGTCACTATGTCCCCATTATAGATGCGGCTATCTACATTCCAAACCCTAATAACGCCTCTGATGCGTAAGTTTCACCAAGCCTATCCTACAGAAATAATACTAATTTGTACTCAGCTATGATACCTACACCCGCGGACACAAGGATGACGTCTTCCTAAAGAATCCCGATGGAAGCGAGTATATTGGCGCTGTCTGGCCCGGCTACACTGTCTTCCCGGACTGGCACAATCCCAAGACTGGGGATTTCTGGGCAAAAGAAATCGCTATCTGGCAAAAGAAGATGGCCATTGATGGCATCTGGATTGATATGAATGAGGTTTCTTCCTTCTGCGTTGGCAGCTGTGGATCTGGAAATCTTAGTATGAATCCAGCTCACCCTTCGTTCTCCCTGCCCGGAGAGCCTGGCAACGTCATCTATGACTATCCGGAAGGATTCGAGATCAGTAACAAGACCGAAGCTGCTGCTGCGTCTGCAGCGTCGTCCAGCCAGGCTGCTGCCGCTGCAACTGGCGGCTCTACATCTTCGTCTACTTCTTATCTGCGGACAACACCCACACCGGGAGTACGCAACATCAACCATCCACCATATGTGATCAATCACGATCAGCGTGGCCACGACCTTAGCTCGCACGCCGTGTCCCCAAATGCCACTCACTCCGATGGCGTCCAAGAATATGATGTGCACAACCTCTTCGGCCACCAAATCCTCAATGCGACCTATCATGGCCTACTGAAGGTCGACGAAAAGAAGCGTCCCTTCATTATCGGTCGCTCAACATTTGCAGGATCTGGTAAATGGGCCGGCCACTGGGGTGGCGACAACGCCTCGAGATGGGCATTCATGTTCTTCTCCATCCCCCAAGCCCTCTCATTTTCCCTCTTCGGAATCCCCATGTTCGGTGTTGACACCTGCGGCTTCAACGGCAACACCGATGAGGAACTCTGCAACCGCTGGATGCAATTATCGGCCTTCTTCCCCTTCTATCGCAACCACAACACCCTCTCTGCAATCCCCCAAGAGCCCTACATCTGGGAATCCGTCACAGCTGCCACCAAATCCGCCATGAAGATCCGCTACGCAATTCTCCCTTACTTCTACACCCTCTTCCACGAAGCCCACACAACCGGATCCACCGTCATGCGCGCCCTGGCCTGGGAATTCCCCATAGATCCCTCCCTCGCCGCAGTCGACACCCAGTTCCTCCTCGGTCCTTCTATCATGGTCGTTCCCGTACTCGCCCCCCAAGCCACCTCCGTCAAGGGTGTCTTCCCGGGAGTCAAGAACGGCGAGATTTGGTATGACTGGTACAACCAGACAGCCGTGGACGCAAAGCCCGGTGTGAACACCACCATTCCCGCCCCACTTGGCCATATCCCCGTTTTCGTACGTGGAGGCAGCATCTTGCCGATGCAGGAGCCAGCTTTGACTACGAAGGAGACCCGTGGCACGCCCTGGTCTTTACTTGTTGCGCTCAGTGGCAGCTCCACTGCCTCGGGTCAGTTGTATCTCGATGACGGAGAGAGCAATGTCCCAGATGAAATACTTGATGTTGCTTTCAGGGTCAAGGGGTCCAGCTTGAGTGTCAAGGCAAAGGGTAACTGGGAGGAATCAAACCCTCTTGCTACTGTTACTGTTCTTGGTGTGTCTGAGGAGCCTGGCAATGTTAGATTTAATGGTAAGCCTGTGCCGGATTCTGGGGTGCATTACAATGCTACTTCGCATGTGTTGTCTGTTGGTGGTTTGCAGAATTTGACTAAGGAGGGTGCTTTCAGTGAGAACTGGACCCTTAAGTGGTAGATTGTGAATGTTTTATGGAGTGTGCTATCTTCGCCATAGTTTATCCCAACGGCAGTCAGGTTCAGCTCTAATGATTAACGCCCATAATGGAATAATTTGTCTTTGCAACATCTTCATTTCCTTGTTTCCGTCTTACTATCTAAAACTAAGGGAGCTAGAAAATAGCACATCTAAAAAACTACCAAAGAGACATAGGGCCACATGCAAAGTAAGCTGATGATTATGGTACTCAAACTCGAAATTAAGCCCATACTTGGCATAGATCGCCATATATGACTCCATGTAGTTTCAGCTGAATAGAGACATGATATTCCTGTCATATTCACGAATGGTCTATCCAAAGCACAGACTGTTCCCTTGTCGGGCCGAATTGTGAAGCCACGGATATATGTAAGTTTCCTATTCCGTATGTCTCACTTCTATACCTCGTATACTACAGGGTATATAACCTAAATTATCCCTGTCACCGTTAACATCGCGTCCGACTAAATTCCGGAACTTAATAGAAGATCGACATACTCCGTAGAAGATCGACAAATAAAACGGGCTAGCCCATTGCAACCCTCTTCAGGGATCCCTGCAAATTAGGGGTCCAACTCCCCGCACATGCTGAATCGGCCAACGTGTCAGGGGATTTTACAGGGATTGTTTAATTAACACATGCCGGTACCTTGTCAATCTATTTATCTCAAGGTTATGCATGTAACTTCGGGATTTGTCCGACAGGGCTGGCGAGAGTCAGAATGTGACGAATTAGATCTGAAGGATCATATTTTTACTTTGGAAGATCACCCTGCTAATTAAATACGGGGTTCTTGGCCATTCAGACCTCTCTCTATGTTTGATTGTCTCGTATTTGATTCTGCTGTAGCTGCGGACAGGCATTAGAGGGATTATCTTTTTATTTGCGCAGTTGCATCTGTGAAGATCTTCATCTGAGTTTTTGGCGTTTATTGGCTTAAGCCTGTACTTCATTTCGGAGTCCGATCCTAACGGCTATTGATCGCCGAGACTGCTATTAGTCTACGGAATAGCCGTTGTATATATTGCTTTTGGTCCTTGGCAGTGCAGTTTGAGTATCCCGTTACTAAACGACTATCATCTCATTTGTCTATTGAAACATCTACCGCAATATGCTTCTTACACGATTTGCTTGGCTTGCCGGCTTGGCTAGCACTGCCATTGCTGCAACTCCAGCTGAATGGCGCTCGCAGTCGATCTACTTCATGGTCACTGATCGATTTGCCCGAACTGATGGATCGACTACCGCTGCCTGTAACACCGCTGATAGAGTAGGTTTATATCTAGGTATTGACTCTGTGATACTAAGATAGCTAACTGTACTGAATAGAAATATTGTGGCGGAACATGGAAAGGAATCATAGATAAAGTCAGTAACACTCTAAGTATTCATATATCATTCATCTGACCAATCTATTAGCTGGACTACATCCAAGGAATGGGCTTCACGGCCATTTGGATCACTCCTGTGACCGGTCAATTGACCGAGGACACCAAGTATGGAGAGGCCTATCACGGATACTGGCAGCAGGACATGTGAGTATCGCAAAGACAGTTGAATATCTAACACCGTACTAACCAAATATAAGCAATTCTCTGAATCCAAACTATGGAACTGCCGACGATCTCAAGGACCTCGCTGCGGCTTTGCATAAACGCAACATGTATCTCATGGTCGATGTCGTAGCAAACCACATGGTAAGTTAAATTATCCCAATCAAATTATATGTGTGACTGACTTATATTGGACAAAAGGGCTATGATGGCGCAGGCACTAGCGTCGATTACTCCAAATTCAAACCCTTCAACGATGCGAAGTATTTCCACCCTTATTGCCCAATCACCGATTACAACAATGACAACATGGCGCAAAACTGCTGGCTTGGCGATAACACTGTTTCCCTACCGGATCTGAATACACAGAGCAAGGATGTGCAGAAGATTTGGTATGATTGGGTTAAGAAACTCGTTACCGACTACTCGAGTAAGTTGCTATCTCTAGAACTCCTCAATTCGACAAAGATATCACCATATAGAGACTAACCAATATATAGTTGACGGTCTCCGTGTTGACACTGTCAAACATGTCCAGAAAGACTTCTGGCCCGGCTACAACAAAGCCGCTGGCGTCTACTGTGTAGGAGAGGTCTTGAACGGCGACGTTGATTACACCTGTCCATACCAGGAGGTAATGGACGGAGTTCTCAACTATCCAATGTGAGATCCCACTTTCCCATGAATTTTACCAGATACACAGGGAAAGCCAAAGCTAATTCATGAAAGCTACTACCCACTCCTCAGAGCCTTCCAATCGACTAAGCCAGGAAACATGGCCGACCTATACAACATGATCAACACAGTTAAATCGACCTGCAAGGATCCAAGCCTTCTCGGAAATTTCGTGGAAAACCACGACAACCCACGTTTCGCCTCGTAAGTGCAAATTCCATCAAGTTAAATAATAATCCACTCTATATGTCTAGAAGCTAATCTCTTTCCCTCGGGATCCAGCGTCACCGACGATATTTCCCTCGCCAAGAATGCAGCCACCTTCAACATCATGGCAGACGGCATCCCTATTGTCTACGCAGGACAGGAACAGCACTACAGCGGCGGCGCGGACCCAGCTAATCGCGAGGCTCTGTGGCTGTCTGGATTCAAAACAGATAGTGAACTGTACAAGCTCATTGCGAAGGCCAATGGTGCTAGAAACCAGGCAATTGCGAAGGGTGCTAACTACACTACCTACCAGGTATGTTCTTGTCTCTTTTGTCTCAGAGAGAAGGAAAAAGAAGCTAACTCGGTTTTCACAGAACTACCCAATCTACAAAGATGACAATACCATCGCCATGCGGAAGGGCTATGATGGTGAGCAGGTAATTACCGTCCTGACTAATCTCGGTGCAGGAGGTAAAGAGTACTCGCTTTCAATTCCTAAGACTGGTTTCAAGGCTGGTGATAAGTTGACGGAGATTGTATCCTGTGCCAGTGTTACTGTTGCTGAGGGTGGGGATGTTCCTGTTCCTATGGCGGGTGGAGAGCCGAGGATCTTGCTACCGACTTCTCTACTCAAGGGCTCGAGTCTGTGCTCGTAGACTTGGGGTTTGGAATATTGGTCGATCTGATCGATACCGGACTTGGCTGTTTGCTCTTTGGGGGCTCTTGATAGATATATATTCTTCGTTTTGCTTTGTTGGAATAGACGAGGTTCGAATGAATTATCAACTTTATATCATATATCGAATTGGTGTTTAATTGGATTGTGTTGAGAGTGTGGCAGATCAGCCACTACCCGTACGTAAGCCAGGATAACTAACATGACTGACTAGTTAGGTGCCATTGATAGAGTAAGAAATAGAATTAGAGCCCAAGCCCTCTAAAAATCCACAATTAAAACAAGAAAAGGCGGGAGTAGTGGCACCATCAACTAGGGTACGGAGTACTATTCACATGATAACTACTCGTGAGGCCCGATCTTAGGATCAGGCGATGCATTTCTTCGTACTCCTGAATCCTGATGTATGACTCCCTTCATGTGTTAATTACACTGTGTACTACTAAGTAAATAGATGTACTACTTGGATAAACCACAAAACAAAGCCTTAGCGAATAAGTCATGACTTCCATTTGTGCTTTTGCTACTGCGATCCTGCGCCAAAAGAACACACATAACTAACATATCCTCATTATCAACTAGAGATGGACCCATATCACCGCCAATTAATCTATAACCAAAACCCAAGCCCCACAATCCAAACCCCGAAATCCCGTCACCAATCATGCAACGCCCTCGGCACCAGGCCAACAGGCATAGCCCCACCAGTAACACCAGTTCCAGGAGACTGATGAAACAAGTCCGGTGCCTCAAACCCAGGCTGCGAGGCTGTATACCCAGGCATCATCTGCTCAAGACAGTTATATCCCTCAACGAGGGAATCAAGTCCCTCCGCACCTGACATAAGCTGGGAGAGATCCATGCCAGGACGATGGTGGGACGGACCAAACATCTGCACGCTCTTAACCTCCGCAACCGGCGACGACGAATGAGACCCGTTAGCCACAACAGCTGTGGCCTCGGAGTATCGTCGCTGTACTTCGCCGACAATACACGCGATCCGGTATGAGAGGTTGTCGCCGCCCGGGGCGAGGTGTAGTAGGAAGCCGCGGACTTGGCTGATTAATGGGTCGGAGAGGGTATAGTCGCAAAGGGTGAGGGCGGCATAGCCGACGATGAAGTAGACGTGGTCTATTAGAGCGGGGGCGGAGGTAAAGCGGGTTTGGAGGAACTGGGTTATTATTAGGCGGGCAGTGCCGCATATTTCCGGGGCTAGGCGCTCGCTGTCGGGTTGGAGGCGGGCGGCAGTTCGGTGGAGGAGGAGTTGGCAGAACCAGAGGTTTAGGTTAAGGGTGGATTCTTCGCTTGTGGCTGTTGGGGTATAGTTGTTAGGTTTGGGGTTGAGATTGGCGTAGGGGGGATGTGGGAGGATGTACTTAGGAGGTGTGCCCATTCCATTTTCCAGCGCTCCAGTTCTTCGTATTCAGGTTCTGCGAATTGGAGGCGGTGCTGGCTGTGTTGGAGTTGGAGGGCGATGCGGTATAATTGAATTTCTGCGACGATTCTTCCGTCTTCTGCTGTGGCTCCTGCGTGTTCTAGGATACGGGGACATTGGTCGATGTATTGTTGTTGGATATTGACGGTGCGGCCATTTGCAAGAGCAGAACTATTTGATGTTAGAGATTGTATATCGAATGGTTTGGATAGAACATACTGTAGCTGGGTTGCACAGAGTGTATTCCACAAACGCAACTGAGCAAACAACTCATCTGGATTTAGACTGTCCCCAGGCAAGGTATTGAGGAAGTTAAAAGTGATTAGGGCATGGTTAATCGAGATGCCGCTCAGTAACCAGTCATCCATCAGTCCTTCTTTGTGAATAGAAGTAGAGTATAGACAAAGCAATGTCAACGCCTGCAGAATATCGCTTGTCATTGGTGGGGGCTTCCACAACACCTTCGCCACGGCATGTTGTACATGGAGTGAGATATCGCGGACAGTTTGTTGTGGTAGGCCAGGCAGATATCGCGAGGCTAGAAGACATGCAGTATTGAAAAGCAGTGTATTCGACCGCTGAATGCTGGAAGAATGATTTATTGAGACCCAATGGCCAAAATACTCGATGAAACTAGTTAGAGCATTAGCATGGAGATCCGCTGATAGACAAACAATCAGACACACAGTTCAATCAATTTCATGGAAAGCTTGGAATCTACGATTCCCTGAGTGACGATATCTCCGAGAAGGTCAGCATCGGAGAAATTATCTCTTTCGCCGAAACATTCGGCTTGCAGGTCTCGAATGAGTTGTGCGGGCTTGAGCGGATAGAAAGATGAGGACATGCTATCACTTGAGGATGTTCCATCTATGCTGTTGCTTCTAGCCTGTGAAGTTGTGCTGCAGGGCATGCTGGGAGAGCGGTTCACCATCTGTCGCATCAGATGTATCATCTCCCCCATTCCTCGTTCGAGGGACACAAGCCGTTCCTCAATTGATGGTATGGCGGTAGCATCAGACCAGGTGGATGCATTGTCTTGGAACCGCTCTGTTGTCTCGGGAAGCTCACATTCAAGCCTTTTTGACAATAGTCAGCATTTTGAAAAAACTAGGAACTCCAAAAAAAATAATAATAAAGCAAATAAACGGTTTATATGTCAAAAGTCAATAAAAACAGGCAAACCAACCTAAGTGACAAACAGCGACGGCAAGCATGTCCACGGGGATCGACATCGCAACGAGTCTTGAGCTTCCGACAGGTATTACAAGCAGTCATTGAACGTCGAATGCGCCCTTTTGGCCTCGAATCTTGACATGCGACCGAGTCAATTCTGCCATCGTCTGGAAGAATGTTCTTGGTTTCCCAAGCGATAGAATTATTTGTAGGGCCGGTTCTCGTCATTGCATTGAAGTTGAAATGGGTTACTGTGGGTATACTAAATAATTGTCTGATCGACAAGAAAGAGGTGGAAAAGAAAAGGAAGGATCAATGATCAACAATTGGACCCTTAAAAGCCCAAAACCAAAAGAAAACCTGAAGATCATTTATTGTCTATCAGGGAGATCCAAGCCTTATAATAGCGGGTCATCAGACTTAGGAGTATCTTAACCAATTGCGACAAGACACTGATTACTGACGATATCGAACGCGCAGGTACATACTTATGGTGGATATATAGCGGCCCATGGCGGACCTGGGGTAATCGTGTCTGCATCCACCAATCTGAGAAATTTCCCGACCTTCTAGAAAGGTAGCGATTGTCGGTGCAGCTTCATGAGGGGTTGATAATGTCGCATTGACTAGACCCCTGTCCTTTAATTCTCCGACGAGAACCGTAGGGGAGGGGTGATTTGAAAGGGGTTTGAGTGGCACGATCTATACTTGATACGTTCATTTTTTTGACTTTTGATAATCATCTTTTGATAGTTAAGAGATCCTTTCCTAATTTAAACCGTTTACTTTTATAAAACGATCTAGACAAATAGACCCTGTATGACTTGGCATTATATTTTTTTATCATTTGAAAGGATTCAGGATCATAAGTGGGGGGGAAAGAAGAGGCGAAAGAACTAAGAGAAATCATTGGTTAACATGTGCAATGTCTCAAAAATAAATGCCTATCAGCCTTGAAAGTCACGATGTTACCTTGTAAGTTTTTTAGGTCCGCTTAACTACGGGTATCTCAGTTTAAATGGCTTTATTTAATCCTGGGAGAATCCTGATATCGCAACTTTTCAGCCATTTCTTACTTTTTAGGTAAATATCCTTCAAATCTTTGAAAAATTTGAATGAAGATAGGAACTTTGACAGTGCCGATCTTAAGATTAAGAATGTCTTACTACACATTAAAAAAGATCAACATAGCCCTGGAAGCGGATGCAACCTTAGTCAAAATCCCAATCGCGCCATTTTGAGTGGCGATGCGGAAGAATCGACTGAATTCACCCGAAGAGAATTCACCCGAGGTATCTTTTTTTGTTTTCACTTCTGAAAGATCCACTTTAGGCAATATAACTTTCATGCACGGGGCTTATTTCCTACCATTCCGGGTCTTAGTGTTCTTTTTTGGTCTTGTATCTGGAACGCGGGAGGCTCGGATAAAGAAGCGGTCAGATTAAATTTTAATATCTAATTCCAAGTTATTTGTTGAATTTGGATTGCTTGGCCCGTTGAATTCTGGGGTAATCGACGGGCTAGTGAAGCCATTGACAACGAACCAACCGACATTCACCTCGGTATAATTTGCTATCGGGATCCCTGTTTGAGCTGCATTATGCGAGCTGTATCGTTTAAGTTTATTATTGCGTAAAACTTTTTGACTGGCGTTGCGGTGTTTGGTCGATCAAGATTGCCCAGAGACTCGGCGATGCGGTTTCCAACGCCTAAGGTGAACATATGGTTAGAATCACCGATATGGCGTTATAGTTATATAGGTTTGAGGTTAAAGTGCCGGTCTCAGTACCGAACTAATAAAATGAATCACATAAACATCATTTGGTTACCTTATCTTTTCTTTCTTGAATCAGGTCTATATAGATATGCCGATCATGTATCGACATGTCTCGCATAATGATACTGAGAAAGTATATTTCCCGCTCAACGGCACAGATGAGCAATCTCATCACGGCGCGTAAACGGAAGCGGAAGCTACAGAAAGCCACAACCCGTGGACCCCTCTTATTGAATCGACGTGGGGTCAAATGCAGTCAGATCAAGCACATATTAAACATCGTTATTGGCTGGTCGAAATTTTTCCCCCCTTTTCCTTATTGCTTCTCTGCATCTTCCCTGCAGGGCCATCTGACCACGAATCCTCCAATGAATAACCCACATGAAGCCACACCTGAAGCTGAATACGTCTCTGTTTCCGAGGGGCTCGTAAACTAGGCGGCTTTTGTGATGCCTAGGCAGACACCGTTCTCGATGCGCTTACATGCAGGGAATAAGTACATTTCAAAGATAAGGACCATTTCCATGGGATATCCCTATCTTAAAATATATGGCCTGACAGCATATATTTGGAAATATCTCCGTGTCTTATGTTTGTAGATCCAACACCTATCAGAGCATTGTTTTGTAGTCTAAACCATATTACAAAGCTGTATATTTATCCGGCCCGACATATATATGTCTCGTTTGACATGCATAAGCTTTAAGCTCAGACACAATCTCTGGTTCGGGATTTATTCGTTGACGACAAAAGCACCTCGGGGGTCTCGAAGACCCCGAGACCCCGGTGTCTATTATCCATACACTGTCGCAAGAGCACGTTTTATCTAGCTCTGAAAGTTATGTGGCGTTTCCAGGCTTGCCGTAGGAGACGCCATTTGATAAATTAAGTTTATGAATATGTATGTCTCGAGTATGTGGATGCTGAACCTGCAGTTAGATACGTTTATTTTATATTGCATCCCCGCAGCGATTAGGACTGTTGACAGTATAGATTATGTGTACAGTCTACACGTGTACATCGCAGCTGATTAGGAATATTCCCTGGAAGACTCGTCATTCGCCCTAGCAATTATGCATACATCATATTTGACATGGTCAGACTGCGTGCTATACCTATATTGTTTCCTACAATTCGCCTTATATATGAGGCTTTTCGTCATTCTTGTGTCTTGCTGCGCACAAGGCACATCCCCCTGATGTCTCCCCCTGAGATCAGCATCTTGTCTCTCTTTTTCTGCTTTTATCGCCTTGCATTTTTGGTTTTCCTCTCTGGCACGGTATGTATAACGGACTCACAAAAAAAATCGCCACTCCCATGTACCTCTCTACCCAATTCTGCCCAGCCACCACACACTTTTCTTGGCCTTTATGAGGGAAATAAAAAGAAAATACAAAAAAAGAATTGACCGACGCAGGGATCGAACCTGCAATCTCTTGATTCGTAGTCAAGCGCCTTGCCATTGGGCCAGCCGGCCGGGCTGTTATAACAAATTTGCCTAAATGTGTACTATAAGCGAAACGAATGTGGACCCCGCTTAAATACGCTTAAACACGGTTATATCCGTATATTATTCACGTGACTTTGGGTTTTTGGGGGCTTTCCCCGCATAATTTGGCAATTGGAGGCTTGTAAAGTCAATATTTTGCATTTTGCGGGGTAATTAACATTCCGTAATGTTAATCCTTCGTTTCGGGGAAATTTTAATAGGGTTTCGTGGTGGATTGGGTTGGCCGTTGATCCAATTATATATAATTTGCAGAAAAGACAAAAAGAAATGGAAACGATAAACTGATCCTTGCTGACTTAGAGAGCGAGCGAATAAGTGATAGAGAAATAAAAGAAGATTGATCCCACCGAGTAGAAGAGGTCATATCTGACATAGGTAGAAAGGCTACCTCGACAGTATGCTTGGTTGTAGTACAGAAATAAGGTCAGTGAGTACACAAAAATTGAAATATCGTTGGTGTTGAAGATGCCAGTTCGTAGCTAGACAAAGCTTGGATACAAACAATGCCTTGGGCGAAGATAATTATTGCTAGGAGAAAGTATCTAAAGCTATGTGAGTGATATATGGAAAGCTTGACGTGTTATAAAATAATGCGGGAACAAAGGCGATGTCCGAAACCATTGCATATAAGGACCCGCAGCGAGATACTAAACCTGGCTAAAAAAACACAGTAGAACCCTAGCTGGACATCACACAAGATTAGCTGAAGGGGATATATGGCTTTTTATATGTTGCACAACGTCATGCTGTGTACTGGGCTGCTCGAGATATAGTTGTTCAACATGTAATCTTAACAGACACTGTTGTGATATCAGCCTTGCTGTCTGCTATGCTGTCTGTTAGAATTGCAAAGTATTTATACTTGTCACTTCATAGATTTTAGGACCCCACGGATCTATCTTACACCGTCATCATCCCACCCCCTCTCACTGTACCCCCAACAGAAACCATCTAGCATTTAGCCACAGGGTAGGGGATCATACGAGCATCATACAGCATTGATAAAGAAATAAATGATAGAGAAATAAGAAGTACCAATAGAACAGCAGTAAGGACCTCTGAGCCCAAATTATATAGCCAGAGGAAGAATCATCGAACATAGCTCTAGAGAAAGACAACCAACAAGTTGAATGCTACTGGCCGCCTTCCCCTATCCCCCAAAGGAATTAAATTTTGACACACTGCGTAGTTGGAGTGTAATTAAGGCAGAGAAACCTTATATATATATAAATCCCAATAGTCTCAGATATTGAATATTCACATGTAGTAACAAAGGAAAAACCACACAGACCCGAACCCTGACCCCAAACATAGAATATATCAAGGCCATATCACAAAATGCAAAGAGAAGCACAAATTATGTCTCAGCACAAGATACGGAGTACTCCGTATACTCTACAACCCTTGTACGAGCAGATAGTCTAGCGTCGGACATTGCCGAGAGCCGACGGATTGAGTTGCCTAGATAGGAAAACCACTAGAATAGGCTCATCTACTAGAAGCTAGGTTGAATGCCATGCTTACATACAAGACATTCGGACACCAATCAAACGAAGTGTGCATTAGCGTGCCTAAATGAGATGCGCCGGGTTCCAGATACCCGAAAAGTGATACGCGTTGATGGAAATACTTGCCTGACGTCTCATATATTCTCCTTTTTTTTTTCTTTCCTGTGGCATATTATGTGGAGCACGCCTCACCCAGCGGTCCAAGTCATACACATTTTGTGCACAAAGACTCGCTGATGCATTCCGCTAATGCTTGCTTCTACC